GGAAAATCTGTGCCACCGAATCCTTCTCACTGCAGGAACTTCGCGACTTCGCGCTCATGATCCTTGGCAGATTGTTGGCGGGGATTTGGGGCAGAGCCAAGGCGCAGAAATGATCAATTGTCCGAAATGAAGTGAACGTGGGCGGACGCGGGACTGCACTGCCTCCAATTCATCTCCATGTCCGCCCGCAGGCCTTTGGGGGGGCCTTCCTTTTACCAGGGTTCGAGAGGGTTAAACTAGTCAAGTCCACGTGGGACTGGAGGGGGAGAGGACGCTCCTTGGTCAGGGAATTAGAGAGCTTCCAATCTGCAAATCTCTCTCTCCTTTCCCGGCGGATTCTGTGCCGCCCTTGACCCGTAATCTTTGCAAGTCTTTGGATAAGTGTCTTGATCATACACAATGTAAGGGGGGTTTGAGCCTTGAGGCTGAAAAGCGCCACGAAAACCGGGTTTCCCGAACATGCCAGTAAGCTATTGTGGGAACGCTTCTTCATCAGGCGGAGGATGTAAGCGGCCCGCGGACATGAACACACGAGATAACAAATTCAAGGCCGAACTAATGTCTCTATTTTGAACTCACCGTGCACCTAAATAGTCTCCAGCAGTCCCGTGAGTGTCGAGAAAGGGCTTTTTCCTCGGCCGCGGCGGACTGGGGCCGGCTCCGGGGTCGAGTCTCGGGCCGGTGGGGGTGGAGACGATGTGGCTCGATCATGGCCTCAGAAACGGCGCCGAACTCGTCACTCGAAGGTTTTGAGCTTACGCGCGTCCTTGGAAGGGGGTAGGATCCCGGATCTGGGCAGTAGATTTGGTGCCAGGTGGCCGGAGACTGGAGTACGCAACCAAAGATTGTTACCTGTTATGCAGGGGCTTTTGGTTGAGCCTGTATCTGGGACGGTCGAGATGCTCGGCGCCAGACGCATCTTGGTTTACTCTGCTCGGAGGTTTTGCCATTATCGTACGCGGTATGTGACTCCACGAACTCGTCTTTCGATCTCAGTGCGAGGGAATGTTTATGCTCACGCCCCATGTCACGGACGCAGACGTACATCAACATCGCTCGGGGTTTTTGTCTGCTCGAACCCAACCACTGGGATGGCATCCCATGTCGATGCGGGTGATTTTAGAGTGCCGCGCAAATTGCCCAAAGGACATGGACTCGCGGAGCTTAAACCTCCCGCACGGGAGGGGGAACCTGGGATAGCTAAGAGTAGACGGCATGTCTAGACGAGACAGTTCGCGTGCGGTGTCAATGGGATTTTTTTTTTAAAAAAAAAAAAAAAAAAAGCGTGCGTCGTAATCGTGAGATGGGTCCCAAGACTCGGGACAGGTGGGATGCGCCGAGGCCGTCTCTTTCACATCCTGCAAGTCCGTTCCCTCGGACTAGGGAGGGCAGAAAAAAGCTAAATGGTTTAAGGTGGTGGTGGTGGTGTTGGTGAGCGTCCCGAGGATATTTTACCCTCCTTTTGCGTCATTCGCGAGACAAGTGGTAAGGAGGGGCGTGTGTGAAGACCAGACGAGGCGGTACTTCCTGAGACGACCGTTGTTCGGCACAGGTTTCCCATGCTCAACAAGAGCGTTTGTGCCGAATATCAAAAGAGACGCTATGTGCGAGTGTGCCGAAGATGGTGTTATGGATGGTTTGTGAGGTGATCCTTGACGTGTCCCCCGAAACCTTGGCGTAGTTTAGCTTGCGGTTGCGTGAACCAAATCTGTATTCTTTCGCCGAAAGTTACCATCTAACTTTCAGATTGACCTGTCCAACTTGTATCAACGAAAAGGTCGAGAATGGAGTCCCCGGCAAGGTTAACCTCAAGGCCGGTTTGGCAGCCCTTGTCATCGATCTCGCAGTCGCGGCTGTTTGCTTTCAAGGTTCAGATAAAGGCGGTTAGGCTCGCGAGATACTCAAAAGGTGTTCGTTCCGTGGGAGACGCCATGGGCAGGTCCAATTGGCTAGGTTCTCTCGAGCTTAAGCCTCTGCTCACTGTCGGGTGGTTAATCTCTTTGGACGGCTTGATCGCACATCATTCATCCGAGCTTTTGGGACCGTCGGACAGCACGCGGCCTCCGTATGCGCCAAGCCACAGTACATGACAGTAGCCTTGGTCTGGAGTTCTGGTAGTGCTGTAAATAGACAACATCCTGTCGTCTTTTCTTCGGTTCAAAAAGACTCTTGGCAAGGCGCAGTGGTCTCTGGTCGGCTCCGAGGTTGAGCGTAGTGGAGATGACCAAGGGACTGCCATGTTTGAAATATGCTTGAATTGATGAAACTACTTTTTCATGGACGTCAGACATGTAAGTCTATCAAACCACTTTGCTTTCAATTTGCCCAGTAGAGCATATTGCCAGGGTAGCAACTTGGTTTGGAAAATCGAGGCGCTCGCATCTCGAGCAGGTGGATAACAATGCCTGTGGGTTGCTGCCATGCATCTCAGAGTTTGATGCAAAGAAGGCCCTGACATGTCTCTGGCACTTTGGGTTGGCTTAATTCAACTGATATGGTTTGACAACATGATTAGTAAAATGTGTAATAACGTGCTAGTCTCGTCTGTTGAACTTTAACAAACTTTGACGGCCAGGAAATGTTAAGGTTCTTGATCCTTGAATACTAACTCTAACCAAGATCTTGGTTAGTCGTTGTAACTTGTCGCCACTCGAACCTTAGCCCCTCAACCACGATAGCATTTTTTGAATCTGAAAATTCTATCCCTGAAAGCATGCCGATACAGCATGCCGACGATCCATACCGTTGGTAACGATCAACGGTCGGTTCTTGTATCACCTGTGTCGCCCACGGCCGGGATGTCCTGTCGCTACCTGCTCTAAATCCAAATTTCAAACCCCGAAAAGCAAGGCGGCCTTCCACACGCCTCCCCCCGTAGCCAGGGCGTTCCACAGGAATGGGCGGCATGGTTGAGGCTTTGAGATTATTATAAGCATACATTTCCGTGACACAGGGGAGGGTTCGGAGAAGGGGGGGCAGGAGTTGGTGACATGGAGCTGTCGCGCGGTGATCAAACAAATCCGTGGGCTTGGCGACGTCGAGATGAGACCGCCTGCAACTTGACACGACGTTCCCTTCTCGAATGAGACGCTGCGCTTCAGGTACAATGTGGAGCGATCTCGAACCGCGATTCTGTTGAATCAAATGTTGTTTTCTTTGGAGAGATGTGATTGCTACCTGACCGTCGCACTTGGGGTGAGTAGCTTTAACATTAATGATGATGATTCGGTGGTAAATCCCTAGCCGGTGGTGAATACGGAAAGCAAAGCTTATTTTGGAGCGAGGATACATGATTGCATGCAATGCAGAATCTGCCTGCTCGGTTTGGCTCTCTTCCTCAATAATTGCACTGGTTTTGAGGCTGGCAAGATTCATTGACCCAAAGCTTCAACGTGTTACAGACTGGGAAAACGGCGAAACAAAATTTTAGGATAGCAGCTCTCAACGGCGGCGAAGTCAGCCCAAGGTGTACATTCTGGTGCGATTGTCGGCTGTGACCTCGGAGGGTGGTTACCTCGGAGGGTGGTACCCTCGAGGCCACTCCCACGATGGGACAGTGGGAAAACCTACCGCGGCTACTCAATATCGCTTTCTGAATATCTGTTAGATTTTGGATGAGTAAGTAAGATACGGCAGGGAGGGCTTTTCTTTCTCCGAAAATGGCTGAGGGTAGCAGAAAGTACTTTCAATGTCATGCATAACGTAGGTAGGTACGTTAAGTACGTGTAGCTGGCACAGTCTTGCTGGTGACAACTAGTCTGCACAATACAAGTATATCAGCCGATGGAAACACAGATATTCTATCTCAAGCATAAGTATTGTAGTTGAGGACTCAGGAAACAACGTGATGATAGTCTCTACGTCAAACTTATGACTCGGCCCTTTGTAACATGAATCTTGGTAAGGATTATATATATCTCATGGGAATACTAGGTATCACCTAGACAGTGCCACTATTAAGAGGAGGCGGCACATGAAACCGCGGTTGCAAGTGAGGTTCTCTAGTAGGCTGGCTTGTTGACTTTCCCAATCCATCGCATTTCAATTTAATGATAAGCTAACATCATCTGATTCATTGGCAACTTCTGGTGAGTCATGATCCTACTAACGGAGGATTGAAAAGACGAATCCTGTTCTATAAATGGATTCATAAACTTGTTGATATATTTATGTAGGAACTTTAAACAGAGATTTACGAGTTAGATTAAAAACTTGGTGTAGTTAAATGTATCCTAGATAGGTTGACGATGGTCTGTTGGGAAAGAATCGGTGAAAGAGGAGAACCACTTACGTTTATTCCTACTATTCCACTGCGTGGACGAGGAACTGATCTAGAGGGGAAACAACATCATGTCCTGAGGACTATGAAGCAGCTGATGTCGTTGTGAAGTGGTCCCCAACTCCAGTCTAAACGACATGGACGTTTATGATGTTGACAACATGTAATTTGTAGACCAGGTCTAAGAGAAGCTTGAAAAAAGAGAAATTGATATCAATCAAATCTTCAGTCTCTGTAGAATCAATCTCTTGTTCAGCTGGGAGCTTTCTAACCAAATTAGCTAGCCTAGGCTACTAGGCCTGCCTTCTGCGTATGCGCTCACTTCTTAGAGCACATTCGCGTATCTAAGATACATATAATGCCCAGATGCTGCGTATTACAATTGTTGATGAACGATTTCACCTGAATCAACTTCATCTGATGAGACTTCACACATGCCATCGTTCACAAATACATTGGTTTGACGAGGCTATCTCTTTTTGCTTCGAATAATGACAGTCGTAGAGAAGATAGGGCCTGGCTGACTCAATGTTTTTCGTCCTAGGACTGGCAACGAATTATGATCCTAAAAGTCCGTGGACGAGTGAGGGACTACTACAGGATTTTGACGATGTCAACAATCGGGTCCTTAATCGTTCCTCATTTCAGGAGCGTGACAACATCGGGCTTCACACGTGTTCCGGAGGTGACTGTGATTCTACACACTCAGCTAACGTGCCATATGGCTCTCTACTGCCGTCGATGTTCAAGATCAATGCTGAAAAGTGGTTTACTCTGCTCTGCATACTAACGTTTAATACTGATACGCGTCTATTCTTCCCAGGTCACTTCCTCATTCAGCTCGCGTCCGAGAGAGACAAGCAGGCCGTCTGCAAGAAAATTGGAGGGAGCATTCAACAAGACGCTAACGAGATGAACCAAGTCGCTTTCGTAGTCGTCAAGAATCCTCTAGACCCAAAAGTTGAGACGCCGGGGGACATAGCAGACGCTCTATGCAAAGCCGTAAAATTCATTGCCGTGGACCAGCTCGATGCTAAGGACGACTGCGGCTATGGTCCTTTTAGCATCGACTACCAGCCGAAGCACGGAAAGGACCCGATTTCGCTAGAGATATTGCGTTCCAGAAGATTGCTAATCGGAGCAAGGGTGCTCAAAATGCGCCTGAGAGGCCAGTAGTTCAATGATCGCGACAAACAGGATACAATGACAACGAAGGAATTTGAGGTCCAGCATGACTAACCTATGAGGCATAAAATACTCTTTCTAACACAAGAATTGATTGCGAATCTTCAAGGAATGTTCTTTCGATAGGATATGCCGCTTTAGCACAGCAGGTAGGAGTGTTCCTATCAGTTCTTCTTGATGACGTGATAACGTCTGATGCTCTCACCACCTGAACTCATTCAAGCTAGCAAAAATCGGACAAACCGCTGACGCAATGCATGTCACTCGAGTCCCATGGATCTTGGCGTCCAGATCTGCCGTGTTGCGGAGTCGGAGGTCTGCCGGTCCACATTAGACTTTCTGTAGGATCCAAGGCGATCCGGCTGCCCTATCAGAATGACCATCCTCACATCGTGCCATTGAGTTGAGCCAAGGGTAAAGTGAATATCTTATCATTGTAATTCCCGCAATCCGCACATGATCTAGCAGTCAAGACGCCAAATCCTGCAAGCCAATTGAGCCGGAACAACCGGTATAAATACAGTTGGTGAGGCCGTGACTATAGTCCGAGTGTCTTGAATGCTACACATATCTACGACGTACGTCTCGAAGAAAACATGCTTTCACTTGTCACGGCTTCAGTTATCCTCCTCGGCCTTGAGCGATGCCAAGTCCACGCGGCTCGCCAGCCTTATGATGTGAGGAAAATTATCGACGCCTTTCGTCACCCACACGATGACCTCATAATTCTGTGCGCGCACCGAGGTTTGAGGTAAGACATCCAGAGAGCATCACCATTCTTCGAGGGCTGCTTACTGTTTTGAAGGGAATCCCCTGTTGACAAAAAATCATTAGGTGGAATGGCACGACGGAGAATTCCCGTGATGCTTACTTCCGAGCGTCAGAGGCTGGCTTGGAATGCATCGAGACGGATATCCACCTGTCACGCGATGGTTATCTCCCTATGATCCATGACAGCGGGCTAGGCCGCACAACAGATATTGGTGAGCAGACCGGGCAGCCGGCATACAACCCTTTTACCGGCCAAGGATACAACCCGTCAACCCACGAATATAACTTCAAAGGGTTCATCGAGAACCTTCATCTACGAGACGATCAGGGCAGAGTCCACGTCGAGGCCGTTCCTACGCTGCCGGATATGGTCCAAAGCATCTATGAGACGGGCACCAATGTCGTGCTGCAGCTGGACTTTAAGGAGCAGGCCGCTGTCGAGCCGGCGTACTGGGCCCTCAAGGACCTGACCAACGGGGCTGGAGTACCCGCGAACGAATGGTGCATCTATAAGCTACAAGCCCGGTGGTGGAAGACACCAGAGGAGTTTGAGGCGGAGCCATGGGTTCAGGATGCCTTTGCATCGGGCGTCCAGCTTGCTTATATCCCGGTCTACAACCCCGAAGACGAAGCTTCGTGGGACACCCTGGCGTCGCTCAAGGAATGGGCTCAGACCAACTACACAATCAGTGCCGAGATTGAGGTGTATTCGACTGGCGCACCGTTGCAGAACCTCCAAGACTACGTCCTTCATAGTGCTGAAGAGAGTGAAACATTCAAAACAACTGGGATCTTGTAAGTCGGACCGTCGGCTCTCTCACCCTGCCCTCTCTCCACTGCTGTTTGCAACCGACGCTAACCTACTTTATCATAGTTATGCTCCCGGAGATTTCGTCGACCCCACCACCTCTGAACTTACGCGCTTCGACACGGCCAACTATAGCCTTCCCGAAGATACGCGCGTCAACAACTCCGTTTACGTCTTCCAGGAGAACAAGGCACCAGTGCTCCTCGATTCGATCGTCGGGAAAAAATCACTTGATGGGCACGACTACCGTAGTGACATGGAATGGATCATAAACAAACAGAGGTTTCAGTGGGTCATCACTGACACTCCGGACTACTGGGACGCGGAGCTGCGGGCCCAAGGTAAGCGGAATACGAAGTATCTAATGGCTGGCGAGGAAGATGGCGTAGCCAACGGGTGGTACCGACGGAGACATGCGAGGGAACTCCGAGGGAGGTATTAATGACAAGAGCAAGGGGAAATCCGAGTTCGATGGCATGAGAGAAGCAAGATTGGTGCTTTCAAACGCAACTCAGACAACTACAAACTTCGGAAAGGAGCATTAATACATATAATCTTCAGTTCTGCGATGTCAAATCACTCCCTTTCTATGCGTACGGTCTCAGTAAGCACGTCAGTTGTCAGCTGTTGCTTCTTCTTGTTGATTGGTTTCTTAAGATCATGACCAGTGTGTATCCTACTAGTCTCTGGGGCAATGAACCACTCTTGCTGCTGAACAGCGCCTTAATCTCCTCGAGGGGTTGTCGAGCGGTCTCTGGAAGAACATCCAGAAGGACAGAGTATTGGTGATGTTGCATACAATGAAAAAGAAGCAGAATCAGTGCCCCGCAGATTTCTTGTCTTCGGGCGTGACTTGATCCTGTGCAATACTAGTAAGGAGTGTTGCCAGCTTTCTACTAGTGCCTTGACTTACAATCGTGCCCGGTGTTAAAAGCAAATGATACCTTGCTCGCGATACCGACTCCCCTTCGCTCAAGTTCATGTATCAAAGACTTCTGTGAAAACAATCTATAATAGCAGCACAGACCACAAGTTGAAGAAAACCTAAAGTTTTTTAATAAAAGCCAGAACAGGTGAATATGATGAAGCCCCGCTGTTCATTGAGATTCGTGGACTATCCGGGAAGAAAAATGGCGAACAGAACAGCGGTACTAATGAATGTCGTCGAGTTGATGATGTTGCCGCCAGTTAGTGACCAGCGGCGGTCTGCACGATTGATGAGGAGCATAGCAAGAGTTTGAGCGATGAAGACCAGCCCAATACTGATTCCTTAGTACTTTAAGGTATCTTGTGTCGCAATTCCAGTTTGCTCAAAGATACAAGGAAAGGCATACTGAATCAAGATTCACTTGGTGACAATTGTCTAATACATGTTGTGAAATCAAACATCTGGTGACCGTGCTTTGGTTGAGGAAACAATCGTGCTCATGTAGGAAGCAGATAGTTCCAGAAGCGATACAATTTGAAGCAGGCGGCTTTCATATTGAAAGCCCTGTCTGATATCGAAGCGCATGCTGTCAATCCGGTCAAGGGGGTTGCTGAGAAAATCACCCGTTGAGAGCTTCGAGAGTGAGCGTGGCACTTGTTGCCTGCGACTCAGAGTTTCAGCATGTAGCACCATCAAGATCGCCCGGAATAGCATCTCGTTGACTTCAGACTGGTTGTTCTCATTTAAAACAAATGTGAGAACGGAATCGGGCAAAGATATCTGCACGTTCATTGGCGAAGCCTGTCGAAATCATGAGCCGGAACTCCAAGTTTCAGCACTTTTTCAATGGTAAACTTCAGCAAGGCAGATATTCCACACAAATGCTTTTAATCTCGATTTGCCAGCAGGTGAAACAGACTGGAGTTGGCAGGGGGCTGCTGGCATATTTGTTGAGCAGACTTGGGGAGCCCCAAAAGATCCCACAACAATCCAGCAAGACAAGAGTTTAAGCAAAAGTTTCTTCTTCAATGTCTAGAACCAGATCCTCTAACGCTGGGTATTCAAAGCACCTGTAGATGTGACTGTAGGCTGCACGATCAACCTGAACAAGCGGTAACGTCCTGAGGTAGCCGAGGGTGTTACTTCTGTCTCTGTCTCATTGCTTTTCCAGCAACTCCTGAGGCATTCCCTTGATAGCCTTCTGCTCGGCGGCCGTAAGTGAGATGTAAAAGTACTTCTCAATAGCCCGCACGCGTTCCGCCTCATTGTGTACCGTCTCCAGAAGTTCGACTCTGTCGCCAATCTTGCGCTTGACCTCATCCTTGTGCAACACAATCGTCCCCTCGGCTTCCTTTGTCTCAGTATTCAGAATCGTCCGCATGCACAGGACCGTCTTGACAAAGTAGCTCGTCGGCTTCGTCATGACGGCCCAGTTCATGATTTCGAAATCCTCGGGGAAGAATTCCTGTTCCGTGAAGCAGTTGCGCTGACGAAAGGGGCCGTCGGCGCTGTCGGTCGAGGAGTACACCCACATGCGCTGACTAGAATCCGTGTTCTGGTCTAGCTTTTCGTAGACGAGTTTACCTCGCAGGGGAGCGATGGTGGTAAACTCGTGGCCGGTCTCCTTATTCAGGGGTACGGGAATCATGGTTGCTCCCTTGCCGAAACCGACGTCGACTGCGTAGCGCTGACCGTCGATGGTGACGAGGTTGAGCATGTGGGACCTGTCCTGTGTCAGCGACGGGTTGGTGGTAGTAGGAGCTCTCACAAGGTTTACCATCCGCCGAATCTCTCTTCCCCCTTGACCTTGGCGCCGACGCTAAAGAGACTGAACCCAAGACCTTTGAGGACGGCGCCGAATATGGCATTGAGCTCCATGCAATAACCGCCTTTGCCCTGCACTACAATCTTGTCAAAGAGGTCCTCCAGATCGATGGAAATGAGGCGGTGCTTTGAGTAGTGCAGAGCCAAGCTCTCAAAGGGAACTCGGGCAAGCTGATGGGCCTGGAGATCCTTCAGAAGCTGCAACCGATCTGATGCATGATCCTCTCGGGGGTAGTTGATGTGTCGGAGATACCGATCAAGCTGCTCCTGGCTGTACGACATCGTGAACGCCTAGTGTGACCGGGGATTTGGAGGGTTTGCTGAATGCAAATTGCAAGAACTTCTTTGAGAACTTCAAGTATACATATATCGAGTTGATTACCAATCCAATCTACGTTCGAACTCCTATACCGGGCTCGTGCAACTGCAGGTTTGGACAGTCTTGGTGAAGTTCTGGGTTGAGGACCTCTTTCGGTATGAGTAATAGTTTCTAGTTCTGGCGTGGGGCATCCCGAAGGCTTGCGATGTCGGCCAAGAATAGTAGGACTAGGACCGTCGGCTAAAACGTTCTTTGGGGGCCGCCTCATACGTGCACGTGGTCTAGAGACAGTGGTTAATGAGCAGACGGCGCCAATGAGCCTTGGGATAAATTCCACATTTTGTTCCAAGTAGACATAATCGAGTTCTTTTCCTGAGTTATTGAAGATGACTTACATTCGTCGGACTTGGACAACCCCTGTAGAGGAGAGTTCCACCTATTGCGCAGAGCTAAGCTGACCATGCAAGTCCTTTGCCCTGCGTCACATCAACTCGCGTAGTCCAATACTATGGGAAGAGGATAATGAGGTCAATTGGTCTTTGAGATGTTCTCACAGTTGTCGAAGTATTGATGTCTAGCAGACTCGAACTGTGGGCTTTTCAGTATCGCGAAATATGGGTATGGGGTGGGTCACATGTTGCAATCGACGGCTTGAAGTTGGAACATCATTATAAGATTATCATTGATCCGTTGTGCCAGGAGAACGATACTAATAATCGCGGTAGTTGACACTAAACAGGGTTGACTTTGACAAATAAGTCGAGGATTGAGGATTGAAGCAGCTCGCTGCCAGAAATACAGACAGCGCGAGTTAATGGGACTCCATTTTAGGAAGGTGGTTGTTACACCCATCAACACGTCATCGCGGGCGCTTCTGCACGCCGCTGGGCACCTCAACTTCACATCAACAACACACTCTTCCAATCAATGCGACAGCATATCCTTGCAATCTCCATTTGCCTAATTGCATTTGCCATGGGTGAAAAATTCATCGTTGAGTTTGGCAGCAGCAAGGTGCGTGCTCACGAAACAGGCAGTTCGACTGTCCCGGCTGCCATGCGCTGATGTTTACGCCATAGGATGAAGATAGAGAAGCTCTCATCAGCAAGTTGACCGCGGACGAGAGGACCAAGGTTGTGAAGCGATTCGACCACGCCATTTTCTCTGGGGTAGTCATAGAGACTGGAAACCACAATCTCGACACGCTTCGGGCTATGCCCAATGTCGGCAATGTTTGGCCATCGAGGGATGAAGGGCTTTTAGGGGCGCTTGGAGGTTCAGAACCGCGAAGGGAAGCTGCGGAATTGTAAGTGGTAGCTACACGTAGGCTTCGCGAAAAAATAAACTTGATTTAGCATGAGGATGCATGCGAGGCGCGATAAAACTTCTCTCCAATGCGGTTATTGGTATCGATTCAGGAGACCGAAAGCATTGGTCTGAGTGATATTGTCCCCGCGCCTCATAATCACCAAGGTGAAAGACTGCAATGGTCACCGCAATCATCAGCTTTTAGGATAGTCTAAGCCTTGAAAGAAGCCACTTCTGATACAGTGGTGAGGAATCTCGGCACATCGTGCCCGAACCTCCCAAGAAAGAGGCCGTCCACAGCCTCGCCCAGCTTCTCAAACAAACCCGGTCCAGCACTGCCGCCATAAATGACTCTCGTCGTTCCCGTTCTCCTCTTGACGCTCTCAAAAGCCCTGATTCCCTTGACCACCTCGATGACATGACCCTCACTGGCCGGCTCGCTTGCACCAATGGCCCAGACCGGCTCATACGCGATGATGACTTCGGCAGACTCGGGCACGTCCGCCAGGGACTGGTCAATCTGGACTTGACACTCGCCCAGCGCGACGCTCAAGTCCCCCTTCGTCTTCTCGCCGATGCAGATCAGGGGCGCCATGCCGTTCCTGCTCGCTGCTGCGGCCTTTTTGGCCACAATCTCGTCGGTCTCGACAAAGAGTCTTCTTCTCTCCGCGTGCCCGACCTCGACGATGGAGACTCCGGTTTCGCGCAGGACGGCTGGACTGACCTCGCCAGTGAAGGCTCCAAAGTCGTCCCAGTGGCAGTCTTGCGCGCCCAGCCGGATAGGTACAGCTGAAGATTTGAGCGCTTCGCTGACAGGGTGGATGGAGATGAAGTCGGGGATAATGAAGATGTCGACGTTCTCTAGAGATTTAGGAGGCAGAGCTGCTAGCTGTGTCTGAACTGTGGCGATGAAGTCTAGCGTGCGCTGGAGCGGGAAGTACATCTTGGTCGAAAGGCCGATGAGCCTCCGGCTCGGTGATGTCGTCATCTTGAAGTTGCGACACTGCTCTAGGGTGTACGTTCCGGTTGGCGGTTTGTCGACGTGCGTTGCAGGACGGGTTGAGTTGCATGTGAAGAACGGTCCGTCCGGGCCACGCACTTCATATGGTGCGGAAAATCGGGCCCGTACCCGCTTGGAGAGGCTGGCGCCCGGTCAATCCACCCGTCTTTGCGGCAATCTTTCTCACCGCGTCGTCAAACTTCCCGGTTGTCCGATGGCATCGGATCTTGGTGTTTGTCCTTTTTCTATTCGACTCCGTTTTTGAGAGATAGTATTTCTTTTCGTCGAGGACATATCCATCTGCGGCTAGACTTCCACTGGGAAATCATGCTCATTCGAATCTTGCCCCACCAAGATCAAGACGTGGAGAAGTAGGAGTGATGAACTCCATGTGGATGCAGAAGGGATTGGAATTAGAAATGCGTTGGAATGCGAGAACGAAATATGGAAGTGAGAGAAGATGAAAAACTTTGGAGACCAGAATCAAGGAGAGGATACTTGCACTTGAACCAGCCAATCTGTGGCTGTTGACTTGCTGTTGCTCGCAGAGCGTCTTAATTTGACGCCATGGTCTTCAGAATAGGTTACTCATTATGTGACTGAAGGGAACAAGAAGAAACGAAAGAGAAAAATGAATGAAGATGGGTGGTGATGCCAGTCTTAAATACCTCTGTCCTTGACCAAGGCTGGACTGGGGTCCCAACCCGCCGCTTCGACCCAAGGCCTGGATCAGCCACCAGGTGAGTCCACCTAGCTCAGTGTGTAATCTTGGTCACTGTTCGGCAAGATACGCGGTCCTTCTTTACTGAATTGCCGTTAAGACCGGGTGAGCCGCAATCTGAATGCTTGACTTCGGCGCCATTCATCATGCGAGATGAGAGTCAGTGTACAGAATAATTGAATCTGATGCTCGGATGAGAACTCATTGAGTCCATGCGATTCTGCGATGCATACACTATGAGGAATTTGAACAAAGTAATGGACGCTTTTATTAATCGTTATTGAAAGGAGACGTGAATGGCTATTTACTTCATGCAGTGGCCTCCAGGCTCTTAATCACATGAACCTTTTCCGCACTATTGCTCGTGGGATCAAACGTGTACCCAAGCCAGTCCTTCGCGAGCCGCCTCGCAAGCTCCAGCCCGATAACCCTCTCGCCCATACACAACACCTGCGCATCATTGCTCAGGATCGAGCGCTCGACACTAAAGCTGTCGTGCGCCGTCACGGCGCGGATGCCCTTGATCTTGTTGGCGGCGATGGCCATGCCGAGTCCCGTGCCGCAGATGAGCAACGCGCGGTCGGCCTTGCCGTCGGCTACCATTTGAGCGGCGGCCGCCGCTCTGTGAGGGTATGCCGTCTTGTCTGCGCCGTCATGGCTTCCGACATCCTCGACGAACTCGACGCGGGCGTCTTTTTCAAAGTCTGCTTTGATTGTGTCCTTGTACTTGATGCCGGCCTCCTGTCCGTATGTCAGCTTAAGCTCTTTGAAATACGGAACTTTGGGCGGCTCACGTCGCATCCGACCACAATGCGGTATTTTGAAACGGGGTTGCTGCCCATCTTGTGTGTTCTTGTTTGGTGCGGGATGAAGATGTGTCTCTGTCGGTTCTGGAGATGGAGGCTATTTTTCTTCGTGATTGTCGCGTGTAAGGAGCTGAACGTGACGAAATACCTGATGCCAAATAACACATCCTGCGATACTTATAAAGCGTGAACAGCGTCATGTGCATCAGTGTGGGTGTGATTTGACGCGGACGGCTCACCCCCCCATAGCCGATCTTCCGCTGCGGAAATCCGGGGTCGAGACGCATTTGCGGCCGATTTACCGGGTCTACGGAAAATCGCACAGCAACAACCGACTGCACCGCATATGACATCGCCTGTTCTGCATCAAGATGAATAGGACCGAACAAAAAATCAGATTCAACATAATCTCTGCCATCCGAAGCATATTAAGTTCGCTTTTGGAAATCGCTTTCAAGAGCTCTGTTGACACACCATCAAATCATGTCCGACCGCCACATTTTCACCTCCTCGGAGGGACTCGTCGACAAGTCCCTCAGAGGGTTCATCTCATACAATCCCTCCCTTGGTCTGGACCAGTCAAACCGGGTGGTCTTTGATTCAACATACGACAAGTCCAAGATCAGCATCATCTCTGGCGGTGGCTCCGGCCACGAGCCCGCATGGGCAGGTTATGTCGGCAACAACATGCTGGCAGCCTCCGTGTCCGGAGACATCTTTGCAAGTCCCTCTGCAAAACAAATCCAGTCTGCCATTGAGCGCGTGCCCTCAGAGGTCGGCACCATTCTCGTCATCACAAACTACACCGGCGACTGCCTCCACTTTGGCCTCGCAGCTGAGAAGGCACGGAGTCGGGGGCACAACTGCCGCATGATCATCTGCGGTGACGATGTGTCGGTTGGAAAGGCGGGTGGCAGCTTGGTCGGACGCAGAGGTCTTGCAGGACAGATTGGTGTTCTCAAGGTCATCAGCGGAGCGGCCGGTGTCAAGGCCGGCACCCTCGACGATATTCACAAGCTCGGGGTTTCTGTTGAATCCGAGATTGTGTCCATCGCCGCCACCATGGATCACTGCCACGTTCCAGGGCGCACAGAACACGCCCGCCTTGGAGAAAACGAGGTGGAGGTTGGAACGGGACCTCACAACGAGCCTGGGTACAGCAAAGTGTCGCCGGCTCCATCTGCGCAGGGCTTGATTGACCAGCTGCTGCGGTACTGCTTGGACCAGGAGGACCCTGACCGAGCGTATGTCAAGTTCAACAACGACGACGAGACGATTCTTCTCGTGAGCAACTTTGGAGGAATTTCCTACCTGGAAATGGGCGCTTTGGTCGACGAGCTCCTCGAGCAGCTTGACACAAAATGGAACATCAGGCCAGCGAGGGTGTACTCAGGCCCTCTGGAGACCTCCCTTAACGCACCCGCATTCTCAGTATCGCTGATGAACATCACAGCGGCATCAAAGAAATGCAGCTTCTCCGCAGAGCAAATCTTCCAATTCGCCGACCTCAAGACTAATACGCACTGGGAGTCAATGGCCGGCGCGCAAGCCGTCCGCCGAGACCGGAAGCTCCAGTTCGTGCAGTCACCTCCCGAGGAGCCGAAGAAGATCGAGGCGAACCGCGACGTCAAGATGGACCCGGCGACGCTCAAGTCCATGCTGAACATGGCTTGCCTGGCGGTTATCGACGCCGAACCCGACTTGACAAAGTGGGACATGGTGATGGGCGACGGCGACTGCGGCGAGACCCTCAAGACGGGCGCGTCGCATCTACTCGATGCTCTTGATAACAAAGGCATCGCGGCCGAGGGCTCCATCGTCTCGGTTCTCCACGAGCTGGAGGACATTGTCGAGAGCAAGATGGGCGGCACGCTCGGTGGCATCCTTGGCATCTTCTTCGTCTCGCTCAGCAACTCGGTGGAAAAGAACGCGTCCCTGGCAAAGTCGCAGGGAATTCTGCCTCTATGGACTCTGGCGCTCACGTCTGCTTTGGAGCATCTGAGCCACTACACGCCTGCCAAGATTGGAGACCGGACGATCCTTGATGTGCTGATTCCTTTTGTCGAGGCGATTCGCAACAAGGGGTTCGAGGGAGCTGTTCAGGCGGCGGTCGAGGGGGCCGAGTACACGAGGAAGACCAAGGCGAAGCTTGGTCGCGCGACGTATGTTGCGGCTTCTGGGAAGGATACGTCATTCCACCCTGACCCTGGTGCTTGGGGTGCGATGGTCGCCATCAAGGGCTTACAATCTGGCATGGCTTGAGGTGTCTTGGTCTCGTGTTTTTATTATATTTTTCCCACATAATTTAGCGTTGGATTTCAATACACTATGACAGTTCGATCTTGAAGTAATAATTTCCAAGGCTACGGGAACCCGGAAAAGCATACTTGAGATACTTCATCAGTTGTGTCAGTGTTGGCGCAATCTCCTTCCGCACACCAGAGACCTTCATGTGAGTTGCCTCGCTGAAATCGTGAGAAACTCCAAATTCACCGCGGCATTGCACTAGAAGGTTTGATATACAAACAGTGATCTTCTTCATTTGAGGGCCACTGTAAGACTCTCCATGGTCGTCAAATTTAGTAGCACAGATATGGGATTTCTGGTTCATCATATCTCCAATTTCAAGATGTGGTTCATCCTGAGAATAGCGAATGTGAAGCATCCCGCAACCAAGCACATGTTAATACAACGGCAAAACGGCCAGACAGAATGCTTTGAAGTCAAGGCCAAAGCAGCAAGTTGTCCTGCTCAAACTGGCTCTTTCGTTAGCTAGCTGCAGCTTCGAGCCCTTAGCATCAAACGAGCCACATCAGCACTTCCTAGGCCACCAGTATTCAGAGTAAACTATTCCATCTCGACGCTTGATTCGTCAATGGTTCGAAGATGCCAGGGGTTTGAGCGAGATACCAGCACTTGACACATGGTAGATCAAGGCCCTGCCCAGAAGCTAAGCTCTTCCATATGCCGGCAACCACCCAGGCTGTCGGGACCAGAAGCATGGACGTTCCTGATCGTCGCCCGAACTACTGGGATAGACAGGGGAGCAGCATATGTATGCCGTCGAGCTGTCAAGCTGTCAGGTCCTTGTGGCAGATCGGGTCTGCTAAAGGAGGCGGCAAGGGTCGAGGCAAGCTGGAGCAGGTCGAGGACGGGGAATCTGATACGGTTGGGAGCAGTCCAGTGAGCCTATGATCAGTCCATTAGGCCTCCCTCCCTCAACGGCCAGGCTCTGCACACTGGAGTGACTTGACGTTGTCTCAAGCAGGCGGTCTACCTCATCTCCTAGTCTCCTTGGCAGAAGTACATGTGCCCTTTGACTAGACAAATGTGTCAGCAACGAGGCCATGACTTCTGAATAACACATCTCCTATGAGTTGAAAGCAAGTACTCTGCGTGGTTTCTTCAGCTCTTGGAACGTGGACAACACAGAGACCCCAAAGCATGTTGAACTCGGCTGAAATCACATGCATGCCTGCCAAATCATTGCCCCAACTGCCTAACGAGCACTTCACGATGGCACTGTTCTCGTCAATCTTGGACCGATGACTTCGGAAGCTCGGTTGCGCGGAGGCTCCGCCCCCAAGGATACACCAATTTCCCCAGGGCAGGCTCATGGGAGCCGGGGGTTCCCACACAACCAGAAGGGCGAGCGGCTCGAGTTTCTCAAAACGATGCAACACTCATACAGCCAGAAAGACCCCTTTCCCCAGGATTGCGGAAAAGGTTTGCCACGTCTCCGCACCGTTCGCATTGGCTGCGGCTCACATCCGGGGCATTCTTCCGGAAGGGGGGGAAGCCCGTGGGAACGCGGATGATTGCCACATTTCCGCAGCCTTCGTATTACTTATGACACACTCCCACCGTCCGTCTTCCTAATCCCGGGAAGGAAAGCTGTGCACATGAACACTCTTGCGGGGCAAGGCCCCGCATAGTGTTCCAGCGGCCGGCTATCTTGGGGCTGTTCGAAATTCTCGGGTCGCTCTTGGCTTGTTCCTTGACGTGGTCATGCGGTTCTGATCTCCTGAGGTCCAGGCTTTTGGAAATTGAGAGGAAAACTGGGACTTACCAACCTCAACGTCGTGGATGTTTTGTTGTTGGATGAGACTAGACCCGGAACTATGGGGGCGCTTGAGGGTCCCGGGGAAATCGCATGCGCCGGGTTACTTCTTTGGGCAATCCGAGGCCAGGGGCACAGACTTGACCTGAGTGGCGGGTTGGCCGGGACAATCCTTTTTGAATTCAAGGGGGTCCAACTTGCGGAGTCTGGGGGTTCGCGGGGGCAAGGTTCTTTTGGGGACGTGAGGCTCCTCTGACTGGACCTGACGACGTTCTGCTCACTGTGAGGTTGCAAACGGACAGTTTAATGCTGACACCGGGAGTTCGGACAGACTGATACACACATCGCAGATTCGTTCCCCTCGATCATGGAATTTGCACCGCGATCACGCCGAGATCGGAGCCTGGATAAGTCCAAGCGTACATATCAAGCAGGGCTGACAAACTGACAAGACGGGAACTGAAAGAGCCAAACACTCCACAACGATGTCTTACAAGTCGAACCCCTGGGAGTCTCGTCAAGCTCTGCTGTTCGCCCACCCCTCCTTCACTTACGATTAACCGGTGCGGACTGGCCGGCGTCTGGTGCCCGGTGTTCGTGCCGCAATGGTAGCTGCCGAGAGACAACTCTCGCCTTCCACGTACCTCATTGCAGTGCCAATGCTGTTGGTTGACGACAATTGGCTGATCTTCTCCAATGACAAGGGGATATAGTCACGCTTACCATCATCCTTACCTAGAGGGGTGTGTTGCGATTTGTGCTGGGACGAAGGGTCCTAATCCGAGATGGGTAATGCCGGGGCCCTTTATGCTCGCAGCTTCTGATCCTAGAATAGCAGATCGTGACCAACAAAACAAAGTTAGCTGTCGTGTGTTGCATTTTTTTTTTCTGGGCCCATTCCCCTCCTTACGCACTTTTGATGCTCATCGTGACCGCCCTCCTCACGAGATCCAAATCTTTCGATCTTCTCTACTCACTCACACACGCTGACTGGAGAAGGAAAAAAGCATCCACAGTTTGACAGCTTATAAAGACTCCAATTATGATCCGGGACCGACATGCGAGCCGCGCAAGTTTTGCATGCGTGCGTTGCAAAAAAGACAAGAGACGGTGCGACATCTCTCAGATTCTGAGCTCGGGGGACCGACTGGACCGATCCTGCACGTCATGTCGGAACAAGAACGAAAAGTGCGAGGTCCGGTACGGTGAGGACAAGCGCAGCCAACGCCAACCGAACGAAACCAAGGCATTACAGCGGCGGATGCAGGCGCTAGAGGAACTTGTCAAGAATGTTTCCCGGTCCGAGGTGGCCAGCAAGAACTCGGAGCCTCCTACGCGGCACAAGACGGACGATGACTCGGATTGTCTAATGGAACAGACACGGCGGACTGCCAAAGACTATCAGGATGAGACGACACGCGCTTTTCCGAGCCCTGCCAACTCTTCAAGTCCAGGGAATCGTCTGACGACGATATCGATCTCACCACCGGAGGGAGGAGAGTCCAATTGGGCTGGAATTTTGCAGCAGGAGCCTCTTCCCACCTCACAATCACATCGATCAGTCTCCTTCTCAGGGCAGAACAGACCAAAGACCGACGACATCACACATAATGCCCTTCGATCCATCTCCTTCTCGGGTCCAAGCAGGCCAGAACTCGACTGTGTCAACGAGGGCTTTCCTCCCGTCATGGAAGAGGTTGGGACTCCCGATAGCATGCATGACTTTGACCAATTCCTAGGCTCCTCGACCCTGTTCCCATACTCAGAGAACCAGACCCGCTCGAGAAGCCCGCGCAGTGAAGGTCCATCTTTTGAAGATGACTCAAGTAGACGAGCCCGCGGCGCCCTCGAGTGTTTCCCCGAACCAGAGCCCATCGTGTCCCATCTGCTAGACCTTTTCTGGAAATGGCAGTCATCCCATCTTCTCGTCGTTGATCGTGCATTGTTTCTTCGTCATAGAGAAATCTGGGACGAGAGCGAGGGAGACAAGGGTGATCGAAACTACTACACTCCATGTCTTCTGTATGCGATTATGGCCGTGGCGTCGATGATTAGCCTCGACAAAGGGGTCGTGCGCTACTCTACTTTTGCGGGTGGTGTTGCTGGAGAGACTTTTGCGAAGCGAGCGCGCACAATGTTTGATCTAGAGATGGACCATCCTACCATCGCGACTGTCCAGGCGGCGTTGATTCTTGGTTCTCGATATGGGGCCATGGAGGATAACTCTCTTGGTTGGATGTATAGCGGTAAGAGCCCTTTTCATCTGCGACGACGTCTAGTTGCTGACATGCTGCTTTCTGCTGCAGGCATCGCGTTTAGAATGGCGACCAAGCTGGGGCTACACCTGGACTGTTCTAAAGCCGTGGCATCTGGCCAAATGAGCTCGGAGATGGCCGAACTTAGGCGGAGAGTCTTTTGGGGTTGCCATATTGAAGACAAGTAAGCATATCTAAGAGAAATGATTTATCTTGCGATCATCGCGACAGCGAAGACTAATCATCGAGATTAAAACAGTCTTTTCAGCGCTTACTGCGGCCGTCCCAACTCCTTCATGGAGTGGGACGTCACCGTTTCTATGCCTGAACGGCAAATCGAGGGCATCGACAAACAAGACTCTGATCCCACCTCCTCCCTTTTACATCACACTTCGACGCTCTCAGTGTTATGTTCAAAGATATTAATCAGCATTCATCGCCAAAAGCGTCATCTTACGACAAGTGAGCTGAGGTTGAAAGCCTCTCAAATTCACAGGGCGTTGTGGCAGTGGCACCATGATTTACCAAAGACTCTGATATGGTCCAGTGACTCAAACATCCTGGCACAGCCCCATGTCTTCATCTTGCAGTAAGCTGAATTCCCAACATGATAATGTCACGCCGCCTTTTTACTTTGTCTTGTCGAGTCAATGAGCAGGACCCAACAAGATAGACAGCTGATGGTTTCCGCAGAATGAACTTCTATTTCGCCCTCATTCTACTCCACCGCCCGTTCCTCCGATTCTCTTCAACATCTCTCGACATCGACAGCATGAGCCCATCAACTCCAAACTCTGCACACGCATGCGCCACAGCGGCAGCAAACATCACAAAACTCGCGACTACATACAGGCGGTCTTTCAACATGAGACAGCTGCCCCCGTCCGTCGTCCATTTCATCTTCATCGCAGGCAGCATCCATCTCCTCAATCTCCGCGCAGGGCAATCAGGAAACCACGACGTCCTCCTCCAGAGCTCTACTGAAGCCCTGTCCGAGCTCGGAAAGTCGTATCCCGTGGCACAGAAGGCTGGATTCGAGCTGGATGGCCTGATTGAGAAATGGAGGTTGGCGAAGGAGGCCGAGAAGAGAGCTGCTGAGACGAGCAGGGCGGCACAGGAGGTTGAGAATCACATCGGCCCTGGCTGTGCGGTTCCACCAGGGGTGTCTGGGTTTATGGATATTGATTTTTCTCCGCTGGAGGAAATTGGGGAGTTTATGGATATGAAAAAGGGCCAGCAGCCTGTCACGAAGTCTGTGTTTGATATGCCGGCTGATATCGGCTTCAATGAACAGCTGTCGCTAGACCAAAACGGTAATGATTGTATTTTTCTTGGGCCGGAATGGCTTCACAATGGGGCAGAATTTGAAAATATGGATGGCAACGGCTGTCCTTGGCTGTATAATTAAAAATGAAAGATAGGGAATTGTTAGATTCGCCATGTACAACCAAATCGGAGTCTTCAACCGAGTATGGCTACTATCCAAGTTTGTAATGAGTGAATTGCGACTTTACACTTTTTAATTGTCGATATTGATGATCATCAATTGTAATTTACTTTCCAAGGCCGTCTTCTTTGCTGGAAATTCGCATAGAGATTATGGAAGTCAAGAATAAATGACGAACGCGGTGCGCCCCTATCGTTCGGAAAGGAAGTTGCATGCCTACGCGGAGTTCAACTCCTGACTCCTCAGACTTGGCTAAAGTCATACAATCCTACAGAAGGAACTTGACTGAAATTTTCAACAACTCACCAATCAGGTTGGTGAGACAGTGAACCATATGAGGTCAGGCAGAAGAAAGCACCTCCAATAGAACTGACTCCCGGCCAGGGAGGTGGGAGCTGCCGAGCTTCCTTAGTGGCGCTGCCCATAATACTAGTGCCAACTTGTTCTCACCCATACTCTGGTGCCTGCGTCCAAGTCTTCCTCTCATTCAGAGTTGAGACGATAATTTGGCTAGTTAATCCATATAACCTCCTTCTCATGGACATTCAGCTTTTCGGTCTTGTGCATCAAGCACCATCAGATACTCTTATAACTTCCAAAGCGCGATGCGCTACGTCTACCTCCGACTTGGCGTGACATTTTGTAGGATTTAAATCTTATTTCAGAGCTCAAAAATTATACAGACAGGCGGCATCCCCAAGATTCTTCATTCATGAAATCACTCATAAGAACAAACGCGTATGAGCCACACCAGTATCGATAGCCGTGAACCGACAGAAATAAGATACTAACCATCATTTTTGAGAAGATTTACTGGAACAACACGGCGTTCGCTGCTCGCAGTCCGAAGGATCTAAGCAAGATTGGGACATTTGCCTACCACGCTGACGAAAAAGCTTATCAACCAAACTTGAATGAAGTTGGAACCATAGACACAGGGAAACCTGACGCCCACCCATCTCCCTGTTCTGCCGAATGAGACAACGCATGTACTAGAGGACTTGGATGCTTGGCTGAAAAGGGAGATGCATCTTCGAAATGGTGGCTGCACCGCGTCTACTCGGAACTCCTTCAGACATCGGTTCCTTCGCTAAACCATTCCGACGTGATTATTGATTCCATACATGCGTACGACATCACCGCTTTGAGCGTGGTGGCCAACGGGACGCCCCTTAGAGCCGATTCCCGCGACATTCTTGGCTTCTTCCGCATGGTTATGCACTATCACCATTTCTACAGGACCGCCTCGACCAGTTTGTCCTCTTCTTATACTGGCATCGATACAAGGCCTATAGCCAGAATCTCCGAGTTTGGGCTGAATTTGCTGGAACTGGAGGAGGCTCCAGCACATACTGCCAGCCTTCATAGTTTATAATTCGTGTCTTGCTCAGGGCAACTTCGTTGCTCGATCAACCCGACAAAAAGGCTTTGATCGTTGGACGACGTGTGCCGAGGAACTGACTCAGTAGAGATAAGGTTAGTGTGCAGAAAGTCCCGTCCAAATAGAGGCCTTTTGATGTCGATATCCAGTTGGACGAGGAGGCGGGCATAACTAATGCGGTCCTGGGTTTTCGGCAAGGCCCAGCAGAACTATGGATCAAGCTGCGGATTCCGGAAAGAGGTCAACTGAAGAATGTCACTGTTGATGGTGGCGTGGTGGAGTAAAAGGGAGGAGAGGTCATATTGAAGTTCGTCTCGACCGTCAGCAATCTCATCGTAATGGGAACTTTCTAGGTGGTAAGCTTCGAGTAGTGGCACGAGCGCCGCAATTTTTGGACGTGCATGTAACAACCTTGAGTAGCGTCGTCTCTGCGCCTCTGGGCCTGTGGTTGTCTTCTGCGAAGTAAAAACAATTTAGTGTTGCCCGAGGACTATCTCCATGTTTAACACTTGCATAGTGTGCATATTTTCTTGCAACATGTTTGTTAAGTCAGGCCAACACCGACCGCATGGCATGCAAATTATACAACTAAACTTCCCGTGATCCACTCCCAGTGCGTTTGATCTACTGGCCTCACTTATTCAGTATTACATGTGACTGTCTGGTAGGCTTGGAGCAATGCAGTCATGTTACGAGTCATCTACGAGAGCATTTGGGCCGACGATATCATCAGCAAAAAAGTTTGTACTGATGTCACGCCATTGGACGCGGAATTGTCGTGCCATGCCCATCCTATGCATGCAGGCGTAAGATCAGGCTTGACTGCGTCGAGCTTGGCGACCCAGGACAGGATCTGGATAAAAGGCGTTCCGTACGATGTCCTTCAATTCTCTGCCAATCAGAGCCTGGGCTTTTGACTCTGCGTATGTCCAATCAATCAGGCTGCTGGTGGACAAGTCTGGCTTACTACAATATGAATCTTCCCCTCACCTAGCCTGATTTCTCCTTGCTGTTACACGTCCTCCATCTTCAACGACAACCATGGAGCCGGTGGGACTAGCTGTCGGAGTCGCAGGGCTTGCCGGCGTCCTCAGCACTTGCCTAGACGTCATTGAGCGAGTTGATATTTACAAAGACTTCGACAAGGATTCACGTTCACTAGCTGTTCAGTTCGAAGCGGAGAAAGTTCGTCTCAAGAAATGGGCCTGCGACGTCGGATACCAGGAAGGGAAGCTCTCGGACAACCATCATGCCGCCCTGGATGACCCGCAAATTCGTTTGATGACCACGGAACTTCTGAGTGTCATCAAGGGAATCTGTGGTGGCGCAACGGCTACAATCCAGAAGCACCCATTGGATTCACAACCCGGGCTTGGTGGTGACACAGCAATCCCCACTAACGGCAATCAATTCCTCTCAAAACATTCGGAATCAAGGAGGCAAAAGCTCGTGTGGTCTTTGAGAGGCAAGGCTAGACGCACATCTCAAGTTGAAAACCTCGGGGTTCTCGTGCAGCATCTGCACAACCTAGTCTCCCCCGATAGTGTATTGCCACAAGGAGAACTTCTGGATAGGCCTGATGAGGCTTGTGTCTATGGGAAAAGTTCGTATTACCCACATTCCTCTTCAAAAGCCCAGACATGACATAGCTCAAAAATTGGCCGTCATTGAGTTGGTCAAGCTGTGCCGGCTTCAAATTTGATTCCTCTAGGCCCGAACAAATCTAACACGACTCACCTAGATGACTACATGGAAAGAAGAACGTTGCTTCATGAAATTCGTCAGACTTTATCTCGTTTAGAAAAGGAGATGGAAGGTATCTTGTGTTTCTTCACTCTGACCTCCTGAAGCAGCTTGAGACTAACGGTTGACGACTATAGCCGAGACTCGACGAGACCTCCGTGCCTGGTTGGCTTGCCCACCACCAAACGATCTGTACTTCGAATCAAAACAAAAACGGCTCGAGAAAACATGCGACTGGATCTTGGAACGCCCCGAATTCATTGAGTGGCTCGCTCCAGACGCCAAATCTACCAACACCGAAAAGCTGCTATGGATTAACGGGCCCGCGGGGCTTGGGAAGACTGTTCTTTGCGCCCGCGTGGTCGAATATTTAATGTCCTTATCTCAGACTCCTGTGGCGTATTTCTTTTTGTCTTCCGACTTCGAAAGCCGCGACAACCCTTACGCAGCAATTCGGTCATGGGTCCACCAGGTGACATCTTGTCGCCAGGTTGCCTACCAATTGGTGCGAGACAAATGGCTAGCTCAGAACGAACAGTTCGCCACACAGACCGAAATTGTCAACCTCTTCCGAGAAGTTGCGCAAGCCATACACGGTGCCACTTTTGTCTTGGACGGTTTGGACGAATGTACCTGGATCGGCGAAGGTCACCAGGACAACAAATCTCTGCGGAATTTCCTCGATACCATGATGAAGGCAGTGTCTAATACCCATTCTCGCCTCTTGGTTGTAAGTCGGGATGAGTCTGAGATTCGAAGCGGTATGCTCGACTTGAAACGATGTGGGGAACTCAAAATCGTCTCTGAAGACGTTCAATCTGATGTTGCTCGATACTCGAGAAGCATTGTCGACAAGAAGCTACCTAAAAAAGACTCGGCTACCCGAGAAGACGTTTCCCAAATGCTTGCAGATCGGTCCACTGGCCAGTTCCTCTGGGTCAAGTTACACGAGGAGTCTTTACGCAGCTGGAAAAACAAGAAACAACTTGTGGATGCCATCAACGAAATACCACCGGGACTCGATCATGTTTACGAACGAAATTGGACAAGAATTTCAAGACTACCAGATCCAATACGCAACCGCGCCTATTCTCTGCTACAATGGGCGGCTTTTGCACTCCGGCCCCTAACCATCAACGAGATTTCTGAGGCCGTGCTGATTGACGAAGGCAGGGAAGAATTCCCTGCATATGAGTTACCGGATGAGGTCGATGATGATTTCATCGATAGCGAGATTCAGAGTCCATGTGGCTCACTTTTGGAGATTCGAGGCACACCCTCAGATGTCGAAATTGGGCTTAGGACGGTACATTTGACGCATTTCTCAGTCAAACAGTATTTCCTAAGCAATATCTCAGCTCAATGGCTGCCCTTCCGTCTGAATGGCCAAATTTCGAATGAGATCTTGCAAAGCAGCAGACTGGCAAAGCTATGTCTCCGTTATATCAACAGTCGGCATTTTTCGGACTCTGAAATGGAAACAACAAACTTGAAGCCAGGAAGTACGCAGGAAGAGAGCATGAAAGCCTGTGTCAAGAGATCATTTCGATACTACGCAGCGGATTCATGGTATCAACACGCCGCTGCCGGCGATGAACATGACGCTAACTTGGCAATGTTCATGAATGCTCTGTTTGATGTCCTCAACCCTAGCTGGAGTGTGTGGCGCAATTTCTTCGAGATCAATAGTCCGGATATCGGCCTGGGAACTGATTTCCAACTCCAACCGCAGCATGCCGGCCCACTGCACTACGCTGCACAGTTCGGCTTCGTCAAACTCGCGTCCTATCTTATTCACAACAAACAACATGATGTAGATGCAAAGGCTCCGTTCGGTAGAACAGCACTGGAGATTGCATGTAGGGCTGGTGATTTCAGACTTTCTAAGATGCTTCCAGATGCGGGGGCGAATAGCTCTGCATCGAACGACATGGGATCGACACCTTTGATGGAGGCTACGTATCAGGGGGCCTTTAACCTGATCAAACTTCTCCTCGATAACGGGGCCGACTACAATGCCGCTGATAACCGTAATGATACGGCACTTATAGTGGCTTCATCCCGCGGTCACCTCGAGATAGTGACGTTGCTTCTCGAAAAGGGATGTGAGGTGGCTTTCGCAATCGACTATGGCTGTACGTCCCTAAGAATGCATCTGATAATGGACACTTAGAGGTGGTCAAGCTGCTTCTAAGCAAGGGAGCGAATGTTGCTCACGCGACCTACACCAAACTTTCGTCGATTCATTTGGCTTCTACTGCAGGTCACCATGAGATTGCTAAGCTACTCTTGGAGAAAGGTGCAGACGTTGCGGCTCTTACTGATCGAGGATGGACACCACTCCATACAGCATCGCGCCTAGGTCAGCTCAAGATAGTCCAGCTACTCCTGGATAACGGGGCTGATCCAACAGCTATGAATGCTGACAGGTGGACGCCAATCTACTTAGCATCACTTCACGGGCATGAAGAGGTTATGAAACTATTTCTGGCCCACGGTGATGGTTGCGTAACTTCCAACAGGGCCTGTTTGCCATCACTTTCTTCAGATTCAGCTACCAGGAACAGCAAACTTGCCGAGTTGCTTCTCGGCGAACGCCAATTTAACAAACCCACCTCATTCGTAACAGGATGGACTCCAATCCACGAAGCCTCGTATTGTAGACGGGTTGAATTGCTTCAGTTACTCCTCGATGAGGGGACTGACGCGAATCTGACAGACTCCCGTGGGTGGACACCATTACATGTTGCAGCTTTGAGCGGGCATACCGAAGTCGCAGGATTGCTTCTCCAGGACCCCAGATGCAAGACTGATGTAAAAGACAATATTGGACGGACACCCCTTTTCTACGCTTCAGCAAGCGGACATTACGCAATGACCAAGTGGCTGGTCAATCAAAATCCACAAGACGTTCACATTGCGGATTGGTATGCTTCGACCCCATTGTCTGCAGCATGCCGCAACGGCCATGAAGAAATCGTCAAACTTTTGCTCGTCCTCGATAAAAACTCAATAAAAGTCGGGACATACTTGATAGGAGCATCATGTGGTGGGCGAGGAAGAGTGGACGCGCACAAATCATCCGCTTAGTGCTGCAACATGCCTCAAAACTTGGAATCAGCTTTCCCGAAGACAACGTTCTCGGTACACAAGCAGCAGACTTCAATTACAGCTTGGCTTGGTGCGATATATGTTTGTCAACTATTCCAACTGGACAGTCCTACTACGCTTGCAATCTTTGCGATGAGGGCGATTTTGTCATCTGTTTTGATTGCAAGAGTCTCAACCTCAAATGTCAAGATGACTCTCATTGTTGGGGGGACTGGTGTCAAAGGGCAGTGGTAGAGACTGACAAGAAAGAAAACATAGCTTGATATCTGAAACGATGGACAAGAATTGAAGCCACAAGTGTGAATTCTAGATTGACTTGCCCCCGCGACATGTTTGCTAGAACATAGGAGCTTTTTGTCTCATTGGCAAGTCTTCCATGTCTTCATGATGATCATTCTGTCACCTTGAGGCATTCAATGAAAATGACAGCCAGGGCTGTTTTTCTTCTTGTCCTTGTTGAAAATCTTACAGAATTCATCAATTTATCAACGTCTCTCCGGTATTGTGAGTGTAGAAATGGAAGACTTTCCGTCTCATTTAGATCAACAGCAGACGGCTGTTGCGCGGCAAGAAATACGCCAAGATGATCAATCAATTGACGTGCTTGGACTCAAGGGTTTAAAGAATCAATGCGTGTGACAATTCAACACAGATCGGACAAATTTGAGAGCGTCTCATCTCCTATTTAATGTGTCTTGTTGAGCATATACACACGTGCTCAGAAGTGTCTGCCATCTGACAGTTGCAAACAAGAAAATGCGACTAGGTCCCTTGCCCACCTCAACTCAAATAAGACCAGGGAAACTTTTTAATTCGTTCCCAAGCCGTCGTTGGGTTGGAGTACATAGCGAAATGATCACTTTTCGGAACCTCCGTCAACTCCACGCCAGCCTGCGCGGTACGCCGCAGATACAACACATTCATTCATGTACGATTCACGGAACTTGAAAATTTTCTGGGAACGGGAGTTCCTCGTGCGCAATTCAACAAATATCCATTATCGATGTAATATACCATGGACTCGAACATCGGTCTCGCTACATCTGGCCTGACTTTTGCACGGGAACCCGCCGCGCAGATCCCATTGCACTTGTCCGCCAATCGCAGAGTCCGCTCGATAAAAGATGTGATGAAAATCTCTGTGTCGCTTGCAGGGAACTCAAAGATTCTTCGGCTGAGAAAGTAGTCTAGAGCGAAATTCCCCGTGATATTGGTGAGCTCAGCACCACGTCCGGGTTGCGCTGCGCGAGTAGCGAGCCTGTCCAGCCGCCCATGGAGTGACGGACGAGGTGAAAACGTTTGATTTTGTGAGCATCAAGCACCGCCTCTGCCACGGCAACGAGAAATGGCAAAGCGATGGCGTTACAGTCTGTGCGGGTGGAGGCGCCGCTGCCCAGGATGTCATAGGCAAGGATGGGTTAGTAGGGCAGGGAAGGTTTCATGATGAATCGTATCGGCAAAGTCTTCTTTAGTACGCCCGAAGCCATAGAGGAAGGAGATCGGGTCGAATGGCCCGTCACCGCGGCCAACCTCTCGGTGCCGGCGGTGGTCCGTGTTGGAAGATCAACGGAAGTGGGTCACAATAAACCGGCGGTCCTATCCTCAGATTCAGATTCAATTTCAAGGGACCGAATGTCGATCAACCCTTCAGTAATGCACCGGACAGAGTTGTGCACCATGACAGTAACTTGTGATGTCTATCTTGATGCTAAAGCTCTCATCTGACTCCTTCCAACGGAGATCAGTCACCAGAGGGCATCAAGCCTAAGTTGGGTGCACTGCCTCTCTCCGGGATTGATTTTATGAAGTGCTGGGCGTCGAACGCTTCTTACAAATGAACGGGTTGCGCTGGGCACCAGGTAGATTCCCGAGCTAATGGACAAAGATGCATTCGCTGAGGCCTATTTACACTCCTTTGGAGCCGTCATGTTGCAATGCCCGCGTTGAACTGTGCCGGGTCCCGAATCTGCCGGCCGTGAAACCGACTGGAGTGTTGCCGCCGTGACGGTCTCTGATTCATCGGGATGGCAGCATCCCGCCCTACCCAAGAGGTTCTTTCTGTTAGAGAGCTGGCACACGAGCGTTTCGAATTTGAGGAGCATTGGACATAGACAAATCAAGTTTCCTGCAGCCTTACGTTCCCTGCACATCTCATGAATAGTTTCTCGGAGGGGTTGTCTAGTAGGAAAATGGACTTATTAGATGCTCTGAAAACATAAGGCGATGCGACAGCGATGGCCTCAGCAGGTGATCTTAACTTGCTGCACAGAGTAAGTAGGTTTCGGGATTTCTTGGCCACGGCACGCGATCGCGAATAATCATGATGAGCAAGCCGCCTCAGTCGTGACTTCTATCCGTACTTACTCTTCCGATCGTCTCAATCGAAAGCCTCCGCGCCGCAATGCAGCAGATTGTCAGAGCGTGAGTCTACAGGATGAGCCCCTCAAACGAAGATCAGGATGCACTGCCATCTGAAGACTGTCATGCCAAAGCTTGTGTTTATTCGCTTAAGACGACGGCAGGCAAGGGGTCAACCAAGTGTTTCATGCTAATCAAACACTACCCGAATCTTTCAGGTTGAGTGATATTGATTGAGATTGGCTGCCAGGTGGATGAGATTTGAGTGAGCGGGGGGTGAGAAGTCGCGCTACAGAGTCTGTCTGTGCTGTTCTGGGGATGAGTGAGCCAGCCAGCCACGCCAGCATCTAAACAAGTCCCGCCTGTCCAGGTTCCCCTTGCCAAGCAGCAATTCGGCGGAGCTATGTCAAGGAAGAACCGCTAAAATAAGTATGACATCAACGTTGAAACAGGGCAGGTAGTACAGTGAAGCCCCTTTCTTTCCCCCCTCCGTGCCTCCCACACTCTATCCGTCTCGTACCGCTTTTCATGGGATAGACTGTGGGCAGTGACCTGGCACACCTAAGGTGAACAGAAAGGGTGTTCTACGACACACCTACGAATATAACCTTGAGATCTAGACTCTGGGCTGGGTTTGAATGACATCTCATCGTGGACGGGCACTCGTCACACGGAGCCTCATCTGAACTCCCAGCAAATCTTACACCATCGCGGCCTTCAAAAACCTTGACGTCTTACTCGCTTTCCATTGTGGTGCACATACAGCGGAAAGAACGGTATGCACCACGTGTGAAGCTGACCACTGCAAGTGGTCTGGCGCGCATTAACCCGCCCTCATTAACCTGTAACTGGCCATCGCCAACGCTGCTCCATAGAACAAACACACAGTTCACTGCCGCCAAGGATGGACCGCGCGGCAGCGAGGCAGTGTTGCAAGAAAACCGGAGCTTGCTCTCATTGCTTCGGAACTCCGCTGATCGCACCCAGCCAAACGGCTTTAATCTCAGCCAAGATTGACTCTTCGTACCGACGGCGCACCAAACTTGATGGCCAGCGGCAGCGACCCGTCGTATTCCATCCTTCTCCTCTGCCCCTGGGCACACTTCTCGTATTTCTCTGGGCCCTCTGGGCAGCGTCGATCGGGTCCTGGTAGTGTTGAGATTTGAGTCTGGACCTCCCTTGGGGCACCTCAAGGTCTAGGTATCTCCAGAGATAATCGTTTCTTGTACATTAAATCAATCGTGCTTCCCTCCTTGTTTGCCGTTCCCCATCTGTGTCTCCTCAATCTACCCCTTGATCCTCGTCATAAACGATTCATACCCACAGCTGCAAGATCAGAAGCACCACTTTTCCTTCCAGATCTCTCTAACTGCTCTTCATTTCGCTTTCGACTCTGATCAAACATCGTTCACGATTCCTCAAACAAACATTCTGATCATCACCCCAAACCTCTGAGCAACCACCATAGATCTCGCTCATCACTCGATCGACATTGTAAAGCGTATTCAACGAAATCCAACCCAGCACCGTCACTATGAAGTACATCGTCGCCCTTGGACTCATCTCCGGCCTCGCCGCCGCCCAGTCGGCCACCGTCTCCGCCCCATCCTCCAACTCAACCAGTCTAGCCGGCCTCATCGCCCAACTCCCCAGCTGCGCCGTTGGCTGCCTCGCCACCGCCGCCAGCGACATTGGCTGCGCCGCGACAGACTTCACCTGCCTATGCGCCAGCCAGGACAAGCTCGTCTCCAGCCTCACGCCCTGCGTCCTCACGGCGGGCTGTTCCACCAACGACATCGCCGGTATGTTGCGAAACCAACGACATCTAGTTGTGATTCGGGTTCAACGTACATGTAGAGATGGCTAACAAGGTTTTCACAGAGGCTGCAAAGGTCGCACCGTCCATCTGCGCAGAAGTTCAGAGCAACCCGGCCGCATCCGACCTCGCCTCGGCGTCGAAACTCGTCACCGGCGCCCTCGGCACCGCGACCGCTACCGCTAGCAGCTCCGCATCTGCCACCCCGACACCCGCCGCCGCCGCACGGTTGACTAACGCGTACTACGGCATGCTCGGCGCCGTTGCCATCGCTGCTGCTGCTTTGTAAATATCGCATGGACTCATAAGATACCAATTTTCCGGGATTCGGGGAAACGGCGCATTAGGGTGGCTTTGGCATTGATTTCTTTGGACACATGCACTTTTAGAATGGGAGCTGGGCTTAATGTTGGCAACATTGAAGCGACAAGGTGCAAAAGATTTTTTTATCTCGCTCAGTAGGGAAACATCTGGCGAGCGGTGTCTATTTTTCCAAATGACATTCGGTGATGATCGGGGCCAACTGCGCAGTGGCATTCTTTTCGCGCTCAAACACTTTTACCACGCATGAATCAATACAGTCATGTTCATCTTGGGTTTAATCTGATTTACGCGGCAAATCTGGAGAGGCACCGGTCAGGTACTCGAGTGGGTGTCCACAGCTGCATTCAATCATGACGAAGATCACGACGAAGATCATCTCTACTACCTGAATGAAGCAGTGGTCACAGTACTCAATCATCAAGTGCAAAAGAAAATGCCTCTGGCTTAGGAAAGTCGTTCTGCTCAAAGTCATACCTGATGCACTATCCGCCTATCGGGCCATCAACCTTTCAACCAAATTCGCGATAAACCTGATATCCATGAAATCCGATAATCTTCTCAACGTAAGACTGTCCCTCTCAGTCTCCTCCGTCAAAACACCCTTAATCACAGAACCCGTCCGTCTATACTTGCTCTCAACTCAGCCGAGCAGCTTGGTGGGCGGAATACTCTTCGGGTCTCGCTCAGAGTTCAACATCTCTGACCGCAGACCGGCTTTGGTCGCTGATGGGAGGATGTGATGTAGTGTCGCGGCTTGGTCAACGGCAGCCTGGTCATTTCCTATCGCCATGTCAGCTTCATTGCATACAGGACTTCACAATTTTCATGTAAAACTCACCTCATCCAGGCTCGGCAAAGCGCCAAGCTTGATAGCCGGCTGGATCATCAACTGGACACCCCCCGTCGTATCCTACTCGCCGACCTTGCTATCGCCAACGAGCTGCCCGAATCCCAGGACTCTGGCAAGCGCGCCAACTTTTCGGTTTACGTTGGGTATAATGTTTGCAGACACTCACTTTGATCGCACATATCCCGTCCCCTGAGCCCACGCCGGCGTCGGTATTAGACCCTCCGGCACGTCCCCGGGCATAGGCGACCCGCCCGCCGCGGAGACGGACGAGCAGAAGAAGAAATGGGCGGGTCTCGGCATCTCGACAGACTATCAAAGCTGTTTGAGGTTGTGGAAGACCTTAATATGCTGGTTTTCAAGGCTCTGGGCGGCTATGTCGAAGCTGATGGCCCAAGGGCTGTGGATCACGACCGCGAGCTTCGATTTGAGGTCTGGCACGTGGGCGGCGCCAAGGGCCAAGCCTGGGACACATAGATTGCAAGATAGCGGCACGATTTTGAATTTCTGGGAGGGGGTTAGGGAGGCGAGTCAGGCTTCGATGCGAGATGATGCAGCGACGTCGCTTGGGGCGTGGACGGCCGCCCATACTGAGGATGCGGTTGGAAGGGCTACGAGCTGGGCGAGAATATGAGTTTATAAGTCGCCTGTCACGTCAGTAATGAACTGTGAGATCAAGACCAGTCATGAGCTAGGATGGTGAGGTGGGGTAGAACAACGCACCACAAGATATTTCTCGGATTTCGAGGCCACACCAGCGACGTGAGGTGTGAAGGAGGAATACTTGGCTACCAAATCCTCCATCCCTTGCATCTCATCCTGTGCTGAATCGACTTGAACATTTCTCAAAGCCATAAGATATCAAGAGAGCTCTCTCATATTTCCGGATTCGTAGAGAATATTCGGGCCCAGCTGGCTTCGATGACCGCCCAAGTCGACATCCCTCTTGATGAGACTCCACGTCTGGATGCAGTGGAGGCTGTCAACGCCGGAGGCGAAGAAGTCTGCCTCGGCGGACGCTAAGGCGATATCAAACTTCTCGATTTGTTGGAAGAGCCAGATCTCAAGCTCTTTGCCTTCCAATATCAATGTGCCCCCTTCCTCTTCATTCTCGGAAGTACCGTCGGCGTTTTGGAGCTCCCCTCTCAAATTGCTGATAGAAAGGTACCCTGATGAAAGTCCTTTGTTAATTTCGGGGATACTGCGTGTTCTGATGGAAGTGCGATAATGAGATCTTTGGGTATGCGCGCGAGGGACTCGGCCTGCGCGTTGGCAGCTTCGGCGGCCGGCCAGATTGCATTACCGTAATCTGCATCAGACAAGCTCGCAGTCCCATCCGTCTTGGTAGTCAAGACGCTCGGGTAGCTTCTTCGTTCGCCAAACACGATGGCTTCCTTAACAAGCTATTCTCTTGATGGGTATGTGAAGCACCTTTCCGCCACTGATAAGAGTGAACCTGTTGTGCAGTCCTACAGCATGCTAATGTACTTTCACCACTCCTGCTGTGTGGGAAGGCTCGTGAAGAGGTCATGCGCGCGGAATGAGTCTGGAGGGGAGTCCGAGTTTGATGTCGATTTTGAGGGGAAAGTGTCGAGGCAGACGCGTTCGTAGATCCCCCGGGAAGGTCTCGTCCATGAGCACGTAGGGTTTTGCGGAGGGGAGCGGGCGCATGTTGTTGTAGGCTTTGTCGCCTGGTTGTCGGACGGAGTTCACCAATCTGCTGGTTTCGGTCCTGGTGGTTGTATCAGCGATCACATGCATCTACAATATCGGTGTTTTGAAGGTGTTCTGACGATCCGTCGTTGCCAACGAGGTATACTCCATAGTTGACCATTCGGTCGCCTAGCTTGTCCGGACAGCTGCTGCCCCCGAAGAGAACAAGGTTCACACTTGTGAGATTGCGGATGCCCTCGTATGTTTCAGCTAGTAGCTTCAAAACCTAAGGAACGACATGGAAGATCTCAGACTTGACACACTTGATTTTCTGATCGGACTTCGTCTTGTGAGAACATAAGCAGGTTGTAGTTGCCATAGGAAATTGGGTTTTTGGAGTAAATCGACCAAACGCAGTCGTAGAAACCATGGCTATGAAACAAAGGAGAAACAATGAATGCCTGAGTTTTCACATGAACAGGAAAGGCGCCACAGCAGGTCTTGTGAGTAAGAAACGATCGGTTTTGGGAGACCTGTCGAACTGGGGGAGGGGACTCGGGCAGCAATTCTTTTGGACTCTCGCTCCGGGTCGTAGAGCCTGGAAAAGACTGGAGAGTCTTCAAAATACAAGTCAGCATACGACAGGAATAACAAGCTAACGAGCTTTTGTTGTTGCTGGACTCCAGCAGGGGCAGGATCAAAAATTGACTAGGTGAACATAGTGCTGCAGTCCGCCAACTCGCAAAGGCAGGCGACTCCCGGGTTTTGCAGACGATTTGAGACGAGGAACACTCCGTAGCCCAGCCGGCTGAGAGCCATGATTGTAATGATGACATGTAGAACTGAGCGAGTGAGGATTCCTACAACGGAAGCCCTCTCGGACACGGAATCCTTGTAAGGGGTTGCAAGTTAGTGTAAGCCCCGCAATTTGGGAATCAGTACACATGCTTGTCCACGGCCATATTGGATAATGCCTTTTATCCCCATAATCTAGCAGCGCTATCCTCGTTCCAATTGTATGAGCGATGACTTATGTCGGGCCCATCGGAACGTATTCAGTCTGTGTTATTCGGGGCATGAGTCTGGGGACAGACCGGGTTCGGTTCCTTATTGGGGAACATGAAGGCTAGGGAACATTGTAGACTAATGAGCTCTCAAAGCTCTACGCTATGGACATTGTTGGCGATATCTATTTAAATTTCATTCGGCACAAGACGATTGTTTTGCTCCGGGTTGAATTAGGCCTGTGTGCGTGTTTCGCTCGAGCTCACTGCGACCAACCGGCATCACTCCAGACCGGGCCGCCGGGAGGTGTGTATTTTGTGACTTTGCGGTAGTCGAGCAGGATCTAATCGATTATTGTCATTAACCCAGTACTAGGACCTATTAGACTCTGCAATACCAATCGGCAAACTTACTGATTTGGTGTCATCCGCCTTGTACGCTCCCGGAAGTGCGATTCCCTCGGGGAGCTTGGTGGTTCCGGATCCAGTCACAGTTATCTGATGACAACCAGGGTAGAACTGGGCGAGGTTGCCATCCTTGTTGGTTCGCTGCAGGCCGAGAATCTCGTGTCTGGTATCGCTAAGGTTAGCTCTCATTCTTTGTTCATATAAGCCGGTGTACAACATACCTTAGGATGTATTCACCCGGTGTAATCTTGGAGGGTAGCTTCACGGTGTAGGTGCTATTGTTTTCAGGGAGACGCTTGCTGGCCCATGGGATAGCCTCCTTCGGGTCATAGCCAGACTGGTCAATCTTGACCCAGACGTTGCCCTTGCTTCCGTCGAACTCGCTGCACTTGCCACCGCAGTCGGCAAGATAAGTCATGACTGTTTCATGCTTTGTTAGGGTTGCTAGACCGAATCCACCTGAGGGATCATGGGACTTACTTGGGCCGGGATGGTCGCTCTTCCACTCAGTCCACATGAACTTGACATTGCTACCGGCAGGAACACTGGCAGTCTCCGTGGCGGGGATATTATTCTTGTCTGACCCGATGTTGCAGGTAATGGCATCGGTCTGGGTAGATGATCAGTTGGTTCTCACGTTGAAGATCTATGGATACTCTCATTGAACTTACCGTGAACAGGCCGTCGGTCACTGGGCCATTGTCTTTGAACTTGCGGGTGATTTTGTTGACCTTCTTCGATGGATCTTTGTAGGGGTTCCATGTGTCTACGAGATTCTCGCCGAGTAGGATCTGTTGCACGAAGCCATGGGCTGAAGCTGTCGCGGCCAGCGCGGTAACGAGAGTGATGGAAGTAAATTTCATTGTCGGCCGTGTGAAGCACCACGAGAGCTGACTAAAATCAAGGTAAAGTATGTAGGAGAATTGAAACGAAAGTAATGCGCTGCTTCTGCCCCAGATTTTGGAAGAAGCGATGACCTTCAGCGCAACATATATACCTTCATAGTCGACAGTGCAAGCAAATTCTTCCTGGTTAGCGGGCTCTATTCGAAGTCTTGGCACGTTGCAGCGGGCATTCTCCTCTCATCTCGGAATCATCCCACCGCTGCCTCATCCACAGCGACTGATGTAATTGGATTTGTCTTGGCAACAAGAGCGATGTCAAGTTCGATTGTCTGCCCACCTGCTTTGGATAAACAACAAGCCCGTCAGCAGTGATTCCGAACATGGCCCGGATTGGTGAAATCCCCTACAAAGAGGATGCTTCCCACCTCTGCAACCATGCATACGCGCCGATCATTGAGTCGCCGAGTTTGCCGCCGAGTTTCGGAAGACCAAGATTGGCTGGTAGTCGGATAAGCGTATGAGCTTAATTACTTTTGGGTGTTGTCAGGAGCCTCGATATGGTTAGGCGAGTCTGAAGCTGATTGAGGGGATGGGAATGCTTGGCAGGGTATACCTGGCTCGCGTCAGGTCGGCGGATCAAATTTCTGCCCACTGTTGATTCAAGGGGTCTGTGTGGAGAACAGACTCATCCAACCTTGCTGCCAAGGTTGACGACATATGGGTATGACGACTCTGGATTGTGGCTTTAGCATCACTGACCAGTCTACGGGCATCTTGTAGGGAGTTTGATTGCTGAGTAAGAACAAAATAGGCAAGTAAACACCGTCTGGACAGCGTTCCTTGAGGAAATTGGTGTTTTCTAACACGGCGTAATCAGGAGCACAATCAAGATCAATCTCACATGCCGCTTTCCTTGGCCGAAAATGTAACTGCTAAGCCAGGTCCTCGGCTTCGAAATTAAGCACAAATCACCTCATGGTGAGGTTTTTGAACGCACTAATAATAGCTAAGTTGATCATTCTGTGAAGCAGAACATGCCGACGTCCGATCTCGAGGCTAGCAAGAGCCTGCCCCCCCCCCCCCCCCCCCCCCCCCCCCCCCCCCCCCCCCCCCCCCCCCCCCCCCCCCCCCCCCCCCCCCCCCCCCCCCCCGGCCCCCCCCCCCCCCCCCCCCCCCCCCCCCCCCCCCCCCCCCCCCCCGGGGCGGGGGGGGGCGGGGGAGTGGGGGGGGGGGGTCGGGGGTGTGTGGAGTAGATTGTGGTTCAGGAGGCGATGTTTATTAGGGAGTATTTGATGCTTTCGATCTAAATCTCCGTGAGTTTGTTCGGTAAGTCCTCTGCGTACGTTCGTTATTAACGGTTCTTAAGTTAATATAGTGACCGATCCTTAGGAGATTAACGACCGTCTCGTTTTTGTATAGCTAACTTATTTTTAGAACGATAGTTGCGTTTTTGCTTTGCGGGAGAATATTGGCCGTATCCTCGCGGGCGAGCTCTACTCCCTTAATCCCGAGGACAAGAGTGTCCGCCCGATGAAGCGATTTGAGGCTTGGGCTGCTTTTCGCACTGCTGTCGCCATCTACCTCGGTAACCCCGTTCCGACTTGCGCTGTAGCCATCGCTGGCGCCGTCCCTGTCTCTCGCGGCGCCCTATCTCTATGAAAGTGATAAAATTAAATAAGTAAAAGTGTAAGAGAAAGTAGAAGACAATGACGAAGTAAAACTATAAACGACTAGGTAGTGGAAACTACCTACTTTCAGATGTCTCAGAGTTCGGGTTCCTGCCCCATATCATCTGATTTAATACGATGCCCAGTACTCGTCGAGGTTCTTGGATACATCGTCAACCTTGCTTTACGGGTCGGCAGCGGCCATAGACTGCACCACGTTCTCAAGAGCAGAGTCGGAGAACGTTCCAGCTCGGGTGCGCAGATCGGCCATGACATACCCCTTCGCCCTCCAGCGCTCTTCCATCAGATCAGTAGACTTAATCTCGTTGTAACCAAACTCTGAAAGAATAGTAATGTTGAAAGCGGCCGTCATGCCGCTGCCCTCTTGAATCAAGTTATGACAGTGGAGCATGTATACACCGTCCCAAGGGGCGCAGTGCGCCTCGACAAGGACTAACTCGCTTCCGCCCAGTCAGATAACATCCTTGTAGCCCTCCGCTTGGTACATGTAAGGTACCACACCGCGATCACCGTCTCTGGCAATGAGTGAGTTTGGCGTCTTGACAATCCCATCCAGAGGTTCTATCTTGCTGACTGGACCGTTTCAAATACTGCGCCTGACCTGGTAGTCGAGCTCCATTTCAAGCCGGTCATTTCATTATATTCCCGGGATTTCGTCGAGGTGCTGAGGTCGTTGCCTTCGGCATTATCGCGCAAAACGTAGAGATCAACACGCTTGGCGACGTTATCTATGTGAGAATGGAATTGGGTCTGCTGGGCATTGACAGCCCAAAACCCAACGCTGAAATTGCAGAGTCTTGAGTAAGTCTTCTCGACTTGACACATTGGTTTTGGTAAAGCTCGCTAACAAGTGACCATGCAGTTCAGCTACAGTCTCTATGTACGCGATGGATGTCGACCCCTGAATAGGCGCAGCTACAGACCGGATTATTCCGTCCATAGGCCTTCGAGTGGACCGTAATGCTCAGAACAAGTTCGAATACCGTAACAATATCCTCATCAGATACACCCAGGAGTACCGTGTCACCGCCGAGATCGACGGCGTAGCCAAGACCCGGGTGACTAAGAACGGAATAACTGCAGGAAGGTGCGTGCAGTCCGTCAACGTTTGGGTCTCCGGAGAGCAGGATGTGCCTGGTGCCCCGCAAGTTTCGTCCGACTTCTTCAGATGGAGTTCCTGACAAAGGGTATTGGTGTCGATGACGCTGGCAACGCTTGGGGGTCCCTTAAACCGTTCTTACAGACTGGCATGCTCATTGAACCTCCCTCTTGTGCAGTAACTTTCGGCTTGATGGTTGAGAAATGAGGTCAATTTGGCCGATGGTACGGCCGAGCTTGCGCTGGTGCTGTTTCGCAAGCTGAGAATGTCGATATTACTGAGGCCTTTGTCAACGTCGTCCCCAAAGAGGCTACAGCGATCGCGAAGAAGGCCGAGGAAGAAGCTATCAACGGATTGCCTTGAATAAGGTAGTTCAGGATATTGAGTATCATCACGGCCTTTGATCCGTGGACATGGGCCTCTATCTCAAATTTTATCAGCCTCTTGGCTTTCTACATTTTTCCATTCGTCATCGCGGGGCGTGATTTTATTTGTACGTACTTCCGTCAAATCCCTTTTTTTCGAATTGCCTAGCAAATATGATTCTGGTGGGAGCTTTAAATATAAGTAACCAAGGTAGTTAGAGTAAGAGTTTCATCTGGATTATTTTGGTACGAGCTCATCCACAGCAGTCAAAATGTCACTGCAAATAGAAACTCCGCTTACATTCTTCCAAGGAGATGACATGTATGTAAATAGCTGAGTTTCGAATGTGTCCCAAAGATTCACCTAAAAGGTACAGCAGAAAAAAAGTTTGAGCTGGCAAGATTGCCATTTGCGAAACATCAATGGTACTATCAGACTTGAATCTCACCGCACATCAAGCTGTGCAATCAAACCAGCCTATTCGATCATCAAGCAGGACTGTTGACGGTGATACTAGCCGAGCCACTGCTGAAATATCCTTCGGTAGCTACAATCATGTAGTTATGGGTTCCGAGATTGAGTCCAACCGACGCCCAGGCAGCAAAGTGGTTGCCAGTCGTAACAGTACCGCCAGTGCGCTTGGATGTTCGCTTGAATGTATCATTAGTACAAAGTTCTGCAGTACTCATATTCATCGTCAACAAGAGTAACTCACGATTGACCAGTATTGCTGGAATGTGCGAGTGCCCTCGATACTGGGTTGATTGACGCGGGTGCTGACATAGATGTCGTAGGTGCCCCCGTCACTGGTGACAGAACCCTTCTTCGTAGCAGCTGAAGCTGGGTTGTAGGTGCCGTAGTTCTCCACAATGTAGTACTCGATTAGAGGGTTCTGCGTCCAGCCGTAGACGGCGAGATACTGTTAAAGGAGTCAGTTACGAGTACCACGCCTCGAGTTTCGAGTCATGAATATATGGAAACAAGATTTGTATTTACTTACGCTATTTCCATTGGGATTGTAGGTTCCGGAATAATTGATGGTCCTGTGAAACATGATTAGGAAACCATATTCTTTTGTACGGACGTAGTAGTCGTGACTTACTTGGAACCTCCCGGGTTCCAGCCCTTGCCTCCGACAAAGTTGCCGCCTCCGCCTCCCCAGTTGACGCTATACGAACCACCAGCGCCGTTTGTGTACGTGACTTGGGATCCCCCGTCAGTCCACCAAGAGTAATAGTATCCGTTGTGATACCCGGTCGAGCTTGGAGTCGATTGACGCTTCTCGATGAGTTCTCCGGTAGGACTGGCAATGACTCCGATGAAAGTCGCCAGGATGACGAGCGTTCTGGAGAAGGAAACCATGGCGATGCTTGCAATGTGTGAATGTGTTCCGTGGTGTTCTGGTTGTTATGATGGAGTTGTTTCTACATTGTGGGCAACTGGATCTTTGCTGGCTTTATACTGTGAATCTGGATGCCATCATCGTTTGACTGGTGGAAAAGGTTTGAATCAAATGCGGCTAAACACATCTGACAGCAACCATACCGATATCCTATGCATCCAATGACTACATCGCGTTTCTTGGAGACGATGTCGACATTACTGGATAATTACAGAACCATCCTCGTGGCATGTTCGGCCTTACGCGGCAATGACTCTTCAAGAGTGGTACACTAAGATCATGGGATCTTGGCACCGGGAGATGGAACTCAGGCTAAATTCAAGTTCTTCATGTGTCTGCCGATAAAATCTGGGGTACAGCGGCCATTCATTTTCTGCAAATTCTCTTGATGGTTATGATCTGCAAGCTGTCCCGCCCTTGCAGCGGCATGTATTCTGCCTTGACTTTTTACCCATCGTCTAGGCCCAAATAGTAGGTTGCCAAGCCGGAGGGTGAGCTTGGCCTCCGACAACCAGATCCGGCATCGGCTGAACGGAGGCTGCCGCCGACTAATTTCAATGGCTGGTTGATTCAGTCGCCATCATGATTGATTCTGTGGCTGATGGCGACGGCAGTTGACGTATTAAGATACAGGGATGCTTCTCGCAACTATGAATCAACCTGTACATGTATGGAAAATCTGGGCTACGTACAAGATCATCAATGGAACCGTAAGTGTATTGATTGATAATTCCAATAAACAACTGAACGAGAACAATTTTGCAAAAGGCGTAACGGGACATAACATATTCGTCTGAGGTTTCTATCGGAAAATTAAATTGGCAAACAGACGAAACCTCACAATGCCCGTTACATTAGGATCGCATTGGACGTCTTAGAAGCTGAAAATTAAACGCTGTAAACAAGCTGAATGACGGCTGTTCCGTGGCATGGCGTGATCGGGAAAATCATGTATCCAAGTGACTGAGCTGTATGTGAATGATCTTCCTAGAATGCCAAACTGAGCGGCACCTGGGTTGACAGAAGCGATGTGCCTGTACAAATTGACCGCTGGTGCTAATTAACATTAATCGATCGGACTGGTGGATCAAGCTTAGCGAACATTGAGCCTGATGGCGAGAAAGCCAAGTCCAAGTAGAAGTCCACAGGCTAAAATTGCTAAGATTGCTAAGCCAAAAAGTTTAACCTCACTTTGGACTTGAATTCGACTCTATGATTGGGGAATTGTGTATTTTGGTGGATAAGAATAATTCTCCTGATCCTGACCGGGGGAGGGGGAGCGAAAACATAATGTCATCCACGGCAAAACTTGCCGCGGATCTGATACAGACACAGGCACAGGCACAGGCTCAGGAGCTGGGGGTTTGGGCAAGGATAGGCACATCCTCTACCGAGAGCGACAATCTTGCTGTCTGCACTCTGTAACAGCAATAGGGCGACAGGGTAAGGTCAGGTGTTATTGGAGGGTTGTCGGGCGCCCTCGGCTCCTGAATATCATCCAGACTCATCCCAAAGTCGGCGCAAGTCAAGTTGAGTTGAAATGAGGGCGTTAATGACACGTCCCTAAGACGGGTTTTGGACGATCGGCTATGGGAAAGAGAAAACTTAGCCGGTGGAACCCGAGAACAGGGCCGCGGAAAGAGAACTCGGCTGAGCAAATGACTCAATTGACGGGGTGGCCGTTGCTAATTATATTTAAATCCTGTCGAGAATGCAAACGTGCTCCGAGTCACTCTATGACGAATGGCTGAAGATCGCCACGAAGCCGGAGGCCGGCGGCCCCGATCCCTCTGCAAAAAAAGGACGGACCCAGGGCTGCCATCAGGCGGAAAATAATGCAAATTTTCCGGAGTTGCGGAGGAGCACTCGGAGGAGCCCATATTTTCTGTTCTACTCTTGCAGCCTCTTGGCGAAAACAAGAGTCTGCTCCTAGAACATCGCGTGTTTGATGAGGCCTCGCTTCCGAGATCCCTGGCCACCAGGACCCCAAAGGTCACCCCGAAACAAGCGTCATTTTCTAATACGGGAAAGCTCAGCAAGCTTAAAGTATGGCACCCATGCTATCCCAGCTTTTGTCTCTTTTCAAAAGAAGACCGGACCTGTCTCAAACACATGCACAGCGAAAATCCAAAAGTGCGGGGGTCCGCGTTTGGCAGAACAAAGCTTGAATCTGGCCTCGAGGCGCACAGGGCTCTGGGCAACCAAAGGGATTGACCCAATCTGCGGTCCAATGGCAGACCGAATTGCATTAACTTTAAAGCTTGAAACGGCGATGCGGACAGTTTTTGCGACAGAATTGGTGAAGGGGAGTCCGACCTAACCGACGTTGAGGTGTGCCGAAGAGCCGGGGCCATCCCGGTCTGCGGCACAATAAGCCTTGTTTGAGCTGCTGATGTGACGGGATGATCAGGCATCTGAACGGGTCCTGTTGCAGGACGAGGCCCATGGCTGTCATCTCGAGTCGGAGACATTCATCTGGAGTGTTGCTCGACGCAGTGATGCTCAGGTGACGCCGCCATCCGGAGTTTCAGTCTGTGACAGGAAAGTCTGCAAGTAAGCACTGGGCATGTGGTGGTGGCTGACTGGAGAGATCCTGTAGCTGGGCGTACATAAGAAGATGAAGAGATCGCCAGTTTAGGCGTGAGGTTACATCTTTCCCTTCAGCTTTTGCCCGACTTACTCCCTTTTCCTTCTTACTACTACGTTCATTCCGTGCTGTGCGCGGCTCTGTTTAATTGAGCTCACATTCATTAAGACCTGGTGTCACTTGCATCAAAAATCCCACTCACTTCTACGAATTATCTGCACAAAATCCAGTCATCATGAGGTTCTCTACTGCCGCTTTCCTCGCCATCGGCCTGTTGGCCGGCAACGTCATCTCTGGTAAGTCATTCCTCATTCTATTCTTTTTCTTCTCATCAAACCGCGCTAACATGTGTGCCTAGCCCCCGCAGTTCAAGGAAACGAGGTCGCCCTCCCAATTGGAGTCCGTGCAGAGGACTTTGTCGCAAACGACGCCGCCCGTCTCGAGGCCCGAGGGAAGAAGAGGAAAGCCGGCGGAGCTGGGGGAAAGAAGAAGAATGGCGCCGCCGCCAAGAAGAATAAGGCTGCTGCTGCTGCTGCCGCGAAGAAGAACAACGCCAACGCCGCAAAGAACAACGCCAACGCCGCGAAGAACAATGCCAATGCCGCCAACGCCGCTAATGCCGGTAACAACGCGAATGCCGGAAACAACGCGAGTGCCGGAAACAATGCGAATGCTGCCAAGGCCACGGGCAAGTCCCAAGCCGAGTTCTCTGGGTTGGCCTGCACCAATGGAAAGGGAGCTGGTGCTTGCAACGCCAAAGGCCAGTGTGCTGTCAATGGCGAGACGAAAGCGATCGCCGGCCAGTGCGGTCAGGATGCGGCGAAGGCCAACAAGCGCTACGTCTCCGATATTGCCCACCTCATCTAAGTTGGCGATTGTCGTTTGGGAGTTCTTTAACATGGGATTGGGCGATTTGGGATTCATGGATACAAAAACCTTGGAAACAAGAGGGTGGTGGCCATTGTAACTTTGCCGACTCTGTATATGTGTAATGGAAATTGATCGACTCCCGAGCTAACACAATGTATTTCCCCCCTCTTTAAGAATCTATGCTCGATGAAGCTGTGATGGTATTGACAAGCGAAAGAATCCAAAAGATCAGAAGAGAGAATTGGACACGCTACAAGTTGATGGGCATAGACAAAATATTCGGTTGGTCTGCTGTTCATTGGCACTTTGAGAAAAAACGGTTCAAATCACGCGCTACTTTGTTATTGAAAATTAATCAAGACACAGGATAGAGTAAGTACCTACGTACAAAGAGGTAACGAAGTGTAGAAATAAGAAGAGTACAAGCTAATTTATCGAGTTCTGGCTTACATCCCCCAGCACAGTGTCTAACGGGTCTCACATCGTAGCTTAGAGAGTGAAAAGATGGCCTGTCTCCGGTCTTATCTTCTCTGTAAACTGCTGTGCGTCCGGGCCCATGTGCGACTGGTCACCGCACCCACGGTTTTCGGCATCAAATGGAACAACGAGTTGCTCGCAGACAAACATTCTAGCAGTCTCGATTGCAATCCGAGTGGGATGAGTTGCCGCCATTGCCATTAGTGTTTCGGAACATTGGCATCCTTTAGCGGAATGTTGCAGATCCAGAACCCCTGCGTCGATCAACTCCTGCCAGAATTTGACATCTCGGTCACGCTGGATCCGCCGTTCCCCATTGTCCGCTTCAATCTTTGACGTGACTGGGGGGTTCGAGTTGAGTGGTTGCCTGTGGAGATGCTCCTTGTCTCTGCTTTTCAGAACCGTTCCGATGATCAACAGCCACCTGACTTCGTTGCATTTGAAGTGCCCCCTGATTAGAGCAAGGACGGCGCCGACGTGCCGGTTCTTCGCCGCGGCAATCATTGGCATGAGGCCTCGGAGATGACTGAGGCGGTGGTAAGGGTTTAGCCGGTGGTGAGGTTTTGCGTTGTTTGTCAATCCGTAGGGGCTGGCGCCTTTTGATAACATTTCGCGGATAGTTTCCTCATCCCCGCGACTAGCAGCGAGCTCGATGAGTGATCTTGCGGGACGACAGTGATCAGATGTCGATTGAACCCAATGGCCAAACCCCCAACTCATTCTCCAGCTTCTGATATAAAAAGCAGTTGCCTTGGCGTAGGGTGTGCTTATGAGCGCGCCAAACACCCCAGGATGCCCATGTTTGACGGCCTCCTCGAGACAAATGTCCAACACCTTGTTGACCCTGTCACTCCTGTAGAAGCGAATCGTTTCTGGTTGTTCATACCAAGGTAACTGGTTGTCCATTAAGAGCTTCAGTGCCTCTGGCTGTTGCGTACAAACAGCCTCAAGCAGGATCTTGCGTAGCGTATTTGATGGGATCCTTCGATCAGCGATTTCGAGAAAAGCACTAAGGGACTCCAGATCGCCGAAAGCCACGGCTAGTCTCCAAAAGTGCTGGTGATAAAACTCACACCCCTTCGCCTTCTTTCCCTTGACTTTTGTCGTCACTTTCCTTCGTGAGGTGTTGATCCCATAATTGATTAAAGTAGCGACAAGATTTGAGTTTTCAGTTCTGATTGCAGCTTCCATAACCGATCCCATCAGCGGAGGAAGACCAAATTGTCCCTGGTCCTGCGGCTTTGTCGCCCCAATGATCGACAACGACTTTGGCCCTTTCTCCAAGATTCGAGATAGTAGCAGTCTCTCTGCATCTGTCGAGTGCAAATATACCTGTGCTAAAAACGTCAAGTCTTCGAAAGGTTCCTCAGTGATTACGGAATTCTCAGGGAAAAGGAGGCTTTGGAAATCGTCACAGAAGAGATGCCAGATTCCGTAGTGCTTGACTGGAAGTGGAAGGTGGACGGCTTGTTGGCATAGCTGGTGGACGCGTCTGAATCGTTCTTCGCCTTCGGGGTCCAAGCCGTCATCCGACATGGTCCTATCAGTGATTGCGTTGATCGCCGTAGACAAGTTTGTGTTCCAGGGCAAGTGATGATATGGCTGGTTTATGAGGCACTTTGCCAGGAAGAAGCTTGCATCACCGCGGTGCTGCAGCCTACAATGGCTGGAGATCCTATGCGTATGGCCTCTCTGCGCCAGGAAGTCGACTTCTGAATTGCGCCTCATCTTGCGAAGAAGTCTGGTAGTATTTATGGCCCTCATAATTTCGACCTCAAACATTTCTGTTGATTTATTAGCCCTCTTGAGCTTGCCTGGGTTCCATGAAATCGACTGGCGGGACCCTGAAATTCGAAAATGGACTCACTCGAAACACGAAGGAGACGGGCCGCGTCTCTCAAATTATATTCGCTGTCTTCCTCGTATTCAACGACTAGTTCAAAAATATGTTGAAGGCATTCCAAGGGCAAATCTGAGAGGCGTGACGGGATTGGGGCATCGTCCAGCTGGACTCGCTCTCGGTCGTATTGAGACACCCGGGAGGATTTCGAAACAGTATCCTGATCCATGTTGCCAATGAGCATTTCAGGAGTTATATGTCTTGTCTGAGCGTGAATATCTTCAAGAGATGGCAAGTAGAATTATCAATTTGTTGGAGGTTTTCATCGTGTTTAAAAGCTCAATATCGACCAAGTCGTAAAGGGGTGTAAGTCACAACACCCCTGTCAACACAGGACGAATCACGATTGGCCGATGTCTTATGCACAGTAGCGTATCCACTGAGGCCAATTCGCACTTGAGGCCATTTCCGCTAAGGATACTGCGCCGCAATACAGTCATCAGTGAATCCTACAATCTCTCCAACGTTCCGGTGCAGAAAACACATTTTGAACAGTCTGAGGTGAGTTGGGATAGTCAAAATCAAGTGTCGATTTGCTAACATTGAATGAGGTCTTTCTTCAGACTGAGTGCATGCATGTTTTCTTCATTGAAATACTTGAGTCGTTACATGCTCTACGCTTATTTTCATCAATTGTGTTTCAAGGTATGCTTGGGCACATTCAATCATCTCGTTATAGTTTGAAGCTTTGCTTTAATGCCTCCCCAAATCGTCTCACTGCCTCTTCAATTTGGTTGAGAGGCGCCGCTGCAAACGTAGTTCTGCAGAAGACCTCCTTCAGAGGGACGTGCTTGTTGGCATTAAACCAACTCCCACGAGCAATGAGCGCGCCTTGAGCAAGTGCCTCTTGCCATATCTCCTCCTCAATCTCACTCGGAGACTTCGTCGAGGCATCGGGATGTTTGTGCCAGTCCACGCCGAGCCATTGCTGGAATCCGTCAGTACGAGAACAATCAAGCACCCTGGGCACACAGAGTGAGTGGGTTTATATGTACTTACAAACATGCCTGCTCGCGCAGGCTCCCATGTGACAATGTCACGGGGTAAGTGACGCTCACATGCTCGAACCATAAAGTCCCGACGCTCGGTATATTCCTTACGAATGTGCAGCAGCCACTCAAGGTATCCAGCGTGGCCCCAAAATTCGTCCAAAAGCTTGAACAATGCAAGCTGGCTGAAGCCGCTGGGCCCCTGCGTGGACACATCTGCATGAGTTTTGTATCTCTCAATGACTGCCTGTGGAGCTGTGATCCAGCCAATCCGGGACCCGGGGCTGACAACTTTGCTGAAAGAATCCATACGCATGACACGCCCGTCAACGTCGATCTTGAGGTAGGTCGGAACAGTCATTTTGAGCAAATCCGCTGGCGAGAGAGGGGTGGAAGATGGTTCGTTCTCCGTGCATGAGTTGTAGGGATCCATCTGGAGCCAGTAATACGGATCATCCTCGAGAATGATCAAGTCGTGCTTCTGTGCAACGCGGTAGATGTTCCTGCGTCGTTCAAGACTCTGGGTCGCACCGGTTGGGTTGTGCCCCGTTGGGACGAGGTATAACAAGAACGGCTTTGCCGCGCCGTCGTGCTCTGCTGGGTTCCAGCTGTCCAAGACGTCAAGTAGGCTTTCCGGCAGCAGGCCTTCTCCGTCCATATCGACACCGAAGAATTTGACACCCATTGGCTTCGCAGTCTCGACCGCAGTCGAATATGTGAACTTCTCTGACAGAACATAGTCTCCCGGCTTGGCGAGCATACGCAAGGCCATATCCAGCGCCGAAGTATTGCCAACCGTCATGGTGCATCCCCAATCAGCATAAGGCGGGTTGTGAACGATCTCGGTGTGTTCTATGATCCATCGTAGGAGTTGCGGAGATCCACTGCCTTGACCATAGTTCAGAGCCACAGAGATGTCGAACACGCTTCGGCCGTCTGCAAGATCCGTCTTGCTTGATTGCAAGGGTCCATCGTCAAGGGAGGAGTTGGGCGCAGACTTTGAGTTTTTTGGGACGAATGACGGTGTGAAAGAAAGGGCTTCGAAGGGGAGGAATTCGCTGAGTGGAATGCCGCCCCCAAGGGAGATGACATCTGGATTCTGTAGGTGCTTGAAAGCTGCCTTTAGTGAGGATCCTGTTCTGGTCGTCGATTCGCCAGTCAAGCGGTCTGGCAGGCATAGCGCGGTCAGTGTTTCCGCAATAGCGCCTCACAATTGCTGCCAAAGATCAGGTTGAGCTAAGTAGATCAGACTCACAAGTCCAATCCTTAGCCAGCGGCTTATGACTATTTTCGCGGATCTTGAATTCGTCGGTAGTGCACTGAGCTGCAACACCCCATTTACTGGCCGGTACCGTGCGCCGAGCTGGTCTCAATTCGAGAGCAGTATCGGCTTCCAAGATGGAAGCGTGCTTGTTGTCAATGTAGTCGCCCATGTTTGCGTCGCAAAGACTCTGAATTCAAGGTTCGTGACTCCCAACTAGACCATAAGTCTTTGTGGACGACCATGCAGTAAGGACAATCGATTCCTTACTTATAGACGAGCGCGCAAAGCTTTATCAAGCCGCATGTAAAGCATCCCTCGGGCGCTTGACTGACATCGGAGAGAGGGGCAGATGGTGATAGGACTAAATTGGCACAATAGCCCAAATCTAAGCAAGGATTGACACCGATTGTTGTCTCAATGGTGGATAGCCATGATGACATTCGCGCCTTTCATCACCGTCTGTGAACTAACCGGTGCGCCCTGACGCTCCTTATCAAAAATGTCCCTGTCAATGGCGCCCTAGGACGGTGGGGGAACGAGACAGAAATGGGACTATGGCATAATATCGGAGTGATGTGGGGTTCGGAGACAAAGTTCGCCGATTAATTTCTCTCCGAATATCGCATGCCAGCCCCATTTCCCAGCCAGCAACAGGCAGCTTCACATCTTATCTCATCACCATACGTGCACCTGAGTAATGAGTAAAAAGATGAACGTAAGGCTTGCCGCCTGCGAACCCTGTCGGCGTTCAAAGCTGGCGTGTGGCCACGAACGGCCTGCCTGTACACGATGCACCGGCCGCGGACAACAGAGCCACTGCGTTTATAGATCTCGGCCTTTTCGGAGAAGGGTAACGAGAACGCAGAGCCAAGAGGCAGAGTAAGTCTTCAACACCTTTTGTAGATGATGACTGACCCGAATTGTCTTCAAGAGACTCGATAGGGCCAAGAGAGAGTATCGAATCGGCTTCATCGGCGTCTCGATCACCAGTTGATACCCCGTCGTCTATCTCAGGGACGCCAGCTGCCTCGACGCAGCCATACCGCTATCCCAATCCTGGGTTCCTCGGAATTTCGAGCCACTCTACCATTTTCAATCATGTCTTCCCTGGTGACGACTTTGGTGCTGCCTTTGATGCAAACTCAACCCAGCAGCCCAGCTCCGCCTCACCAATCGATCTGGTCGGCAATCAAGTTGTCATGGACAAGGCAATGCATGCCTTGTCGCGCCTGGAGAAGATGGACATCTCCAAAATCATACCTCTTATTCGTTCTTGGCTTGGAAGGGGAGTAAACTTGCCATTGGCGGGCCCCATTGTTTCCGAGTGCTTGTGGTCTGTGGAAAATTGGAAGAGGGTGCTTAATCCGATGGCCGACAATTCCGAAGAGGCTGATGGCCCTGGCTGCGGTATCACGAGTGCTGGCTATGTGGCAACCCTGCTGTCCAATTCACTGAAGCCTTTCGTATTGAGCTCTGAAGTAACAAAACAGGAGTTCCTCGCTCAGATGGTCGGGTCAAACTTGAGGTGGGAGACTTTGGGTATCTTCTTTGTCGCCGCAGCTAGGGCGGCCTACGACCACCCATACTTCCCGCCACTTTACACAACTAACGAGCAGCGACGAAGACTCATGCATGCATTGACTTATATTGGGGATTACTGTTTGGAAACAAGCCTCTCTCTTGATTGTCTAAATGATCTTCAGTTGATTTTTCAGTACGAAAACTTCATCGTGCATTCGCATTTGGACGGAGATCAGAGTGAGTTGCTTCCAGCCCCCCAATTGACCTGCCGAAACATTAATGAAGCTGATGTTGTTTCCTCCTAGGCTACCATTCATGGAGACGAATAGGGGATCTTGCGAGCTCTCTCTTTGCGCTAGGTTATCACGAAAACATTGAGAGGAGCAACTTAAATGTGCCCCCTTTCATCATCGAGTTGCGGAAGGCATGCTTCGCTCGAATTTATACAGCGGACAAGGGCTCGGCTGTATTTCTCGGACGGCCTCCACGAATAGTGAAGGACTATTGTCACTTCAACATACCAAAAGTAAATGATGGATGGATTGGGGACTATTCTGACAATGAAGGGATGATTGCCCAACCTGAGCCCATCAATTATAATGCCAATACACGTTGTGTCGCCCGTTTCGCGTTTTTGAAGGAGGAGGTGCTACAACTCTTGAGGAGAAAGAACATTGCAGATGTCACCAAAGACATTAGGTGAGCTTACATTCCTGAAAAATTTTTTGCTTTTACTGAGTTGGTGATGCTAATTGTACCAGCGATTTACATGAACAGATCGAAGCGCTGTGGCAAGATTTGCCGAGTCATTTCAGGCTCTGTACAAGTCTCAGAGAGTGTCGACAAGATCCATTCGAACGGGACTTCTTAGCCCATATCAGGCTAGATTATCTGCAAAACCTGTTCCTTCTGGGGCTTGTTTCCCAACAACCCATCTCCGAGCCCAACGACGACCTATTGGACGTTGCGATAGAAATGCTATCCATCGTAGTTGAGGTCATCCTCCTGCGCAACCAGCTGGTCAACTCTGGGACGTGTCTGATTTGGAAAGTAGCGCAATACGGGCTACCCGCTGCGGGTGTCATCTCGCTGGCGCTATTGAAGGCCACTGCATCTGACGTGTTTCTGCACTCGCGGTCCAAGATGATTCAAGACCTCAGCGTTCTCGTCGCCGAGACGAGGACAGGGGCTTGGATCCAGGCTGGCGAACCGAATTTCGCGTTGTTTACCCGCGCAACTGGAACGATTCAGACAATGCTCGACTCTTTGCTCGCTGCGAGACCAACAGCAGAAGAAGTTCAAACGTCAGATGATGCCCCAGTCGAAGTCTGGGAGCCTTACGCCAACCATCAGCTGTGGGACTTTGAGATGGAATTCTGGTCTAATCTCGCAGAGCATCCTACTCTTCTTTCTTGATAAGCTTAAGAAGTCAGGAATATTTGTTGTCTAGTATGTCTGGATTTGTGCATCGACACGGAGACATGAAATTGAGGGGACTACATGTCAAGTCGGAACTTTGCCGCCAGTACGCTCAGCATGCATGCTGCCTCTGCTTTTCTTCATCATATCAGGTCCTTCATTCACTCCACAAAGCAATTTCAGCGATCGAGGAGCATCAGCCCTATCCATTGTACCCTGAACCATGCCAACAGCCAAAGTCCTCCACGACCATTTGGGTATGGGAGATTTCCCCAGCTGCTGCCAGCCCCAAAAGCGTTTACAGCCTTTCACATTTGATCGAACCATCTGAACCATCAATGAGCCTGAACGACCCGGGGTAAATGTTAGACCGTATTTTAGGCGAAGCCACTTGATGTCATGGGTGAACGGCGTCAATGGATCAATTACTGTAAAGACCGGCTTTGAATGGATAGAATCCATGCTCTCCAGCCTGGTCGATTGATCCACCCCTTTCCACTCTCTCTACTAGTGTTTGAAAGGCCTGTATCAACTGAGACCCATGTTGACCTGTCTCTGTAGATGATTGGTGGTTGGGTGGATACAGATGGAGGCATATGGCCCCTCGACAATCATTTGGGGGCCAGGCTGTCCATATTCCCGGATCCTGCGTGCAGAAGACAGTCATCAACACCGAAGAACGGTAACGGTCTCTACAGACTAGAGCAACAAACGGATTTTTCTGGGAACGCTTGAAGTCAATATCATACAATTCTGTTGCTGTAACTTGGGGTCTAGCAGTTGTAACGTAGTATCTATAGTAGGACCTTCCAGGACCTGGTCAGAGTCGACGAATGAACTCAGTACCATGTCCAGTGCATATAAGATCCAAAAGACTGCATGGATATCTGCAAGGAAAGCATGTGATGCAGGTTTCTGAGGTAGTAGCCAAGGTAGGAGCGTTGCATTTTCCGGTATTCTTCACGCCAACGTGGCAGAATTCACCGAATGTAACCACCAATTTAACATTTTGTGAGCTGTCGATGAATGTCACTCCACAGGATGTCCACTAGTGGAGTCTCACGGTACGTAACAGCAGGAATATTATCAGTAACTATCAATGAGGGGCTGCTCGTTGATCTGTGGAAATAAATTCTCGTGGTCTCTTGGATTCCAATTGTGTTCTGAACATCACAGACCAAGACGTTATCAGCATGGTTCATATCTTCTTGTGAGTGACAGTCATCCTACCTCGTTCTTTAAGTGATAAATAAGGCTCATTTAGTATCCATAGTGTTGGCGGTACTGGCCATATCGGCGGCGCCGTGCTAGACCAGCTTGCACAGAAGCATGAGAACGCGAAAATAAAAGTGTTGGTCCGAGACGAAGCAAAAGCCGCGCGCCTGGTCAAGGTCTACCCACAAGTCAAAACTATTATTGGTGATGCGGGAGACCTCGAGATACTCAAAAAGTGCAGTCAGGTGGCCGACATCGTCATCAACACAGCCCCGGACATCACACACGACGAGGGGATCAGGGCAATTCTCGCGGGTCTGAAATCGCGTGGCGCATCCTGTGGCAGCAAGCCATACTACATCCACACATCTGGGGCTTCTCTCATCTGGGACGAGCCCGCTGGCTCCAAGGATGCCCGTCGGTGGGACGACATCACCGATATTGGGGACATTTGCGCATTCAAGGGCGAAGCCCACACACACGCCGTGACCGACAAGATCGTACGAGATGCGGCCCCGGAAGTCAACGTGGCCATCGTCTCGCCGGGCTTCGTCGGCGGCATGAGTCCCTCTATTGAGCATCCGACCCCTATCACGACACCCGCTCTCCTGCTCACCGCTCGCGCCTTCAAGTCGGGCTGGCAGATCGCCGAGGGGGGAAACATACACGCCTGGATCCACGTCTTGGACCTCGCAAAGATTTATCTGATCCTCGTCGGAAAGGCCCTTGACGATGCGTCCGAGTCTGATCCTTTTCCCATCTGGGGCCCAGAGGCCTATTATTTTGGAACCGGCGAAGATGTTTCGTTCGGAGACTTCATGAAGCACCTAGTGCCTGTTTTTAAGGATCAGGGAATCATTAAGAGCATCGATATCAAGTCAGTCAGTGTGGCTGAGGCGGCGAGGGCCAGCATTGCCGGCACTGACTATGACCCCGATGCCCCACCGCCACCGGCGGATACTTGGGCCATGCATATTGCCATTATGTACGGAATAAACATGCGCATCGAGGCGTCAAGAATGAGGATGCTTGGTTGGAAGGCAGAGAAGGGTTCCATCATTGATAGCCTCCCGCAAATAGTGGCCCAGTTACTGGAGCGTGAGAAATTGGTCGAAAAGAAATAGTTGCAGAGCTTTCTCTGAACTTGACACAACGCCAACACCATATTTTCTAAAAATCGATGTCGTGATATTCGAGAAAACCTCTGGAACATCTCATAACTTGGTCGTTGCCAACTAGCAACCTCTAAAACCCTGTAGTACCGCTCATCGGAACTTGAAGGTTTTCTTGCAACTTGATAGCTCTCACAGCTTGCTTCAATCTTGAGACTCGGCAGCTATTTGCTATGCATGATTGCACTGATCTTATTCTTGACGAGATTGTCTACGGCTAGTTCACTCATAAAATGATCCTAACTGACTCGGGCATGCTGTACATCGACGGCCTGGTCTCACGAACCAATGAAAGGATCTAGTTTAGGATATCGCATTCTCCCCAAACTATGTTGCGGTCTCAAGGTGTGCTCCCTATTGTACCCGAGGAGCCTCTGCGATATATGACTGAAACTTGGTCTCGTTCCACTCGACAAGATAGTGCATGGCAAACAAGTTTTGGCGTTATTATTCATTGAAGATGTCGGTTTTATTTGTCCAAAGGATATGAGCACATAAAAAGGTCGGCACCTCGTGAAAGGCCTCTAGCGGGGTTACAAGGCGACGTCATGTGAGAGACAAATAGTTTCCCAGACCGAAAGCCGGCAGACTCCGGCTTAGTCTACATGAAAAATAAGTACTCAGCCAAGATCTTGAGAATTCTTAACCACAGTATCTTGCAATGCCACCCTCTAGAAAGGGATCAAGCTGAAAAAACACATGGCGAGGCAAGTGAGGTCATCCATGGGCTAATAATGATGGTATATGATTATTTATACTCAAGCACTCAGCACCCGATGCTTTGAAGCCGCTAAGTGTAGTGAGCTGCCCAACATCGTCATGAACCCTGCCATCTTTCGCACCCCGATAGTCTCCCTTTGAAAACATCAAATGTTGTCTTGACAGGAATTGTTGAACTAGAATTCCCTTAAACTCGGTAATGGCGCTCTCTTCTATTCACAGCACCTCCTGTCAGGTCACGTCGTTGGTTGCCTCCTAGGAAGCTTCAGCCCTTGAACAAACATTAATATACGACGAAGTTCCCGCCTTCGTGTCTTCAGTTCGTGACGGCAGTTAAATCTATGTGGAACCTGCCTCTGATCCAAGACATTCTGATCTACGATGGAGGCCAAAACGATACGTCAGGTCTGGTAGGCGAAGCAACGTCCGAAGACTGCCTTTACGTTGCCATATGGACGCATGCAGCCCTCCCTCGGGTGGCGGACTCGTGTGCGTCCATCGATCTGCCCTGCTGAAAGCCAACGTCCTGGGTCGAGCGGTCGCAGTCGGCAGCAATCATCACCATCAAATACCGCTTTAGCATCTTCGGTTTCCCCAGCGTGCGAGGGCTGGCCAACGGGGAGCAGAACCTCGACATCCTCGAACAACGGGCCGCCCTTGAATGGGTCCGCGGCAACCTCACGGCCCTCGGCGGCGGTCTGATTCGCATTATTCAATGGGGCCGGCCCGCGGGTTCCGTCAGCGCGGACATCCTTGCCTACACTTACCACGACGATCCGATTGCCCAATCCTACAACGAGGAGTCGGGAGTTGCATCTTCCGGCTGCGAGAATGATCATACTCCACTCCATCTTCAGCTTCGTGGCGCACCACGTAGGCTGTGAGCCTCCGTGCGGTGACAACTGCGAGGACGACGGCGGCACGGCGGAACTCGACTGCATTGCGGTGGGTATTGTTTGCATGGATGGCGAACTTTATCGGAAAGTATCGTGACCGGGGTGAGACACCCATTCTATCCTACACCCTGATCACTTCGTCTTCAGTGAATACGAAGCTCGCGCCGCAGGATCGCGCATCGCCCGTCCCTCATCTCCCTGACAGCCAACGAGTTATCATCACTGGTCCCATGGCTATCTTGGCTACTCAAATCCATTCATCTCCCTGACATCGCTAGTTCAGAGCGATTGAGCGATGGCGTCTAGGCACGAGATGGCTATACGTCTCAAACACCACATCGTAATATCATACAGCCTGAGCCTACGACTCTTCCCGTCATTTAGTGTTAGATGCAGCACTCAATCAGCACAAAAACCAGATTGAACAACCCCGGTTACTTAAATTTCTCATACTACGGTATAAACCAGAGCCCGAAAAAGAGCTTAATGGTATGATAGACAATCTTGGACCAAAAAGTCAGAGCTCATCAGCACGTCTGTTGTTCGGTGACTTTTCCACAACTACCCTTCGTCCAAACACTCCACTGTTGGCAGACTGTTGTTCGTTTGCGATCAATGTATACATCACAACCAACGTACACATTTCGTGTTGTTAGGCCTCCTTGGTCATAGGGTATGGCGAAGGGGCCCCATTCCGTGGTAGAAGTACCCTTCAGAGTATGTCTGGGATTGTATTAATTAGCCGTTGTTTTCAACTAGAGTCACACCTATCCATCTATACTTACACGCAAACATCGCAACTTGGTGATTCATCATCTCTGTTTTCCAAATTTGCGTGAGACCCTGGGATCGCGGTCCCGCTAGCAATGGCAGCGAAAGTCAGGAGGTCGATAATCTTCATTGCAGTGGTAGATAATAGTGCGATTATTGGCTTGGCCCTACATTGGCAATTGTAGTCTCATTTATAGTCAGATTCAAAGACGTCGTTTTCATATGACAAGATCCTTGATGATTAAGTTGATGAGAGTCAATATAATGACGGCCCTATTTAAATTTGAACCTTGTTAAGTTGCAAATTGATGCTCAATGTCAATCTAAAGTGCCGAGGAGTGTGAACCAGCCGCTTTGTACTTAATCAATCCAGGGGCTCTCAGACACACGCCGCTGCGCCATTTCGTCAACGTGGTAACTACTCTGTAGTCCTTCAATCTTTCATTAAAAGAGGGCTGATTCACCTCTGCATACCAGACATAGACTTCGGGTACAATAAAAATTGCCAATTAAAAGGTCCAAGAAATGAGAAGCCCGACACATCTTTTACCACGGCCTCAGTGATCATGGTGCTAGCTGGCGTAACTACATAGTGCAGAGTAGGGGACATTGCGAACGCAGTCATCATCCGAAGCTGTTGCATGGCCATGATGCAGTCCTAAAGCTCTAACTATCCAGGATTGCGGAAACTCGGCAATATGCCCACCTCGCCAACGTCATTGAGGGTAGCCAGATGATCTATGAGGTGGGCCGTTGCGAGTCATTATGACTAGGTGACAGCCCCTTTGCGGGCGTATATAGACCCTGTAATTGCGGCCTCGGAATTGCTTATGGGCCCGAAAATAGGTATTGAACTGCAGTCAATAAGGTTCCAAAGACTCGGATTTCCTTTATCGACTCACCGCTGGTTCCGCGTTGTCCGCTCAACTAGTGATGCCGAGATTAAGAGCCTCGTATTAATTCCATATAATATATTTATTAATATTAGCGTCTGCCTTTGGTGGGCGAGAAGACAACTACAACTGGGCACCACCTCTTAAAAGAGTGACTCCGTCGTTTGTAGCTGAGTATTTATAGCTGGCGCCTGAACTTTACGGCCTAACGTGTGTAAAAGATCAGGGCCTGTCCTAGAAGTATTTGCCTGTGGAAATATGAAGGCTTTTACGTGGCGTTTCTTGAATACTCAAAGGTTTAATAGGAAAGGCAGCATTTAACTTCACCTCTGCGCGGCATTGTCTAGAACCATCCCCAGAATAGGAGAATTGTGCAACGTCTACAACGATGAATTCCCCCCAGAGCAGCGGGAGGTGCCTTACGATAAGAATTTTCTTCGAGAGCTTTATGTTCTAACAGAAGTCAAGTTCCGGATATCTGATACTTTGTCGCCGTTCCATAAACTTCTGCTCGGACCAAGACAGGTGCATCCCAGAGTTACGGGTCGTGCCGTTAGTAGAGTTCAGCGTTTCAATAAATTTATGAACTCAGACGACGTATCCACCTTTAAAAAGGTTTCTTGGCAACCGTCTCTGGCCAGTAAGAGTGAGCAAGGTTCTAGTATTAGGAAAGAATGACTGAGCCATTTATTTCACAGTCAGTGGATAAGTCAAGACGTCCAGTCCATCGACATATTTTATCATTGTAGCGGCCGCAAACTTTTTGTTACCGGCCGGGAGCTTCTTGGGCTTGCGCCCGAGTCATCACGAGTCGGGCACCAAGCATAGGGATAGCGGGCTAAGAAGATTCCTTTATAGCCAGACCCAGAGGATGCGGCTCAGGTGCACTGGAGTTAGTAGGTTCTTGCTAACTTAGAAAGCTCCAAGACTAAATCCCCTCTTATGTGCGCACAAAGTCACCACACCTCCAACAGCCATGACGGGCCCCGTGCTTTGATGTTGTCGGACAGTGCAGGTGTGGCTATCACGACGATGACAGTGGCGATAGGTGGGACTGTCAGAAGCTGGATCTGACTGGTGCTGCGGTATCCGAGGCCTTGAATAATTGATGATAGGGAAATCGAGAAGCTCCACCGTTGGAGAAAGGGAGAGGTTTGGCAGTGTAAGAAGTCCGAAGTCGAAACATTCAGGGTGTGACGTACGTAAGGCGGAATGAGAAGAAAGAGATCCATTGATGCTAGAGCGCAAAGATAGGTCTGCGACGCGAGCACCGCCATTCCAACCCAGTGCCAGCTGAAGTGCTCATAAATGACATCTTCACTTTTGGTGGCTCCGTGCGAGTCTTGTCTCAAGCTCCTCGTGATCTGTGTCTCTTCATCCAATGTGAGGAACTTTGTGTCAACCGGAGCATTGTCATTAAGAAGAAGTAGGTTATTCCAAAGACGGCAGTGATTGTACCCTCCACTACCATATGCCAGACATCTCCCCGGTCACAATGTCTGAAGTGGTTCTGCCGTTGGTCTCGCCATAGAAAGTGCACGGCCATCGGTTGTAAGCGCCGCTTCGAATCGTTGCTAAGCCCGTGGCAAGCACCCCCGAAGGCACCAGATCAGGGTGCCGCGTAGTAGAACAACCAAAAACGATATAGCATCTCATGTCGTCGGTAGAACATGGCCAGGTATACAATGATGCCTCCAAGTAAATCACATCCAAAAAGCCCCAGAACCGATTGACAAACCACAAGACCAGCGGAAGACTTTGTGACCCCGAGAAACGTGCTAACGATGCCTCAACTAGTAATAAGGGTTGGCAAGTAGAGGCCGGCTCGGACATTTTTGACGATTCAGTCGCTCGGATCATCGACGAGAATGTAAGGAATGCAGAAAACTACAGTAATAACGCGATACTGAAATTCGTGCCAGTTGTGACGTCGAGGTCTATCAAGAGGCCGTCGATCTTGGCATTCTCGATGTTTCTCCTGTCGATAAACGCAAAGAGCCTGAGAAAGATTTGTCAGTTTCCGAGACTGCCAAGGCGATGTTTAGTCCGCTCTGATATCCTGCCAGATTCCAAAAAGCAACGGAATGATATGATTGTCGAAATTGTGGTCAAGCCTTTAGCTTAAAGTAGGGTCTATTTCGTAATACACCTAGCTTTGACAGAAATTCTCCACATGGCTGTCTTCAGGCTTGCCATCTTCGAGAGTATTCTGCATCTCCAGGTCATGGATGGCGGGCCTGACGATTCCTTTAGACTTTGATAACAATTTGCTGCTCAACTGCAGGACGAGACAAAACTTTGTTGGTGACTAAAGACAAAGTTCAGGTATGGGAAAGAAGGGATAAACCTGACCCCAGCATGATCAGACATTTGAGGTTATCGGACCACCTTATGTTTGCATAGAACCCGAAGTCTTTTCCCACTCACACATCGGAAGCTGATAAGACACACTAGGCCTCTCCCATAAAGCTTTTCCGATTCATGAACACTTCGTCATCGCCCGATGTGCCGGGAAGACTAGGACAGCCTGGGCGGGCATTTGAGTAGCCATCCCCAAAGCTTGAGAAGCCGAATGGACCTCTAGCTGATGGCATTTGAAGGGACCCTTGAGGCACGGTAGCTTGCTCATCAAGTTCTGAAGTATTGGCTGGCATCTAGTAGTAGCCTGACCAGCAAAACTTACATCTGGATGGCCATTAAGGGAAGCCCGCAAGGTCAAGGGATGCAGACCGAGCATTGGGGTTTTCTGTGGGTAGTTGAACCACAGAATGAATCAAGAAATTAAACATACTGCGCAAATGACGGTAGTTATCATGATATTGACACTTTTCAAAAATTTCATGGAGAATGTACCATTACAGGAACCTAAAGTACTTCTTGTGAAGAGCCTCGTACCTATGGTCGGTACAGATGGTAAATGAAGGCACTTGCAGGCGGGATAAATAAAGTCCCAGGTGGGTGTTCAACCCCTATTTAGCACCTATTTTATACTGAACAATTTATAAGAAATACATTTAAGATCATTATCATCGGCTTTACGTGTGTGGATGCCGGCAGAGTGCAAAAAGTTCTTCGCCCTCGTTGCCCGGCATTCATGATATGCAAGGAGCATGAAAGCCAATCATAGCTCAATCCCTAGCTCCTTGAAGATGGCTTCGTTGTGCTCGCCTAATGCAGGCACTCTGTCCATCCTTGCTCCTTCAACCGAAGCAAATCCCGGTGGAATGAGGGCAGGAATCTTGCCAACAGGTGTCTCGACATCGGTCCATCTGCCTCTAGCCCGCAGTTGCAGATGCTCCCATACGCCTTTCATGTCATTAACATTCGCATTAGCGATTGATGCAGCATCCAGCTTTTGTAGAACCTCTTCAGTCGAGAGCTGTGCGAAATTCTTGGAGATGATCTCCTTCAAATCATCCCGGTTCTTGACACGAAGCATGTTGCTCACGAACCGAGGGTCTTTGGCCAAGCCTTCATCGCCAAGAGCTACTCGGCAAAAGTTCGCCCACTCTCGCTCATTCTGAATGCCAAGCATTACGGAGCCGCCGCGCCCTGTCTCGAACGGGCCATATGGGTAGATGGAAGCGTGGGCTGCTCCGGAACGAGCGAGACCTGGAGCATCGTTGTATGTGTAGTAGAGAGGGAAGTTCATCCACTCAATCATGCTTTCGAGCATTGAGATATCGATGCGTGAGCCTTTACCCGTCTTGCCGCGCTTGATGACTGCGGCAAGAATATTGGAGTAGGCATACATGCCCGCAGAAATATCGGCAATCGAGATTCCTGCTTTGGCTAGGTCTGGACCATTTCCCGTGACAGAAAGGAAGCCCGCTTCGCTCTGCACGAGTAGATCGTATGCCTTCTTGTCTCTATAGGGACCGTCTGAGCCGTACCCTGAGATATCACACACAATAATAGAGGGATGAGTGTCTTTTAAGGTGTTGTATCCGAGGCCAAGCCTTTCAGTGGCACCTGGTGCCAGGTTCTGGACTAACACGTCTGACTTGGCAAGGAGTCTCTTAAGCACCTCAAAGTCTTTTGGTTTCTTGAGGTCTAATGCCAAGCTCTCCTTTGAGCGATTCGCCCAGACGAAATGCGACGCCATCCCTTTCACGCGAGTGTCGTACGCCCTGGCAAAATCGCCAACGCCAGGTCGCTCGATTTTGATTACTCGAGCGCCCATGTCGGCCAGCTGTCTGGTGCAGAACGGTGCGGCGATGGCATGTTCAAGACTGACGACGGTGATACCTTCCAAGGGTAAAGGTTCCCTTTTTGAGTGAGCAGTTGACGAAGTCGACATGTTTTGATGTTGCGTCCCAGTGCGTTTGAGAGGAAGCTGTACAGAGAAGTGGTCAAGACATCTTGGAGTATGCCTTGGTGCTGTGAAGAAAGTCGAGAAGCTTATCCTGCATGCGACTCTGGGTGATACGGCCGAGAAAGCAGCCCGGGTTGCGGACATGATGAACAAGGGAGACTGTCGTAGGATTTGCAAGCCGGGGGTAAGCGTGTCTGTGAACCTAGGTAGAGAGATTGCCGAATAGACTCTTGGCTTCGGTGTCGAGGAGTCAATCGCAATATGGCGTGGAGACTCAACGGCTTTCTAGCCCTCTATACCTCGACACGGGTATGTTCGTCACTTTGCCTCGGCCCCAGTCGTTGGAGAGCTGCTAGCAGATGATGGGGTGGTCGATGCGTACGCGCCGGCGAATGCCAAATCGGCTTCTTCCAGCAAAGTCGGCTTTATGCAGCCCCAGTTCAAGCGCCGATCGTCCACGGTGTCGTCATTTGTCGACTGACCTGGGAGACAGTTGCCGGGCTTCAGGTGTATTTGCTATGCACGAGATCAACTTGAGTTGCCTTCTGAGAACCGTGAATTGGCCTTGACCAGACAATATTTATGGCTTAAGCGCTGATCCTTTCAGATTGTGCTCTTCTTAGGAATAGGAAATTCAACGACTTGAATAACTCCAGCCAAGCAGCGTCCAATGTCGACCTCTTTGTCTCTCAACTTCTGGCGCATTGCGCGACCAGCCACCAGGACCGCTGGATGTCTTCGCCAGGCAATGGTCACTTCTAGAAATGGTTGGGCATCTTTTTCAACTTCATCATCAAGGCCTATTATGGAAACGACTGGGTTCACCGAAAATCAGTTGACCGTTCGAGAAGCAGTCAGCCAAGTCTGCTCAGAGTTTCCCAACACCTACTGGCAAGAGCACGACCAGAACGAGCAAGACCCAAAAGAGTTCCATGCGGCTCTCGCCAAGGACGGATGGCTTGGCATTGCTTTGCCAGAGTCGCTCGGCGGCTCCGGCTTGGGCATCTCCGAAGCGACGATGATGATGCAGACCATCACCGAGTCTGGAGCCGGCATGGCCGGCGCGCAGTCCATCCACGCCAATGTCTACGCGACGCAGCCGTTGGCAAAATTCGGAACCCAGGAGCAACTCGAGAGCATCATCCCCAAGATTATTTCCGGAGAGTGGAGGACGTGCTTTGGTGTGACGGAACCCAACTCTGGCCTCGACACTCTGCGACTTGCGACAACGGCAAAGAAGCAGACGGATGGATCGTACCTCGTCACTGGTCAGAAGATCTGGATCACCTGCGCGCAGGTGGCATCCAAGATGATCCTTCTCGCGCGCACCAAGGCGTACGAGGACTGCAAGAAGCCGAGCGAGGGCCTGTCGCTTTTCTGCATCGACATTGACAAGTCACAGGCAGGACTGGACATGCGCAAAATTAAGAAGATGGGCGGCCGCGCCGTTGATGCCAACGAAGTATTCTTCGACAACTACCACATCCCCGCGAGCTCCCTCATCGGCGAAGAGGGTCAGGGCTTCAAGATCATCCTCCACGGGATGAACGCCGAGCGATGTCTTCTTGCCGGCGAGGCTCTCGGGTTGGGGTATGCAGCACTTACAAAGGCATCAGAGTACGCGCGTGAGCGCGTGGTTTTTAAGAGGCCCATTGGTCAGAACCAAGCCATTGCGCATCCCCTGGCGGACGCTTACATGAAGTTGGAGGCGGCGAAGCTGGCGACATATCACGCCGCTCGGTTGTATGATGCAAGCAAGGAGGACTCGTCCATCCGCCAAGACCAAGTTGGAGTTGCGGCAAATAGCGCAAAGTATCTGGCTGCGGAAGCGGCGTTCACGGCGTGCGAGCGTGCGGTGCTTACACATGGAGGCATGGGTTATGCGGCCGAGTACGATGTCGAGAGGTATCTCCGAGAGATCTTTGTACCAAGGATAGCGCCTGTATCCCGCGAGCTGATCTTGTCGTACATTAGCGAGAAGGTTTTGCAATTGCCTCGCAGTTACTAGATCAGAGTGTAGAATGAAGCCCAGGGGGAGTGGTTGTCAGCTGCATGGAAGGTGTTTTTCTTTCAAGTTCACTCAGTACGCAGATCGCTCAACCCAGTTTTCTCTCAACGAGACATTGCTCTTTCCCAAAAAGCATGTATACATGTATTAACTAGATGTGCACTCATATATAGACCTCACCTTCCCACGGATCGATTTCTGGGGAAACAAAACGTAAACGTTCTATTGATCTCGGAAAGCTTGCTGCTCAGTGAAGCGGTAAGATAAGTTAAAACAGCTGAAAATTAAGATTTATTTCTTTAGATCTTCTGGGATACGAAGCACTTAGCTTGCAGTATTGGACGGCGTTGTCAAGCCTAAATTCCACGAAACGATCCTCCGGTGTCTCGGTGAGTTCGGTCAGCTGATGAGACTTTCGGTAACAACAGCTAGCTCGGTGAGTCAGTCTAGGGAACGAGAAGCCGAGAGATCAAAGCTTCGCCATTAAAAGGACAGTGCTTTTTGATCGGCACTGTACGGAGAGGCTGGGCGCGCAAAGATATTACATGCTCTTCCCGTCGGTGTCCACAGTATCAGAACCACCACCGAGCATCAAGTCGCGCCGTGGTTTCCAACCCTCGAGCTACGCCTTCAAAAGACTTGCTATGTCCTTCCATAGTCTTTGTTACTGGCATGCCAAATATAAGTGTTCGTCATGCCGACGGAAAGCCCCAAGAAACCGCGCGCTAAGCACGCGTGTAGGGAGTGCAACTCGCGACGCATCCGCTGCAATGTCACTGAGCGCCACCCATGTTCGAACTGCGAGACGGCACGGGTGATTTGCGAAGTCATTCCGTCGCGGAGAGGCCGGTGAGTCTCTCCCGTCTTCCCCACACCGACGACTCCGAGTCGGCAAATACTGACATGATCTTCCTCGGCTCAGGTACCTACGGAAATCCAAGAGGCAGAAGCCGACGGAAGAGGCCGCATCGGCGACTCCGGAGCCCGTAGCTGCCCCAGCCGCGTCGTCCGCTCTCACCGCTGATGTCGCCGCGACGCTTGCTTCTATGAGCACTGTCTCTCCGTCGCATGGACTTCCGGGCTCTTCCGGCATATCGCAGACTCCCTTTCACGCCGAGACGCCGGCGTCGTGCCATTCCTCGTCGGGAACTACGGGCAGCAGCCGATTCTTCGGAGAGTCAAACTTCATCACGCTTGTCCCTGGAGCATCTGGGTCCGGAAGTGAAATTACTGCTGGCGATGGGGTGTTGAAGGGTCGCCTCACCTTTCCGGTACCGCAGACGCCCCAACCTCAAGATCTGGCTACTTCGCCTGCCATCACGAATACCTTGAGCTCTGCAACAGAGCGTTATCTTCGGGATGAGGGAGCACTCAGCTTCCCCGACATGCAGAGTTGTCTTCCGGCTTTACATGCTTACTTCACATGGTTCCATCCCTGCTTTCCCATCCTTGACCGCGCAGATATTGCGAGGCGCCTCGTGACGATGGATATCTCGCCGCTGTTGCTGCAAGCCATGCTTTTCATCGGATCGACGTATTGTGATGACGCAACAATTCTCGGCATGGGTTTCAAAGACCGATCCGAAGCCAAGAGCCTGACATATTCTCGCGCGCGGGTTTTGTTCCATGCTAATTGGGAGAAGGATGAATTCACTCTCATTCAGTCACTCTTTCTATGCAGCTTCTGGCGGGGTGGACCAACAGATTGGAGAGACGTAAGGTATTGGCTCGGGGCCGTTTTAACCCTTGCCCAAACACATGGCCTTCATCGTTCGTAAGTCATGATGTGCTCTGTTCTTTTGGTAAGGGCTCGACTTACCTTGTGCACAGAACCCGATTCATCACGAAGGATCCTCATTTCGCTCGGATGAGACGAAGAGTGTGGTGGTCAATCTACGTAAGTTCCTGGATAATGCAGTGATAATGTGCACCGGAATTACTCTGGCCATAGTGTGCATCGGATAACTCGTGGCTAACATCTCATAGGTCCGAGAGCGGCAAGCATCTGTATCACTAGGACTACCTTGTCGGATCCGCGATGAGGATTGTGACATCGAGCCGCTTACTGCAGCTGATCTAGAAGATGATGCTGACGGACAGCGAGCAACTGGTTTCGGTGCACCAAAATCAGAGCATAAATATTACGCTATCAAGATGATCGACATTGCTCGTCTTCGTGAGTTTGTTTACCTCCTACCAACAGTTGGTAACTTGCTTGACTAAATGATCTGCAGTTGGGAGAATCATGGACACCCACTTCGCGCCCGGTCGAGGCCCACCAGCACCGACAGAAGTCCGTGATTTGAAGCAGCAGCTCGAGGAGTGGAAGCAGGGTCTACCAGAAGACATGCGTAGAGGTCCAGATGATGGGCAGTCTTCGGTCTTGACCTGCTTGATCCACCTTGCCTACAAGTAAGCTGAGGCCCGTCTATCGAGCGTTATACTGGACATATCAATGGCTGACTTCAAGCTTGCGTGCTCCTTAGCCACCTCCGTATTCTGGTGCATCGAAACGGATGGCTGCGGAACAGGAATCAAGAAGACAAAAGAGTAGCTCTCGCCGCTGCCTGCCGTATCAGTCGCATAGCCGAAGACATGCTTGCGCAAAAGACGTTGCAGTATGGCCAGATGCACCTGTGAGCTCCCCAACACCACGGACCATTCGATGCGGCAACTGACCTTCCCAGACTCACCAGCCTGTTCGCGGCTTTTTGTATCCATGCAATCGACATAAAGTCCGCAGAGGGTATCAGTCGACGACTTGCCGAACATAGAGCCCAGATGTGTCTTCTCGGTCTCAAAGAGATCCAGAAGTATTGGCGTATCAACAACAATGTATTGGACCTATTCTTGCAGTACCTCGATGAATCTATTGCCAAAAGACTCAACGGCGATAGCGGCGAGTCTGTACCGACGAACGCGCTCCCCAACTCCACCGCGCGTCTCGGTCCCTTCAACGACGTAGGGACGAGCCCTCCGCAAACTCTACTCCAAGGTGCTCTCCAGCAAGCGAGGCCCGACGCCATGGAAAATCAATACTTCAGTCTAATGCGCACCAACTGGGACGGAGAGGATGCTCTCGAGGATCTCGGGCTGTTTCTGGATCCCCAGCTGTATGCCAATGGGCCAATGCAGGTAGAGGGCCTCAATTTCCTCCAGCGGTGCCTGTGAAGAGTGAAGATAACTCAGCACCAAGCCGGTTATCTGAAACTTCTCAAATCTATGGCAGCATGCAAGCCTTTCACTGCATGTAGTGTAGGCTAGAGGGGATGGTTCACAGCCTGACATCATTCACCGTGGTTGGAAAAGGTTCATTCTCGCCTAGCATCATCTGGGCTTCCTGTGCCGAGCACAGTGGCTGCCCGGCTTCTTCCCCGTGGATTCGAAGAAGCCGAAAGCATATAGCCGGGCGGCTCGGCTGCCCCACACACCTCGAAGATCGACGCCCTGCTCAGACCATTCCTCATGCGGCGACATCGAGAGATTACGGTTCTCATGGTCAGCCAATGCGTCGGCCTTGACATCCTGAGGTCCCTTCTGGTGCCGGCTTGATGAATCCTTAGCCTGAGCAATCTCGACAAGTGGCATATGTTGATAACACCGGACCTTCAAACGACCATAACCTCCAAAAGCCCACTGGCCTCAAAATTCCGTACACGCCTCTCCGTCGGACACTAACAGCTTGTTCCCCCACAATGGCATCCCTAGCTCGTCAAACACGGCCGGCTTTCTGTCGCTGCACCGCTCGCACCCGACGATCTATCACCACCAATGCAACGGACGCAGCCTCCAGGCTTCTTGACACATTCGCCGGCAAGGATGTCGTCCGCAAGCAATTGCTCGACTCCAACCAACTCCAACGTCTCAGTTTAACCCTTAACCGGAAAGAACTGCATCCGGGCATCGACATCTCCTCAGAAGCGCCCGCTCAAGGCACGCCGCTGCCTCCTGGCTACCACCTTGTGTATTTCACCCCGGTGGGCGTCGAGAGCGAGCTGGGAATGGACGGTACGGACAAGACGTTCAACGCAGGGGCGCCGTTCACACGGCGGATGTGGGCTGGCGGGAAGATGCAGTTTGTTGAAGGAACTTCGCTCAAGGCTGGCGAGATGGTTGAAGAGTGGACGAGACTTGTTGGAGCGACGCCCAAGAAGAGCAGAAGCGGAGATGAGATGGTGCTGGTAGATGTAGAGAAGGAATTTTGGGGTCGCGACGGATTAGTTGTCAAAGACCAAAGGCAAGTCTTCGTGCGAGTGGAGGCCATACAGCCAGGCTAACAAGTGCTCAGATCATGGATCTTCCGACCTGAAGTGGATGCCTCACTTACCGTGAAAACAGCACCACCGCGTAGTGAAAGACCACCTGCCTTCGGACCTTCTACCATCACCGACCAAATAAGTTCAGAAGGAAGCATAGTTCGTCACTATAGATGGTCACCCGTTGGCCTTTTCAGATTTTCCGCTCTCACTTTCAACGGGCACATGATTCACTATAATGAGCCTTGGACAAAGGATATTGAGCGTCATCCCGAGGTTGTAGTCCATGGACCCTTGAACCTGATCAACATGTTGGACTATTGGAGAGATGTATATGGAATGGATGGCAGGGAGGCACGTCAGGTCACCTATCGAGCCATGTCGCCACTCTACGCCGGCGACGAGTACACACTTCGAACAGTTGATGTTGAGAGTGAAAGGAGGTATGGGTTGCTTGTCGAGAAGGGAAATACTTTATGCATGAAGGGAGAAATCATTGGTGGCTGATCTCGAACCAATATCAATTACTTCATTCAATACATCACTCCCGTGCAACCCTGTCAGTAATAGACGATGGAAAAAAGACGCTTTATCGGTTACTGTTCTGGTGCCCAGTCTTTGGTTACATCCAGACATGTCACATACGTTACAGGGGTCTTCCGCTTTGGTCCAGTCATCGGTCGACATTCTCTCTTTGGAGATGGAAAGACCCCGGTAGTAGACCGCATCCTCAGCCCTTTATCGGGCGCCGTTCTCGGCTTTCTGGGCCGCCTCGTTCGAGGCGGGCAGGAATAGTAAGTGGCTAAATATCGGTATTGAATCTTGGAACTCGTTGTGCCGCTGTAGTCGGCCGGATTTTCCGCACATGCATAAAACATGGAAACACCTCCTGCGCATACTATAAGTGGACTTTTGGTCAGGCGCGGGAGGAATTTTATTTGTCCAGTCTGCGGGCAAAGGACCGTCCCTGAGAATAATTGCATGCTTGCAAATTTATACAATATTGCGAGCTCTGACCTGTTTTTTAATCTGTTGATAAGAGTGATAAGAGTCTCATTACTCACCCTAGCAGAGAGGATGCTGTAGGCTTTCGAAGTTGTCACCCTTAATCCACTGCCACCTGCACCGACAAGAACGTTGCGAGTGTCCATAGCGCCGTCAGTGAAGTGAACCCTCCCACTTTCTAGCATATCCTCTCCCTTGACAACTCCATACCCCTCGAATGCCTTTCCAAAGCGGCTTATGCCCTGTCCTTGTAAGAGAGCAACAAGGATGTCTCGAATTATAACTCGATTGATAGCACTCGAAGCGCTGCAGGATGGAAGTTGGGTCAAGTCAAGTAATGTCTGAAATCTCGTATTTGTCAAGGCTTGGGGCCGTCAGACCCGTGGAGGATGTCTGGCTAAACTTTGATATCAGCAATGTCGGACGGCTTGACGCAGATGTTGAGACCTGTTAGGGCGGTCTCGCTGAGGCCGTGTGAGCGAATCTGAAACCTTTTTTCTTCTCCTGCGTCTCGTTCGTAGACGGCGACATCAACGACATGATTGAAGAGGTTGTTTGCAAAAAGTGAACCGGCGGGACCGCCGGTAACTATGATGACGTTACAGGGTTTAGCCATGGGGAATAATAGAATAATATTTGGGTGTCAGCCCTTAAGCCCTGCACATGCAAAGATAGTCCGGACGCCTGCCAGAATTCCAGTGCTTTCCAGAGCTAAGTCAGATTTGACATACATCTAAGTTGTCAAACCCATCATTCTCCGACCTCTTGAGAGTCAAGCTCAATTTTGCTTCGGTAGATGATATCGGTATTGAGTGTATAAGATATTTAAGGTAACGCAGTTGGTATGCCCGGGAGTTTGGGGTGGGGTACTGGGCCGGGGTCTCCGTGTTCGGCGATCCGCGGTTTTCCGACGATACACCATTTACACACATGCAAAGGTTACGTCCCACAAGACAGCATGAAACTTGGCAAGCGTTTCTCGCGATTTCGTCCAACTCCATTACCATCGAAAGTTAGAGATCACTACTATGCCTAATCATCGTAGTGTTGCCTCAATGGTGGCTGTGAAAAACAAAACCAATCACAGACCGCTCTGGATTCGCCATTGATAGTCGACATGGTGTTTGCGAGGATGTCATAGTCTTGCCTAACAGGCCTGAAAACGGTCTCTCTGCCCACATCTTGTCTCAGCTTCAAGTAAGTTCGGCAACCATTCTTACAGCGACAGATCCAAGTACGTGTACTTCTTTCCTTTCTTGAGCTTGAGAAGTTTCTCGCCAAGCCACGAGACCTGTATGGAACATATGTTTTTTTGATTTTCAAAGCCACGAGGGGTGTGCTTGGAGCTTCTCGAACACGGTTCGCGTTTATTCGCTCATGTTACGCAAACTTTTTTAGGCTGATGAATTTCAGAACATGGAACGGGAGCTTACTGCGTACTTATGTAGTGATCACAGGACTCAGACTCATTGCCACGCGGGTGCTCTGATTGCTTTCATGTCATCGGCTGACTATGGCCCCGTCCGAAGGTACATGTACGCAATCCACCGTGGGCAGCCCGACAGCATTGGCGCTGAATTGGATACGCAGCTGCTGACCATTGCGCCGAATTTTTTCCTGATCATGTCGTTCTGTTTGACATGGATCACGGAAAAGAAAGCCGTGTACCACATAAATACCCACGTATCAAGCCATACTCTCAAGCAGTTGAGACCAGACTAATAGGGACCAGTTGCTGCTTGCTGTGGAAGACGAGATTGGGACTCAGTGCTCTCTTGAGGAGCTAACCCTGCTTAGACTTTCCGGGAAAGGACTGTGCTTAATTCAAGTTCTGGTCAAACCAAGAGGTCAGGGAATGTCTCCAGAGAAGCCTCTGATTGCTAAGCATGGAATTTTGCAGACTACTTTTTCAAACAACTTCTGTCGATCACACTTCTCATACGTTAGCTTGATTGAACCTTGTGCTCTCAACCGTTTCCTTGCCTGTGAGACATACCATTGATCGGTCTGACACTTTCCATTTACAGGATTGGGAAACTGGCCTGTCTTCGGGTCGCAGGTGACTTCTTTGCCTCCAGTGCAAGTAGCGCCCAGGAAGTTTCCCCATTGAGCAAACTTAGCCGAATAATCGCCAGCCATCGCGTTCCAGGCACGCCAGATAGTAAAGGCACCAGAGAAGTTCTGGAGACCGCTGGCACATGGACCTTGACCTCCGCTCACGGGCGAGTTGATTTCCCAACCAGCGCAGTCGGGCCCCATAATTGCAACAAGACCAAGGCTGGCCACGTTGAATGCCTCAGTCGCGTTGGGGGCGCACACGGAAACCTGGCAATGTACTTGGTTGCATCCCGATACTGAGGTGACTTGGCTGTAAAACAGGCACAAAAGGAGAAGAGTAAACCTAGCTGCGATCAGTTCAGTCGATACGTAAAACTGGGAACCGAGAAACTCACTGTTTGAGAGCCATTATGTGTTGCCCTTGTTTGCTGTTACACCTGAGAATACCTTGGGTACGCGCAAAAGCTCCGAGTTCTTGAAGCCACCGCCTTACTATTTGTTGAAAAGTCGTTGAAATCAGATTTATGGTCTTTCAAGCATATATATGCAGCAAGCTGAATAGAAAAACAGAGCTTAGGAGGTAATTGAGGATTCAAAAACTGAGACTAATCATTAATGACATTTTAGATCTCGGAAAGCCTTGGGTGGCAGCTGGTTATTCGTGGCGCTGAAGGGCCTGGAGAGACATATTACTTGAGTAGCAAAGGACGTTGGCGGCAGGGCTGTTGACGCCAGCGATGCCGACACTCCGGACCATAATCACAGCAAAGGGCAGAAAATTTGCTGTTTATCCAGAAACTTGCGGTTTTGACCACTTACTGGGCCACGTGCTTGAAGAATGACTCGGTTCAGAAACCGTGCACGCGTCCTCCTGGGTAGAGCGCACAACTCTGTTATATTAAAAGCTTGGTTTATCCCAAATCACCATCAAAATAATGCCCCACCGGTCCTTAAATAACTAAATGTCCATTCTCAAGAATATTGAAGGCCTCCCCAGGCTTGTCTAGCCCATTGATCTACTCAAACGACGCCAATACCATGCATTGCGCCTTACACGTGGGATGAAATTCTGCCTGCGCATATTATAGTGCCTTGGCTGGTTACGAAACAGACTTCGTCAGTCCGTTCTGCGGATTCACTTGGGGATCGGTGTAATCAACTCCTGTTGCTCGCAAGATGATAACTATCTAGACTCGCCAGGAACCTGCATAGACTAAATGTAGTTTTGGTTCCGCAACATCGCCACATTTACCACTACATCACCCAACACAATGCGTAGCTTTGCATGGCTCCTACTGGCGTCCAACGCCCATGCCATTCCTACCACTTTTTGGACGCGTACCGACAAATGGGAGCAAGTCACCTGTTCCGACGCCAATATCACCGATGCAAAGGTTCTAGCTAATGTCCGATGGGAATCGGCTGACACAAATACCTCGTGGAAAGAAGCTGTTGCCGCTTGGCAAGCCTACAAACCAGGAACAACTTCGGCTCAGCTTAAGTTTCCAGCTTTCATCAGCGACTTTTACGGCGGACCTGAGGGATGGGATTGCCAAGATACCGCCAACACGCCATGCTCGACAACAGTCCAGTGCGCTGACACAAAGCATCCAGCAGGGTACGTTTTGTTGCAACTCGATTTGAAGTTGTCATGGTCTAACATCAAATTCTTGCACAGCTTTCTGTTGCTCAACTCCTTCTCAAGATTACACGACGTAAGCAAGCACATCAACGGACAGGGTTGGGCAAACAAGCTAATGCTGGATAAGGTGTACCAAAAATACCATGAGGCGCTACAAGATGCTCAGCTGAGCATATCTGCCGCGATGGGAGATTTCACATCTACCTTTGCGCCTCAGCTAAAGAAAAAGGACGAGTCAACGCTCGTCAAGACTTTAATGGATGTGATGGCATTCGGTATAGGTGTTGCATCGGCTGGTCTATGGAACATTGGTACGCCTCGCTAAACTAGAAATTTTATTCCTTACTTTGACAACCTGGGCTGAGCTAACTTAAACAGTCATCAAAGAGGCTGCGATATTTGCTGGCAACTCCTTCGGATTCGCCAAAGACTCATTCAACAGCGCCATATCCGCTTCTTTTGCTCTAGGCAAAGACAACTTGAAATCGTAAGCCTTTTGTTGTTGTATCGACTGAGAGGGAGTCGGCTAATCCTTCCGAAATAGTGCGAAAGATAGCGCAAGCGTGCAAAACGACTTGACCTCCGCGATGGGCGCCTTATTTGACGTGTGGAAGAAGACACAAGAAGACTATTTATCTGAGATATTCTCAGGGTCAAACAGTAATACCATAGGCATGCTTGAGTCTTTCATTAGAGGTGGCATGATGAACATGCTGCCCGTCGATATCAATCTCTCCGGCATGGTGAAAGTGGTTGAGACCATCATGTTTGGGCAGATGATTCCTATTGCCTGGCAAGTGGCACCTGCGGCTTACACGCCATTCGTATTGTAAGTCTATGTGGTCGAACAACTATCCTTTCTGGATCTCTCGGTTTCAGAGATTCTGCTCAGGGCAAGTGGCTAATAGACCTCGACCTGCAGGAAAACCGGCGATGCGTGTTCTAGTACCATGCCCAACACCCTCGACCCTTACATGACCCAGGAAACACATGAGAAGGCTGGCGTATGCTGGAATAATAATCAGTTTTACGTACTGACTATCGGAACATATCGGGTTGACGTGCAAAGTGACACGCCGCGTCTGCCCGACTCAGAACCGCCCTTCCAGGTGATGGCGGGTGCCACCCATGACGTGCTCGACGGAAAGAATTGGGGTGGCGTCACGCTCGAAGATATCGTCATCAGCGCATACAGTGGATACTTGAACAACGGGAACCGCAATGGCTTCAACATCTCCCTAGACGACAGTGCGGGAGGCGTTGATCAGCTCATGTGGACGGGGGGCATACGGACGCCTGGTTTCTTCTCGCTCCCGGTCTGCACTAGTCTTTGGAACACATTGATGAACGTCGCTGGCAGTTCGCCTGGAAAAAACCACTATCCTTGCGGAGTGGTGGTTGAACAGACGTTCCCACAGCACTGAGCCAAGGTTAGAAAGCGGCGTACTTAAGTATTATTGTAATTTTGTATTGTATGTATTGGAAGTGTCCGTCACACATGTATACACCATTCTTGGCGAGCTGTACATAGATTCTTTTCCATCACTCAGTAGCGATGAGAGCTGGTCTCTTAATGATCAACTTCCTTTCCGTTAACACTTGTCCAAAGCCTGAGAATAAAACCTAGTCTACAGATGTTGTCGAAGAATGAAAATCTTTTTTTTACAGCGGAATGGGATATAAGTAGAGATTGGTTTTGCTTTATCAACAACAGTGCCTGAATCCTGATGCTAACCGATAATCTTCAAGGCCAAGGGCACATGTTATTTGAGTGATGAACCCTCCGTTGAAACATGTATCTCCCGCAGCAGGTGCCGTAGAACAGGAAACAAGCTGGTTTCTCTTACAAGAAGCCAGCCATGCCACCGCAAATATCAACAGACTCATGATTGAGACCAAAGTTAACGGTCTCGGGGATAATGCGATAGCAAAAGGTGGCAGCTTGTCCAGTCTCGACAAAGCCAATGAGATCGGGCAAGTTGCATCAGTTGGCACGAGTGTTCCAGTAGGTGGCAAGACACCGAGAAATCTCAGTCTGATGGGCGCGAGTGAGCTTGGACTGGAGACGGGTGGTGTAGGCGACCTTGAAGCCAGGGGCAGAAGAACGCTTCTCCATGCGCTTAGCGATGGGCTCCTGCTCCTCGTCATGGGGCAGGAAAATGTGGCCCTCTCAGTCGCCGAAGTCGTAGACGTCCGGTTTCAGAGTGGTGTTGAGGAAGTTGAGACCGTGGACGCTGGCCACGGACTGAGGGATACGCGTGCCAGAGTCGTAGCGGGGGAGGAGGTGGGGGGTGGCGCCGGTGATGGACTCGAAGGTCGAGCCATCGGCGACCAGCTCCCGGGTGAGGAAGTCGACGAGGGACTCAGCGCTACCATCACGAGCTGGGATGGTGTCAGATCTCTGCAGGATCAGGAAGAGACTTGCAACAGCTGCGGCGATGGCACCGGCAAGATTGTAGCATTCGCGTCCGTTGACGCGTCTGCACACGTACAGAGCTGTGAGGCCACCGCTAGTGGCGTATACGGTTACCTCCTTGCTGGTGCCGATCTGCTCAATGACAGTCGAGGGAGTCGAGCACTCCGTGCGAGCAGTGAGGGGCGAGACTGGGCTCATGCCCACCTCACGAACCCCAGAGCTGTGGCATCGCTAGCCACCGGTTGAGCGATGGCGCTACTCAGAGGAGAGGCTATAATAGAAAGATAAGGCATTTCGAAGCGCCGGTGTGGGATAGTCGGAAGGATACAAGGGATATCACTTGGTATATGTCTGTCTGAGCTGGAAAATCGTCAACTCGGGGACTTTGCCAGCGCTTTTGAAGCGTTTTTCATCATTCCAAAGGTTTACCAAAGTTCCCTCTATGGCATATTAGCTCACAAAATCAACATCTGGACGATCCTTCTCGTGAACATGTCTTGGGTCGCGCCTTGTAAGTCCCACACTTTCAGATAGTAACGGAAAAATCTAGCATGCTTAGCAGATAGTCCTGTAAGACGGCCAAAGGTCCAGTTAACCGAATTCAGCAGATGATCTATATTTCCCCGCCGAACCATAATCGGTTGCTGCCGTCTATCAGCGTTTTGTGTGAAAGACCCGATTCGAAGTCGAATTGGGCACTACACCGGCCGTGGCAGACAGCTGATTTGCCGCACAACACTATGATGACAGTCATTAAGACGTGGATTCCTCCTAGTAACACCACAGAAGTTCTTTTGAAAATGTGAGCTCTGATTTCAGAGCCCAGGGACTATCAAGACAATACATGTATATTTGACCCACCTGCTCCGCGAGATTTACTCGATTTGCATTTGAAAATGCGTTGAACATGATCGGATCTGCCCGAAAACGCAAATGGTTGAAAGTGCCACGTTATGCTTATAATTTCATCAGGCTCTGATCTGTGATCCCTGGCAGTATTATCATTTGTCAAAAAATTGAACTCGCCTCGGTCAATTTTGATGCTCGAACATGACCTGACTAAGTTGATAATCATGGAGGCTTTGCAAAATCTCAGTCAGCTTTTCTTGAGGGAGTCGTCTAGTTCCGAGCTTGAATCTTGCAACGACCGCAATATGAGAAAAAACCAAGTCAAGATTTGACCAGCCCACAGAAATAAAAACCGTTGCTTGCCTGTCAAGTCTAATCCCTCACGGTTACCACAGATGAATAGGACAATGGATTGTACAAAGCCTAGCAAGATCCATCTGACTACCCATTGATACATCAGCACATTTTCACAAGATTAGTAGTGACGGGCATGGTTACTGATTTTTTTGGATCGTACGCCAGGTGCGCGGACAACGTAAAGTAGGTAGAAGGTGGTCATGAAGCATACGAAGAAAAGCCCTGTGCTGTTACTTGACGCTATCAGTTTCAGTTGATTGCTATCCAATGACTGACACTGAAAAATTTGGACTCGCGATTGTCTGCTTTATTTTGGGTAATCCACTTCATTCGGCACCATGAGAACAGTGTTTCTGGCGTTGCGGATAAGCATGGTTCCTCTCGTCGACATTCTGCCGCCCTCGAATGAGCTTTCGCTGTAATGGTCGTTGGTGACGAGAGAGCCAGGAACGGCATCAACGAACCCCAGATAATAAGTAACTAAGCAAACTTAATGAGCTTCTTCCAACTGATCTCTGCTGGTCCTTCGGGGCGAGTGTCCGGTTGCGGCATGAAGCCGCCCCGCATGCCGATTAGCCTGGCTAGAGATTAGGCCCCGTTCATTCGTTTGTTTGTTTGTCCACCCTTAAGAGTAAACGGCGCCTACATCGGCTATCTGAAACGGTCACTTCTACATATAGTGCGAATACAAGAGAAAAGCAATATGATCTGACCGGAAAGATTCAAACCTGCCAGGGCCTTTGAATACGATCCTTCCCGGTGGGCCATTACGAGGTTCCGTGATAATCTTGGCATTATAGAGTCTGACCTTCATCATGAGCTTGACGACTTACAGTCACCAGGCAGACACCTGATCATACACATACATGTACATCCAGCGACATACGAGAAGCTAAATCTCAAGTTATCATCAGCCTCTTGGAACCGACAGCAGCTCCTCCAGAAGAAACCCAAAATAAAGCCGTCGACACAGCTCATCTGATAAACGTCGAATTACACAGGGTCCTTCGGATCACGGCTCATATCTTTCCACAATATGCTTACATTGACCCACAACACGTGCGGAGACCCTATGTGCATTTAGCTTTGCAGGGCCTCAGCGATGGGTCATCGGAGGGACTTCTTCATTCAGAATTTCCCTATCTGGAAAGCGGTCATCAGTCCAGTCGGCTGAGATTTGGGGAACGAAACCATTTGCATGTGCCGATCTTTGCCACGAGAGCGAAGCGGACTGACGTGAAGATTTTGGGCTTGGCTGGTGCCTAATCTCATCATGGTTCTGCTTGATTAAGTCAATTTAAATTGCACAAAACGTCAATTGCATTAAGCTTTCAGTGAGCAATTTCGGGTTTGATACCGTCAGCTTCTCGGCAGTACGTCTAAGGTCTTAGAGGATGGAAGCTGCATGGCCAGGTTCCCTCGAGGCTACAATCAAAACGACCGTATGTGTAATGTAGGCGGCCGATACGGGCAAAAATTGAGAACCAATTAAGCCCTATAGCCTAATGCCTTTTGTTGCTCACATGTATTTATACGTATATAATCATAAGTCGGCGACCTATACCTTTCTGAATTTGGGCAGTGCGGACACAATCCGTACAATGTTACCTGTGTGCATGTGAGCCTTCGGCCGGTAACAATACATGCATTCTGTCGGTTCCATTCAAGCGACTCAACCAGACTAACTGTCTAGGATTAGTCTGCACGGTAATGAGCTGGGGAGTGCTAGACTTGCCAAGCACAGTCGTGTAGCGTTCGACACCTCGAAGACTGAATCGTGTATGTATCACTATGGAAAATTCACGGATCAAGCGATGATGAGGGACTAAGTAGGATAAATATAAATTCGGGTTGGGTAGAGAACTCCGCCACTGGCGTCATGGTTTGGAAGCAGATAGAACTGCCGCATTTCTTACAGACTACGCTAAAAAGATTGTTTTACAAGTACGACTCGTCAACCCACCACTCCTTCTTGAAATCCTCACCCAAAAGGGTTTCAGCCTGGATAGGCTTATCGAGCTTGGAACTAAAGCTAGCTCTGGTACCATTCGCGCCGGGACCGGAATTGTTGTACTCCTTGAAGTAGACATTAGCCGTGCTTTGCACGTCGTCCCAGGTAGACCAGCCAAGGGGCGCAATAACGTCGCTCAACTCGCTGTTCTGAAAAACGACGCGGGAGTAGGGTCTCCAGGGTCGGCCGAGGTAGGAGGTAGCAGTGCCGTTGGTGCCGGTGACATTGGCCTTGTTAATCAGGAAGAAGGAGGTGTTGTTGGCGGCGTCGCGGCCGTTGGCAGTGATGAAGCCGGGTCCGATGGTAGTGATGTCGCACATCTGGAACAAAACAATGCCGCGCTGGCTAAAAAGGAAGTCGACGGCGCCGATGAGGCCGGTCTTTGTGTAGATCTGTCTTCCCTCGTTGGCTAAGAGGGTGTCCTGGTATCCGCTGATGAGGCAGCCGTAGAAGCCGATGTTTGTCTTCTGTGCGCTGACGGCGAGGGCCATGCCGTTCTTTCTGGCCTGGCCGAAAGTGTTTGCAACGTTGAGGTTATATACCTTGATGTTATCTCCCCAGAGGCGGAGGGTGGCGGTCTGGTCGTTGTTGGTGATGTTGGGCGAGGTGCGGGAGATGTTGTTGGTCAGGGTGGCCTTGTTGCCGACGTAGTCGCGCGAGTCGCAGGTGTAGCCCTGGATGATGAGATTGCCGCGGAAGTTGGGGACACGGACCTGCTCGGTGTAGGTGCCGGGCATGATGAAGATGCTCTGGTCGTCGGTGATGTTCTGTAGGGCGGCGACGGCGCCGCCGAGCGTGGGATAGCTGTTAGGTTGCTTGCCGGAAGCGTCGACGACTATGGCATTGGGTGAAGGGCTAGTTCTGGCGAACTTGCCATCGCAGTTTTTATCATCGATGCCAACTTCGACTGAAAGCTTGGCTGGAGATGCGACAGCCAGCACAGCGAATGAAAGGAATGGAAGAAACGCAACCATGGTGAATGAGTGTATAGAAGCAAGGTAGGGACTGAATAGGATGGTAAAGGTACCAGTCATTTCGAAATGTAGGGAATGGTCGCCGTGTATTTAATCACCACGTTCGGATACTTCTGAGAAACCCAACACCGCAGCTCTGGGTCAGGTCTACCTCCCCTGGTATCTCTCTCCCCTGGTATGATTGTCTTCCCATTAACCTTGTCGGCTCGTGATTTCATTCCAGTCGATTGCAGTCACCCGAGAGCCTGCGACAATGGTCGCATCCAATTACAGCGGCGGGACCCCAGCACTTGGTGCAGGGAAGGGCTTGCATGCAGACCGGAGTGCAAGACGGAGACTTGGGGTCGCATATTCCTCCAATGGAGTTCCCCGCCTGTCAGGGTGTTGCCCAAGCACGCTTGTTTAGTTTCCTTTCCTCTGTGGCCTCGCGGCGGCTCTTGGTCAACTTAATGTGAGGGGATCGCGAGTCAAGCCTCAAGGAGGTGGCCAAGCTGCAGAGTCATTTCTTCATTGGTGGACGTCCACGGGTGATTGATTCAGTGTTGCGCCACGTTTCTTGAGAATCACCACCACGCTTCGAGGCTTTGACAATGAACAGCAACTTGCAACACGTTGAGCATCACGAGACATCGGGTTTTTTTTTACTTCTTCTCTTTCTACCCCTCGTATAGTTTGCTGGGGGAGCTATTGAGACTAAGCCAGAACAGCATCGCTGTGCAGCCGACCTCACAGACGTACATTTCAAGCCTCCAAGGAAGGTTTTTGCCATTTGAACGCTGCAAAGTCTATTTGATTGGCTACCAAGTAATGGCCAAGTTTCCTAACTCTTTTGGGGATAGCACCATCATCATTGACCACAAATGCCTTGGCGGACAAACCGGCAGCTGATGGATACTATTGATCTGAAACTCCCCTCAATTTGCGCAAACAGATCGACGTGGAGTTTATTCGATTACAGTATTCAGGGCCTTTGAGTTTGCTAGTAATTTATGGTGCCAGCCCCTGAAAATAAACGACCCGGGCTATGCTTCCAGTCGGGTATTTATTTATCACTCGTGTTGATTGACTGATGATTGCCTGAACCCTAACCATCAAAGACATGCCAATTTTCAGCTTCAAACTCTGTGAGAAGCAGTCATTTGAGAGGAACTCTATCCGTAGGCGCTTGACCGTTCCACAGCCACAATTCATTCTTTGAATGGATCATTAGGTTTGCAGTGATTGTTTTGAGGCTATGGCCAAACAAGCTAGCGCGTAGCATGCAACTAATTCTCCGCTGGCGCCCGATCTCCCCATTCACTAAGCCACGTCAATCTTCCTAGTGCCCGTAAGTCACCACTTGACGGGAACTACACCCTCACCGGCGATCCGGACAACGGCTCAAACTCGTTCGTCCCGGCCCTCTGAACGCTCGGCAATGGAAATACCACGCTGATCGGCGACACCATTCTTCCAGGCCGCCTTCTCCTTGCCATTCTCCGCCTTGACCTCGACCTGTTCACGTCCCACGACACGCGGGAGCCGAGTTCACTCTCCGCGAAGCCGACATCGCTCAGGTTATCCAGCTCCTCCAGCTCTCGCTCCACTCCCGGCGGCGGCTCCACCTTGAACACGGCCTGAATGTCTCCGTGCGGGTTGAACCCACTGAAGCTCCAGTTGAGCAGAGACTGTGATCGTGCGCGGCGGGGGTGAGCTAGCCGGCGACGCTCTAGAGCGCTGATGATGAGTAGTGCTGGCGCGTTCAACAACCGGATGACGGACACGTTGAGATCGTGGAAAGATCGGGGGCTCAGAACAGATTTGAGTGGGAGGAGGATCGCAATCGCCATCAGATTGAATGGCGGTGGGTAGGCAAAGATAGAATCGCTCTTTACGCCGGCAAAGGTGAGTACGGCCCGTCGAAATTGGATCTCGGCCGGGGCGTCTGCGATGAGCTTTGAAAAGGTATTGCTCAAGAGCGCCACCAAGATTGTGAGGAAGAGAATATTGCCAAGAAACGCAAATGCAATCATAAGAGCTGGCCCTAGGATGGGGTGGAACTCATCTGAGCGGTCAATTCCGGTGCCATCCAAGCCGAACCACGTCCAGATGAGCCACTTGCAGGTGTCGTACCAATTCAAAGCAGGCTTGTTACCGCTTGCGCTGATGGCCGTTTCGTTGCTTCCTATCAGCCATTGCAAGGATAGGAAGAAGCCCATGAAGCACCATATGGAGATAAAGGTCAGACGGGTGAAGTCCTTCATCATGGCATGTATGGCGATGAAGACGATATTGTCTGGCATGATAGTAAAGGCCACGCGGGTGAGAAGCACGGGAGCTGCCAGGCATAAAATATGCACCCCGTAGCCGTCCGCGATGACCCCGCTGTATGCCAAGACGTCGTATACCCGAGCAAAGACATAGCAGCTGAAAATGAAGCTGAACGTGATGTCGAGAAATGACCATAGAGTCTGAGAGTGAACTGCCCAACCGTGCTCGATGATCGCCGCAAACTCGTTGAGAGTCCATCCGGCCGTGTATACGGCAAACAGACATTCCCATCCACTCACCGTGGCGCTACTCCGGTACACCATTGTCAGGAGATATAGAATGACAAGAGTGATGAACTGGAACAACTCAGTCACCTGCCGGATCCACGGCACAATGAGCCGTCGATCATCGAGTAACGGGGCCCTGTGTGGCTCGTATAGCGAGACCGAGGCATACTCGTAATGGTCCGGAAGGATATCGACGAACGACAGCGGGGTATAAGTGACAACCCCCTGCCAAACCGCGTCAACGAGTCTCTGGCAGGCTGAAGAGCTCAAGAAGAGCTTGCTCTCAGAGATGATGGCCAGCTCCAACGTCGTGAGTTTTCTTTCATGGCCGTCGCGGCGCTGAATAGGCCACTGGGCTTGCCGGCATTCGCTTTCCACTTCCTCGGGGGCGCCTTGGAATGGGTCGAATCCCTCGACAAGAATGTGCGCCAGGATTAGAAGACCTATTTGACCCGGGTGGTCCTCATGGTATCGGCGCAGCACTCGGCTTGCGACGAGTTCGCAAAGGGTTGCGCGGGCGACATTCACAGTATGATGGGCTGTACTGGTGTGTTGTCTGAGAAACTGAATCCGATTGGCGAGCAGGCAGTATACTTTTTGGGGTCAGCTTAATCGTCTTCAGTCAGTTAGGGTTTTGCGGATAGTCCTACCGACAGTTGGATCGTCAGGGTCGTATAGGCGATCTACAAGAGGTCGAACGACTAATGAGTTCATCCTAGGCTCGCGGAGCTGATCCAGGGTGTAGGGGTCATCTGGGATTACAGTAAGTAAATGTCGGCATTTGCAACAATGGCGACTCGTACCTATGCTTGCTAATACAAGTCGCCTGATTCTATCAAGGGGCTCTCCATTAGCTACGGGTGTTCCGATATGAGGGCAGCAAGAAGTGGTAAACTTACCGATGTATCGTAAAATACACGGATGGCGGCACCTCGGTGCTCACGCTCACGCTGGCGGTGGCGCTGACAGAGACATGTTGCTCTGCCTCCAAATCGGGCACATCGTTGGCGTTCACGACACGCGTTACCGAATCTCCATCACCCCATGGTGACAGCGGTCGAGCCCAGTCAATCAAATCCGGGGTCCGGGGGCCCTCTCCTTCTTCCATCTGACGTTGGGGAGTTCTGATGATCGAGAAAACGTCTTGCTTTCCGTGGTTCGCTGTCTGCAGTCCGTTACACTAACGCCGTCCGGGACACCCTCTTCGTTATGTTTCCTGTCGCTGCCCAGCCACCCACAAATCCAAGCCTATGCAACTCCCCGCGTTGGTCTCAAGCTGCAATGTCAAAGGTCGGTAGTCTGCATGTTGTCAACTTTTTCCAAATGACAAAGAGATGTAAGTATGTCACATGCATCTATGCGCTCGGGCTGCCTCCCCAGTGAGGGGTTTATCTACACCAGGTCCCCTGACTCGATCTGTCCTAACACTAACGCGATCCGATCGGCGGCTTGCACTGCCACGCTCGTGCCGCCTGACGTAAATGGGATAGCACCGCGGCATTTCTGGTTGACCGACAACTTTAAATTTATTCACCGAGGTGAGGCGCTTTTAAGCTCAGATGACCCGGATAAGATGAAAATCAGATGTCTCACTCACGGCATTTCGACAACCTTTCCAGCAAGCCATGTACGGATGACATAGATGGTTGATCAACACTTCACTTGCTTCTTGAGCTATAGACCACCGGCACAACATCATAATGCCCAGAATGAGTTTCTGGCCCGCATGCAACTCAAAACGCAAGTTGACATCGCCAAAAACGTAATCAACTATGCCTCGGGGGTTGAGATCAAAAGTATTTGAAAGGGACGAGACTCGAACTCGCGCGGGTTGCCCCACCAGGAAACAGATGTTAAGCTGACCTTAACCTGGCGCCATAACCAACTCGGCCACCCTTCCGTGATCGCCTGGTTATTGAACCGGTGATTTTTGAGATCCCGTGGGGATTCAGCAAATATGGAGCGTGGCCTGGTAGGGTAAACCCTTAAATGCTGCTGATTTGACGATGAAAGTGAAAGCGGAGGTGATGTACCGAAACCCTGTTCCCAGTCCGCGATATAGTGGATACTGGGCAGAAGTCGGTTTCGCAAGGTGCTCACAATCAACCTCCATAATACATGTACTTACGAATCTGTCTGCGTGGGACAGCTCCGACGAAGGCTTCAGTGGGAGTTTCGAACTGCCAAGAAGTTGACAAGCTAATGTGGGAATAAGAAGAGTGGAACGTAGAAGTTGATGGCTGCAACGCGTCAACGTTGAAGGCTACAGTATTTCTTATCTCGTCATGTGTGGTCGTGAGGCTGGGTTATGCCCACGGCTTTTTCAAGCTGTGGCCATCATGTTAGCCTGTGCCTAGATAGAATAGTCGACTCGCCCTTCCTGAAGATACGGAGACAGCGTTTATCGTGCCATTCGAGCTGGACTCTCTCTATTGTTGGAGAATGAAGCTGTCTGGCGAGTTTTGACTGGAAGAAGTTTCTTTGAACCATCAAACAACATCTCACGTTACTCTTTGCAGCCAGATTGAAATAACAAAGCCTTCGTGTTCATGTTTTGGACCTGATAGAAATGTGAGCTATACAAGGCGGGAGAGCGGCGACACTCGATTGCATACACTCTATGTACTAAAAGTTCAGTCTTCACCCGTTGAACGGAATGTTTATTAAAAGAACAGAAGACAGATTTCATCAGTCTACGTTTAGTTAAAGGGTTTAACCCCCCCTCCCCGGGCAGAATAGTCGGATCGAACTTCACCCTCAGGTCAGGTTATTTTCAGATGGCATTTGATCTTAAAGATGAAAATGCGCCATCTTTTGATCCTTCAACATTTTCTACTCTAATATTGCGGCTCACCGTGGAGCAAACTGTCGCGATTGACATCCCAACGGATTTCGATGACTAATTAATACTGGAAGACGCGATAAGCGGTCGATCAGCAATCATGGTATAAGATAGTCGATGTAGTAATGATCCCTCGGGTTGCAGTAGGGCCTACTGACCAATGATGCTGATGTTGACTAGCCTACAGGAATTACGGGTATGATAAGGAGTATGATGTTCAAGATAAGAAATGACCTCCATGCAACTTTCGCCGATGGTTACTCCAATCAAAAGGGTGCCCCCAGTAAGCTGCTGCATGATGCATAATCACCCCCATTTTCGGTGCAAGAGTGGGTGAAGATGGTTGGCGTATCTTATATCAAGGCCTTCGCAACGTATCCTCAACGCTGTTGTTTGCTCATTGTGAAGAACATAACTGGAGGACTCGGCAGGAGCAACATCATACTTCAGGACTATATTTATGATCAGAAGTATTCAGTTGTCAAGGCTCGTCTTCAATGACAAATACAATGGCCACTGAAGACAAGACAGGATCCAAGTCAGACGAGGACCTTAAACACGGATCATCTGATGATGTCGAGGCCTCTTCATTGCAAGTTCCCGAGAATGGCGCCAGTATTGTCGTTGATCCGGAGGGAGAACGATCATATGGTAAGCTCCAGCCAAATATCTCCACCTTCCGAGTTGTGGCTCACCTACTTATCACAGTGAGGAAGCTCGACTTCTACTTGTTGCCGTATCTATCTCTGATGTACTTCTTCAATGCCGTCGACCGCTCCAACTTGGGTAACGCTAAGACCGACGGATTCGAGCAAGACCTGAACTTCAAAGGAAACGAGTACAGCTTGCTCATTCTGCTCTTTTACATCCCCTTTGGAACCCTGGACCTACCTCTCAACCTCCTCACAAAGAAGTTCTCAGCAAGGTGGGTCTTGCCTTCGTTGATGGTAATTTGGGGCGGCATCGCAACCGTCCAGATCGCGAGCAAGAACTTTGCCGGCATCCTTGTACTCCGTCTGCTTCTTGGCGCATGCGAAGCCGGGTTCTTCGCCGGCGTCGTCTTCTACTTCACCTTATTCTACAAACGGTCCGAGCTCGGCTTCCGCGTCGCCATTTTCTTCGGCAGTGCCCTCCTAGCCGCGGCTTTCAGCGGCCTCATCTCCTACGGTGTCTTTCAGATCGAGGGGACCCGGCTCCAGGGCTGGCAATGGCTCATGCTGATCGAGGGTGTCCTGACCGTTCTCGTCGGGGTTGCAGCCTTTTGGTGGCTGCCCGCCTCTCCGGCGACCGCCTGGTTTCTCAACGACAGAGAGAAGGCTGCGGCTTTAGCCAGGACCCTTCGCGATGGCTCCAACAAGGTGGACTCAAAGTTTGACTGGAAAGAGTGCTTCACTCTGTGGAAGGATTGGAAGTTCGTCATGTGGCTGCTCATCGCCTTCAACTACCCCGTCGCCTTCGCCACCACGTCCAATTTCTTGCCGCAAATTGTACAGCGCCTCGGATACAGCGTCATCAAGACGAATCTCTGGACCGTGGCTCCCAACGCCGTTGGTTTCTTGATTCTCCTTGCGACAGCCAAGTCGTCCGACTACTTCCACGAGCGGACTTTCCACATCGTCAGTGCTTTGACGACCTCGCTCGTCGGTATGATTATCCTCATCGCGATCGATGTCCTGGAGAATCGGGGCTTAGCGTACTTTGCCTGCTTTCTCATGGCCGCGGGCGCGTACACACCTTCATGTCTAGTCCAGTCATGGCATAATAACAATAACTTGAACGAAAACAGCCGCGCTGCCACCACTGGTTTGCTAGTTGGCCTTGGCAACTTTGCTGGAATCTTGTCAGCGGCAACATTCAGGACCGAATATGCGCCCAAGTACATCCCCACGCTCATTGTCACTTGCTGCTGCAATGTTCTCGCAATTACATCGGCGTTGATTCTGGGCGGCTGGATGAAGATGGAGAATCGGCGAAGGAACAAGGCCCAGGGAGTCAATCTTCAAGCCCAGGATGTGGACACGTCAGAGCTGCACGACGGCGAAAGGTCACCCAAGTTTCGGTTCTTCACGTAGACTTGCTGCGCGTACATCTCCAACAGCAGTGTAATTGTCAATTTCAACGCGTCAGTTACCCCAGAACTCTCCTCTTGTGTATTATGCATCACCGTTCCCGAACACATCTCACACCTTATGTCAGGGCGCGTTGGTACCCAAATTAGGAACTTAGCAGAGAGTCATTTGACGAAGGCATCTCGAGGTAGGTACAGATAGTTGGCAGCATTCGAATCTGGCTTTGTCAGGCACCTGACACCTTACTCTTCATGTGAGTTGAGCCCTGTCTATGTGCACAAAAATTCAAAAGTTGAGCTCTCTTCAGGCTAAGAAAACTACTACTTTTCGTTCTTTTACCGCACTTCTTTTCGGACATGAACTTGAATCACCGGCCTCGGAAGTCTGGTCCAGGAGTCGATTTAAATCTTAGAAGGTTATGTCTTGAGACATCCATTTACAGCATCTGCGCCTACAAAACATTACGTCAGGTAAATTTCATGCTTCCTGAGGTGGCCTGGCTTCAAAAGTTTGTGCGATGATACCAGCTTGACTTCACTGGCGTGTGATCAAAATTCCGTTGCGCGTTGCTTTGAATAGACCTAACGCATCTCGACACTGGGCCCAAGCGGATTTCGGGTCATGGTGATCACCCAGCCTGAACGAAAACAGGCTTCTCTGCGGATGACAAGTTTCAAAACCATATTTGATCGTGATGCGGGTGAACATACCTCACGCAGAAGTCTTAATGTGCCCGGTTGATTAATCCGACTTCCTTGATGAATCTCACGGATGCTGTTAGAGCTGACGGTGATGTCCACCTGCCTAAGTGGGCAAACACATTTGAAGTCAAGACGAAACACCGCATCGCTCCTCTTGATACTCCTCCAATAGATTCTGACCTGTTCACGATGAAACTAGCAGAATACAACGGCCCAAATTGAGCATAAGCATATTTGAGGAGGTGCCAGCATCGATGACTTCGACTCGGCGTTGATTCAGGTTCTTGTCGAAGAAGCCGCGGCAGTAAGCCTACTTACCGAGTGAAGGACTATCGAGAATTGAGGTAGTTGTACTTGCATCAACAGTGCCTTCATCTTGCATAAGTATGTAGACGGGCAGAGGCGGGTCTTTCGTTCAAGTGCTAAACGAAAACTCCCAAGCCTTCAAGAGGGCAGTGTTCAGAATCGGCGCTCGCCCCAGTTGCCGAAAACAAGACCATGGTGGTTGACCTGGCAAACGCTGCATCCAAGGATAGACCATGTGATCGGCCAGTATGATTGAATGCTTAGCGACGTGTCTTAAAACTCATGAGTCTCTTTTCTCAATCAACCCAGCCACGATGATGAATCGCTTTTCCCGACACGCTTTAACAATAAAATGTATCTGAGGAATTCAAATGGCTGAAAGCGTTCAAGGGAGTATAGCAGCACTCAAAATATATCAGGCAGATAGGAAGGAGAAGTACTTGTAGTCAAAGCTTGCATTGTTCTCAAAGCCCCCGCCCTAGTATCTAAAGCCTCAGAGACCGGTTCACTAGGGCCAAGGCATGGTTGTAGCGCTTTCAGCTTGATAACAAAGGCATAAACAAACATTTCGGTCTCAAGACAGCAGGCATTAGAACCTGGAAGACGTGCGGTGGAACATGAGAAGGGGGGAAAAAACCATAAAGATGAAAGAAATCTTGAAATGTTAGCACTATATTATAGCAAACCGCTCAACAAATGACCATTGTATCGTTCCATTTGGATTCTCTCTTTGTTTCCCTCCCTATCTATCTTCATATCAACCAGATCATTGTCATCGGATATTAACTCGTCGTCTGAGAATCCAATTGAATGATATCCTGATGCCTTTCATCAAAAAGTGTCATTTGACTGAAGAGTTGATTTGTCACATCACTCTGTGGGAGTCCTTGCCCTTCATGGGATTGCTCTGAGACCAATAGATCTGGCCCAGTTTCATCCTCTCGTATCAGACTATCTAAAAACACTTTCGGATGATATTCTCTGGTGTATTTCCTAACATCAAGAGGCTCGGCTGGCCAGATAGGATTGCCACATGTGTCAGCTTTGTCAATGGATTTCGGCTCCCAGCGACCTAAAGTTGATGACTTGGGATTGAAGTCATGTGGCCCATTGGTATAACCATGCGCTGTGATGAATAATCTCTCAGTCTTCTTCCACGACGTTGTCACGTGCCATCCGTCGCTCTTGGAACCGAAACAAGGCTTACCATGTCGTAAAGAAGTGGTTTTGGTTGTATTGTGTAACAGAGACCTAGAACAAATACACCAGTTGTCAGCAAGAGACAATATCTAAGTCATGATTGATAAACATGAATGATGATTATGGTTGGGTACACACCTGATGAGGAGACTTGTGACTGGACGCTGGTTCAAAGTTGCTGTTTTCCAGTGTGCCTTCAACAAATCTTGTGCGTTTTGTCTGGCTTTAGGGCCCGGCTTTCCAATTTTCCAGATGACTTCAACCCATTCTATAGGTGCGTTATCGTTAGCCATTCTTTCAATTCCTTGGGAAAAATGATGATTCTTTGTGAGTAGTCTGTAGTATCAGCAGGCTGGAACATAAGATTTGCAACTTAAAGCATCTGTCGAGACTGGTGTCAATATTGGATGTTCTTGGTGTGCTAAAACGACACAGCTAAATACGCGCATCAAGCTAGTCTTATATCCAAAATATCTCTTGATACAGTGATCGAACGTACTTTGTAGTCAAAGTTCCGTTTGAATGGAGGTTTGTTTGAAAACAAGAACTATACTGATCGGAACCTCATCGAATTTCAAACATATAAGCAATAAGCAATAAAGGTAATTGTATTTTGCTGAGAATGGTCTTGAAATCTTTGTTGAGGACTAGATGCTACCATTTTGAGATTTGTTGCAGATGAGTTACCTGTGACAATAGTGAACCTTGATTAGATGCCTTTAGTTGCATTCCGAAGTTGGAACCCGGAGCTTTGAAGAACTTTTGAGAAACCATGACCTTTGTTACTTCTACTTCAGACGTGTATTGGCAGTAAGTCTCAAATGCTTACGCAGAACGGCCTACTCCGTAGTGTGTACATTAATTTGTACAGTCCATAATCCTTGCATCAATCTCTTTCATCCGAGATGTGGTTCTATTGAATATGCATGCTTCTCATATGATTGCGTTCAAGGACAAACTTGATTGTGCTAAATATACATATGGCATGCGGGGCTCAGCAACAAAGATCACCCCAGTGGCACACACTGAACTCTTTGTATTCACTTTATCCCCTCCCGTGAGACAAAGAGACGCTGTCGACCGTTGCTTCCCTTAGGCCACCAGCTGTTTTATCTCCAGTTGCTGTCATAAACCCCAATATACCCTCTGCTGCTCTTTGCTCACAAGCTCTTACCTCCCGACCTTACAAGCCCAAGCAATCAGGCCCAAGTCACTGAGGAGAATCGCAACTATCCACGCCAGCCTCGTACAATATGAGCGATCCGTGGGTTTCCCCACGCTACAATCGGGAGTCTACTGCAACAGTAGTCAAGTTCCTCGAGACCACCTTGGCCAAGCGACGATCATTGACCGATAAAGAACGATATGAGCTCGGAGACAGGTACTGGGATAATGAGGAGCCTGAAGAGCCGTATATGGCCTACGAAGAAGGCATGCTTCATCCTGTCAAACTTGGAGATCAACTTTTGGACGGCAAGTATACCGTCATTCACAAGCTTGGGAGCGGCTCCTTCTCGACAGTGTGGTTAGCACATAATGCCGAAACAGACGATAAGGTAGCGGTAAAAATCTGTGTCGCAAAGGATGAAGAATTTCCGGCTGGCGATGAAGCCGGCATCTCCAAGCTGCTTAGTCAAAACGACTATGCCCATCCCGGTGGAATCGCGATAGACTGCTACGAAAGGGTCTTTCCCCACAAAGGGCCCAACGGCATTCACGAATGTTTTGTGAGCAGTCCAATGGGAGTGACGCTTTCAGAGAGCAAATTCAGAAGCAACGGTGGATGGCTCTTCCCTACCGAGGTTGCTCGAGCATTGGCAGCACAGCTTGTGCTTGGGGTAGGCTATATCCACTCCAAGCGTATTGTGCATGGAGGTGAGTCTTTGATTCCAAGCAAGGAAGTTGAGCAAAGCTAACCTTAGTGACTTTAGACTTCCACATGGGGAATGTGATGCTAGCAATACCGGATGGCGAGCTTGCCTCCCTCACTGTCGAAGAAATCTATAAAAAGTACGGAAGCCCGACAATCTTACCGATGGACCTTTGTGTAGAGCATACCGACTTTCATGAGGAGCATCCTTTGCCACCCAACGCACCCCCGTACATGCTCTGGAAGATGCACATCAGGGGAGGAGAATGCGAAACTCTACGGCTGTCGGACGCGGTAGTGAAGATCAAAGACTTTGGAGAATCATGGCAACCTGAATTCGAAACGCGGCACGAGCTCAACATCCCGGAAAAGTATCGAGCCCCTGAGGCGATGGTTGCTGAGAAGCTGAAGCTGCCTATCAGTTACCCTGCTGATGTTTGGGCGTTGGGATGCATGATCTTCGAGGTTTACGCCGCGAACGATGTCTTTGAGACTTATTTTCCCGACTACAATGGTGTTTGGGCCGATATGGTCATGATGATGGGTAAACCGCAGGCGACGTGGTGGGACGCCTGGGAAGATCGCAAAAAGTACATGGACGATCAAGGCAGACTTCTCCGGGACGGCCAGCGACGCTCGGAGAACGAAAGCGACGAAGAAGCATCACAGGACGAACTGCACACAATTGAACAACGGGTGTTGGAAACGATTCCCGAACATAGGCGCACGAAGCAAGAAGAGCCCAATCCGGAAAACTTCGTCCCGCAGGAGGAGCTCCATGATCTGGCAGCCATGTTGAAGCGGATTTTCCACTGGTTGCCCGAAGATAGAGCGACGGCGGAGGAGCTGATGAACGATCCATGGATGAAGAAATGGGGTCTGCCAGCGAAAGAAGCTATGGATCAAGCTTACCAGAAGAGGCGCATGGAATGTGAGAAGCCCAGATACGTTGCGCAACCGAAAGCCGACAATTCAGCGGTTCCCGAAGTGACTGCCGCCCCCAAGGAGACTGTCGGTTTCTTTGAAAGCCTTGCCCGTAGCTTTCCCTATGCCTGGTGGCAGAGTCTGTGGAAGGCTTTTGACATATGAGATTCCGTTCTATGTTGTGGATTGGTTCTAGGAGAAGAAGACAGGGTTTCGGGTAAATAGAAGGGAATGATGGGTTGGTTTCAGTCATTGACCACTCAACAGGGCTCATTACGAATTCCAGAACAGATATGCCAACATGATAATACTTACTGCGTACAGCAGTCAAAGTTCAGACTTTTGGAATTTCAAACTTTAGTTCGGCGATGAAGTGAGAAAAAGCGTTCCACTATGTCATCTTGTCACGTAATAAAATCCTGGAGCTCGAGAAAAGGTTTGCAAGGATATTTAGAGATTGCTTTAAATCTGACTTTTACATTTCATTCTTCGTCCGGTTTGTCTTGCGCTGTTTTCCTCGCGACATATCTTCGATACAAGTCCATCGGATTTGACCTTTTTGGGGTTCAAGAAGATCAACCTATTTAGACTTCCTTCGAACAAATACTTCTGGGGCAAGGCGTTACTAGCTCGAAGGCATGGGGAGACGGCATAACCATCTCAGTGGGCAAGTATGCTTTGGGGAATTGGGGCGGGTAATGTTCCATGCCATATGGACTCCTTCTGCATTCAAGCGCGAGCATGGAAGTGAATCGTTGCTGAGAGGATGACAATCACCGAGAAAGACAGGAAAGAAACAATCACTGACTTACGAAGTTCTACACATCCAAGTGATGAGGAACATGAGAAGGCGTTCCGCTGTCCCACGCACGCCAGGCCCTCGTCCAATGTCTCCATCCAGTGAACTAGATTGACGGGCCTGCGCTAGACATGGTGAGTGTACCCTTCCCTTGAGCCTAGAGCGGAATTTTACCGACATGATAGCTCTCTTCAGACGCAACAAGGTCCGCGTTGTAGGAGCCAAGACAAAGCAATCCTCTCACCTCCACGAACTTTTCTCGAAGGCAAACTGGGCTCCAGGAACTGACAACATACCCCCAAAACAGTGCCCCCACACACCAGCGAAGCTACGGAGAGGCTACATTCCTGGCGCGTGGCTTGGAGTTTGCGGGGTAATTGAGTAGCCAAGTGTAGAAGCGCGCCTGGTCAGGATCTTCTGTCACACGCAGGTGGGAAGGGCTCCGGGCATCTGGCGGCGTCGCCTTCGTTCCTAAGTCCGCTTATCTTTGTCTGTCTCATACCTTGCCTCCACCAGCAGCATCCATCGGACCGACAGCATTCTGGCCACTCTTCCAGTCACACTCTGAAATTGAGCCCAACAAGTAAGAAATTCATATTACAGAGCCGACCAGGGAAAGAGAAATGTATGTACACTGCAGAGAAGTATTACTCACAGTTCCTGCATCGGCGAATGGAGTGGATCAGAGCCAAGTCCGAGTCGGGGCCGGGGTGGAGCTGTGAAGCTGCGATTGAGTGCTTTACTCATGGGGCAAACTTTTAAGATTTGATGACCCCAGTGGGAGCTCAAATCCAGTCTCGGGTAACTCCCGCCAAAAGCTTACCGGAGAATAAGAGCTTGCTTACGGAGTACTTTTCTGGGCATATGAGAGGTCCGCTTCGGATACGAGACACCATCCATTGTCGACGGCCCGTCAGACGGTATTATTCAGCTTCCCACATGATCCCGTTCCGCGTGGCTCTAACCCTCAGAAGGCGGCACAGGCCTGCCTACTATTGGAAAGCCGCTTCCTTGCTGCGCACCAAGAGGAAACGCGGGGTTCGGGTGGGAGGTTGGGGCCACAAGCAAGGAAGCCAAGCACCCCCGGCAAGCAGCAAGGGATGATCAATGCCCATTGCAAAACCCCATCCCTGCTCGATGCTACCGCTGCCGGTCTACTCCAACCCGGGCCTAGACCCGCGTTGGTGCCGTCCTTTTTGAGGACAGTTTGTGGAGTCGGGAGGATCACCGACCCTGTCTTGGCTGTGAGTCGTCGCGCCGAGGTCGGGCGCAAGAGGAAAAAAAGTAAGTGACTGAGTGACCTTGCTAGACAGGACCGTCGTTGAGAAAAAAGAATGTGTGACGAAATATAAGCTGACGGCCACCCTGATAAATCGTCGAGTTGGTCTGATCCATCGCTGTTGCACCTCCATCGTTACTGTCTCTCCTGTTCCCTCGCCGGGTTTGTGTCCGCGAGGTCTTCTCTGCTGGTCGTAGAGTTCTACTTTCATCAATCTTTCCGACAACATTGAGCCTTTGAGCTCAATCGAACCCCAAGATGCAGTATGAAAAGGAGAACAAGACCGCAGAGTCACCAACGCGCTCACTCGAGCATGCGACTGACCTGGACCGACCAGTCTACGGCGATGATGTCCCCATCGAGTGTCCTCCTCACACAACAGAGTCGAAGCTGATCACCAAGATCGACCTCCGCGTCATCCCATTCCTGTGTGTCATGTACCTTCTGGCCTTCCTCGGTAAGCTATCCCCCGCTCTCGGGCTATTCCGAGTCATCGATGCCATCGCGCGCGAGAGTGTTGTAATTATATTCATACTGACCAGAGACGCACGTCTCCAGATCGCGTAAACATCGCCAATGCCAATGTGTTCGGACTATCAAAAGAGCTCGAGCTGGACGGCACATTGTACAACAACGCGCTCGTAGTCTTCTTCGTGCCCTACATCCTCCTCGAAATTCCCTCCAATATCCTCCTCAAGAAGTTCAAGCCTCATGTCTGGCTCAGCATCAACATGTTCGGCTTCGGCCTCGTCACCATGCTCCAGGGCTTCGTACAGAACTACGCCGGTCTCTGCACGACGCGATTCTTCCTTGGCGTCTTTGAGACGGGCATGTTTCCGGGAGGTATGTGGCCGCTCACCGCTCTCAACCACACCCCTTGCGCGCACAAAGCTAATCAAGCATCTTTTCTTACAGCATTCTACCTCATCGGCATGTGGTACCGTCGCCACGAAGCCCAGCGCCGCTACTCCTTCTTCTTCAATAGCACCACCCTCGCCGGCGCATTCGGCGGTCTCCTGGCGGCCGCGATCGGGAAAATGAGCGGCGTCCGCGGCTACTCCGGCTGGCGCTGGATCTTCATTCTCGAGGGTCTCCTGACCGTCATCGTCAGCGTCTTCTTCTTCTTCTGGCTTCCCGACTTCCCCGAGGACGTGAAATGGCTCAGCAAAGACGAGAAGGCCTTTGTCTCGGCCCGCTTGCGCGCGGACCAGGGCCGCTCTGCCGCCGAGCGCAAGATCACATTCCGCGACGTCGGAGGCATCTTCAAGGACTACAAGGTCATTGTCGGCGGCTTCATGTACTTTGGTCTCATTGTCCCAGCGTATGGGTATGCCTACTTCGCACCCGGCATCATCCAGACCTTGGGATACGACAGCATCCAGACGCAGCTGCACAGTGTGCCGCCTTGGGTTGTGGCTTTCGGTTTCTCGATGATTGTCGCCTTCATCTCAGATAAGACGCGTCACAGGTTCGTGTTCGCAATCGTTGCCATTTGTGTGGCCATTGCTGGGTTTGCAATCTTGATTTCCGTCCACAACAACACGTCTGTCCAGTACGCGGCGCTGTTCCTTGTGGCGATGGGCGCTTATACAGCGATGCCGATGTAAGTTTGACCAACTTCCCGTGCCTTTTACTACTCTGTGGCTACAATGAGAATCCTGTGCTGACTTGAGCCTTCTAGTATTGTTTGCTGGTTCAACATGAACCTTGGTGGCCATCACCGACGTTCGATTGGAAGTGCATGGCAGGTTGGCTTCGGCAACATTGGCGGTATCATCGCTGTGTTTGCGTTTTTGAAGAAGGATGCGCCAAAGTACATCCCTGGCTACAGCATCAGCATCGCTTTCGTTATCCTGAGCGGTCTTGCATGTTTAGTCTACGCCATTGGCTGCTGGTCTGCAAACAGGCATAGAGATCGCACTGCGACCGAGTCTACGTTGACGGAAGACGAGAAGATGGAGCTGGGAGATATGTCTCCTGATTACAGATATCTTTTGTAATTTGCTATTTCAAGACAAAGTTGAGGTAGGCTGGACGGCTGGGTTGATGTGCATAATGAGAATAATTCCTTTGCATAAATTGTGCTGCCACGTTGGCTCGCTGCATCACCATTCAATGATTACGCTACATGTGTCTCGTTCAACTCCCGCATCAGTAACTGTGTATCCAATAGTTGAATCATCCTGGCTACGAAAATGAGGCTCTCGCTCTGAGAATCACTTTCTGACTCTACGAACTTCGTGGGGTACCTTCCAAGTCATCCTCGAACCACGTTTTGCAGTTAAGCTGAGCTGTTGGCCACTCCAATACTTTAATCTACATTGCATAAGCATTCCCCTGGGCATTGTGCATATATATACTGGGATTACCATCAACTTCCTACCGCTTCCAAACATCATCACCGCACAGCTGGTGATATCGAGCACATACGAAGCAGGGAACAGTCGCAGTCACCAACTGGTCACCAACTGGTCACCAACATATGGGGCATTGTTGGCCGTGATCCGCCGAGGGTCACACATCCCATTGGGCCATCAGGCGCTCTCCAAGGGGTCGTTATGCCGGGATGGGGGCATTTAATTCAGGGGGGGTTGCATGCGGCGTAACACCGTTGGTCCAACAAACATGCAGAGTTCCCGTTGGTTTTCGCTTGCGCGCCGCGTCCGCCCGCTTTTTCGCGCCCGTCGCCTCAGATGGTTCTTCGATCAGTAATTTCATGCAAAAGTGTGCTGCCTTCTCTTGGGGAGGTTTGGATGTCTGCATTCAACTTCCAGTTCCAAGCATTTGAATACCTTACACAGAGCTGCGTCGTATGAGTCGGCAACTCAACCCGACCTAGCACGATGCTCCCGGAATCTCTCGTCAGCGTGTACCAATCGTACAAGACGGACACGGATTTCATCACGACGTGGCTCGCGACCACCGCACGAGCTTACGGCTGTCCGTCTGAGCTCATCTCCGGGCTTCGAGACACGAGAGATGATCATTCTGATTCGGTTCCGGTAGACGAGAAGCCAGCCGGTCAACGCAAGGGCAAATCAACCAAACAAGCATCAAAGTATTCGCAGAAAAGACCTCGCAAACGACACATCCTCGCGGTCAAGGATCTCCTACCGCTGGCTCAATTTCTCGTAACATCGCAAAAGCCAACCATCGTTCCTCCGGACAGTCTTACCGCTGCTCTCGATAGAGTGATTGATCTCAGAGCCAAGTTCAGCACTCAGCTGGTCGAGCATGGTGCCACGACCAACGATCAGGATGACAATACCCATTTCTACTTCCTGAGAGTCTTGTGCCAAGTACGTCATGTCTTGACAGCACATCGAAAAGCCACTTCAACCGACTCAGAACCCTCAGCTGGCGAAGCTGCCGAGAAACCGCAGCTGTCATCCAACAAATTCGAAGGACTGACGGTGTCGGAGCCGTCTGCAGACTTCATCAACGCCCCGGATGTACCACCACCCACGAAACCGAAAAAGTCAGAAGCCGATGCCAACTTCGAAGCAGAGAGCGAGATGTCGAGCTGGGATGCCCAATTTGTTTGGCAGCTGGTCTGGAAAGATCTCTTTGCAGTTCGTCAGAATGTCAGATACATGTGGCAACAATTACGCCAGGGGCAGCACGAGCTCGTCTCCGTTGCCTTGGCCACCAACACGGCCATCGATCTCGCCCGCAACATTGTCGAAGATGTCACGCCAGTCCTCCAGTCTCAACCAGGAGGCTTATTCGGAGTCATCTGCCTCTATAATGCGACGTTTACAACCACTACAATTCGAGCATACTCGGAAGGTTTGCTCAAGTTTCCGGAAAAGCCAACGAAAGAGGATATTGCGTATATTGCGGGCGCTCTAGACTGTACCAACGCCTACAGCATGCTGGCTCAGATTATTCCGAATGATGAAGGTGCCATCAAGCCACCACTTATCACAAAAGGCAGCCCAAATATCCAGATGGCGAGGACGCATGGAGACTATCTCCTTGACCGGCGCACCATAGCACGTGTTCTGAACGACATGAACTTCATCTTACGCTACATCCCCGATTGGCCAGTTGACGATGGCGTTCTGCGAGGATTCCGAGAAACGACGCGGACGAGAGAGATTCCCTTTTACTTTGCGTATGCCGTACAACTTCTCATTGACATTCATGGTGTAATGGGACAGAAACTTCCCTCCATACGGGTGCAGTTCATACGAGGGTTATCGACCTTGCAAGAGCTCATGACACAGTCTTGGCACATTCACCAAAGCACGAGAATGGACCCAAAGGCGCTGAGATACTATCCGCTTCTCCAGAGGACGGTGTTGAGCATGTCGAAAATGACGCGTGATCCCATTCTCGTCGAAAAACAGCGGCTCAAAAAGCCCATCACAGACCCCCACACGGAGCGCCTGCAACTGATGAAGATGGATCCAGTCATGGCTGGCCTGGTCATGTACACCTTCCGAGCTGCAACGTATCGAGTCGGAATCTGCCTCGCGAATGACACACTATCCGTCATGTCCATCATGCACCTCTACAATGCTCTTCTTCAAGAAGACATGCTCACATCCAAATGGAAAGACATGGAGCTTATTATGGAACTGGTCGGCAAGTCTCAATTCTTCGTGGGCAATCCTCCAGATAACCCGACCGGATATATCAAGAGCTTTCTCATGCAAACGGGTCTGAAGAGCGTCTACATGAGCCAGCTCAAAAGGTCAAAGACGCAGACGAAGCTGTACAAGGAGCTCAAAAACAGGCGACGTATTTCAGAAGGAGCGACGGTCTCCATGATGTTCTATGAAAGATACTGCAATGAAAAGGGCGAGACTTCGACGGGAAACTGGACGGCGGAGGACATTGTGCGTATCCTCGACCATTGCCCGGAGGGATTGTGGTTCGATCACCCGACAGAGGAGACCGCGAGCGAGAGCCAGAACCAGGACAAGTGCTCCAGAAAGTCGACGCAGAAACGGAAGAAGTCTACCAAACCCGCCAAACCTCCCAGCCTACCCCCCTACGACCTCATCACGTCCCTAGGAGTCGGGCTTCTGGACGAAGCGGCAGAATTTGCGTTCCCTTGGTTGGCCATGCATCGCAACGCATGGCACTTGATGCGGAAGATTCGTTTGGCCAGCGAGCGCGGCTTCATGATGCTAGTACCGGGGTACAGCATGTCGGAAGCCGGGCTGATGACGCTCACCACGTACATCCTGGACGTCCTGGTTCACGCTAGACCCGCAAACTCTTTGGGGAAGCGAGTCATGGACGAGGTGGCGGCTACTTTCAATCACTACCTCACCCACGTTCCGAGGGAGCACGGCTGGTCCGCTGGTGAGACGGTGTGGAGGGAGATGGAAATCGCGCTTGGGGTTGGACTACAAATGTACGAGGATGTCGTTGGGAAACTCACTATAGATAAGAAGCCTGAAGAAGGGTCACTGCCTGCAACAAGCACCGGTGTGGCGGATGCTGTGCGTTGATGTTCTCTCTGTCTCTTCTCGGATCTTTCAGGGGGGGGCCTGCAAGATGGCTTGCTTCCGTCACACAAATTTCTGGATGAGAGTATTGGATCTTGGGTCTTTTCCTTTCATTTGCTATAATTTCCATGCTGATAATTTCTAGCAACATTGTAGGGGATTTTAGATCAAGTTGAAGGTTTTTGAATTTATCTGGAGAGAAGCTCGAAATTGAGAGGTCAATTGTTTCCTCCTTTCTTCCATATTCTCATTTTTCCTGTAAATACTACCACTATTTTTGATCCACCAAGGCGTATCAAATTCACCAGAAGGCTGTGAGACGTAGATGGTGAGGTTGTGGATTATTATGTGATCCGAACATCGCCATAATTCCATTTGAATGCCGCGTTATGAACCCAATGTTGCCCCGCCCCGCTACGTCATGAATTATCCCGCATCACCTCTTTGCATTTCAGCTGAGCTTCGCGACTCATCCTGCGACTCATCTCACCACTCATTCCACCGCAGTCAAAACAAACATCACTTCGCTATTTAGCTTCACCACATCAACCAGTTGACACCTCACAATGTCTCTCACACCAGACCCCAAAATCCTCCAACGCTGCGTCGAACTAGCAAGAGAAGCCCTTGAAGCGGGCGACGATCCCTTCGGATCTGTGCTGGTAGGCGCAGACGGCAAGATCATCCGCGAAGACCGCAACCGAGTGAATACAGGCGAGAACGGAGACGGGAAACGTGATGGGACGCTACATCCGGAATTCACCCTCGCGCGTTGGGCGCAACTGAACCTCAGCGCCGAGGAGCGGGCCAAGGCATCGGTGTACACTTCCGGCGAACACTGCCCCATGTGCGCTGCCGCCCACGCCTGGGTGGGACTAGGGCCCATTGTCTACGTCTCCTCGGGTGCACAGTTTGCAGGGTGGTTGAAGGAGTTTGGGCTAGGGGCGGGTGGGAAGGTCAAGCCGCTTCCTATCAATGACGTTGCGCCGAATATTCGGGTACAAGGTCCGATTTCTGGACTTGATGAAGAGGTCAAGGCTTTGCACAAGAGGAGATTTGAAAAGTCCTCATGAATACGCAGAATGTTGTTCTAGTTGCACATACCTGAGACGGCGCGTGTCGCAAATCAAATTGAAATGGCATGTTGGAAGAAAAACGAATGGGCATGGTGATAGAAGAACGCCAAGATTCGACGCGACGAAACAGTAAATCGATAGTATAATAATAGTATGATTAAGAATGTCTTCTTATATTTACTTAGTGAAAGCTTCCAAGGCGCGCAATCTTAGACTGACAAAGTCTACAGCAGCCTCTCGGAGACAGTGAAATAGTGTCGACAGCTCTCCTACGAAACTCTCCTGAAGTTGGCTGGCCAGTCACACCTCAAGAAGGGCTATCAGGCGTCTTTCAACCGCAAAACTCGCGTTCTCCTGACTGAAGAGCCCTCATCGCCAAGGTACCGACCGCTCTCGTAACTATGACCGGGTCAGTGGACGAGCCTTGAAGCTCAACAGCAAACGGACCTCCAGTGAAGATTGCCTAGGGCTACATTTCGGCACCCTTGGAGGTACCGAATGACCTCCCTGTCGATATTCTCTCCACAGACTGGCATCTTCGCCAAAGCAAGATACCAATCCCTGTAGCATTCATCAATCATGTCTCCGATTTCGTCGATGGCTTCTTGGGTAGAGTATCCTCGGGATTTCAGCAATGCAATCAAGTTGTGCTCCACGCCTTGTTCCTAGTTAAATAAATGTCAACAATGAGCCAAAATTGGAGCTTACATTGAGAAATTACCAGATCTTTGCGGTAAGATAGGATATCATTGACGCTGTGGGAGTTAGCTGATGACCTGAGTTGAGGAGCGCTATCCCAACTTACAGAATGACGAGATCAGCCGAGATACGCCTACATTCTTTCAAGCTCTCGTCATCTATGTTCTCCTGAGGAACATTGATGCCATGACAAAATCTGTAGTTATGCCGTGAGCCCCAAATTGGCCTACGTCATGAGGACTGTCCTCAAAGGGACTCACTCGACAAGCACATAAGATGGCTGGCAGCCAATCGTTGCTCTCCGGAAATTCATGTAGTCATCGACAGTCAAGTTCAAGGCCGACTTGGAGTGTTGAACTCTAACTTGACTTAGCAGACCAGCAAAATAATAACTGATGGAGGCTTTGTAACGCTCCTGCAACTCTGTAGTTTGTGTTAGGGACCTTTTGAGTTCTTCACCTGGACGTATGAGACAATAGTGCCGTCGGAGAACATCAAATACCTCTTGTAGACCTCTGAGCGATTGTCAGTAGTCTGTCGGTGGGCGGAGCTGTATGCTCTTGTGCGGATTGACGCTGGCTGTAGAAGTACAAAAACATACCTGTTTGAAGCGATCCCAGACGGTTTGAAAGACATGTCGGACGGGGTTTTCATGAAGCTGTACTGGCGCCTCTTTGTCTTCCAGCACCGCGAAAGTGGCATCCAGCTCTTCCTTGGCCTTGATAGGGTCGTCTTTGAGATGGCCTTCGTCGAACTCTACCAATACTGAGCGGCTTTAGGAGGGATCGCATAGCCAGGAGCCACTTACGGTCATCAAAGGCAAAAACCTTGCAGCAGTATTAGTCAAATACTATCCCAATGGATCAGACTCCTGTATGGGTGGAGAATACCCAATTATTCCAGTCGATCATCGTTCGGTATGCCTCCGCATCAGCGTATGGGACCCATATTGCATTCATGAACGCAAAGTTGGCTTCGACATTTCTTCGAGCCTGAGCTTCATTGAGACCGAGAATCCTATATGTATCAGTCATTTCAATCAGCAGTAACGAAGTAAGGAGAAAGTGGTTTACTAACTTTGCAATCCAAGTGTCGGCCTCCTTCTTCACCTTTTCGTAATTAATGTTGATGGCGGGCTCCACAGACATGATCGACGAGAAGAAGTCTGGAATACGGACAGAGTTGACACTTGCTTCCTTAGCCATAGTGCCCATTTGTTTTCGTATATCCGACGTGCTTCCAGCTTCTGAGGACATTGAAGACCTGGGATGAAGCCACCGAATCTGTGAAAGTCGAGAAGTTAGAGGTTGTGGAGCCCGGCGACCTCGTTGACTCTCCATTACCACCAACATCGGTGCGGATGGGGCCCACTTGTCTCTTTTCGGGCATGTTGTTGGTTGCGTCTTTGGGGCTGTTGCTCACGTCGGCATAGAGGCTTCCAAGGAATAAAATTTTGGCAAGGTCATTCTGTGCTGTTGGAGTCGGCTCTGTATTTGAAACTCCCCAACGAGGTTTGTGGGTGTCTTTGACGACTGCCATCTGGAGATGGAGCACAGTGCTCGACAAAGAGGGACGGAACGTGTTGCCTTTCAGTCCCTTCAAAGATACCCACTGGACATGCGGTTTGTTTACCAGTTTAGGCGAAAACTTCAGATGGCTAGCCTCATCTTCCGATCTATCTCATCTTGTAGACTTGGCGTCAGGGATTCTAAATATTTCTTGCAATATAGCTGCCCATCTCGGTGAGAATGTTTACCAGGCTAGTGATTCTTCGATAAATCAATGTCGACCACATAATTGAGTACTTGGTTCTTTGCCGCAAGACTTCAGCTCAGTGAGGATGACTTTTGGTTGAATTCAAGCAAGGATTTGTCATTGTGCCAGCCTCCGTCAGAGTCTCCGTTGATGAGAAATATGGACCTTTGGACTTGGCACGGAGTGGCGAATATGTTCAGGTTCTAGGAGAGCAAACATGTCTCAGCTTCCCCTGATTCAAGGGGCTAAACAAGGATAACCAGATGATGCTTGCCGGTGGGTGGATGTTCGCAAGGAACAGGCTTTGTCACGTCTCGCCATGAGATCGATTGAAGCTCCACAAGAACGAATTTTGCAACCTCGAAGATGGACCTTCTCCAGAACAACTTAACATTGCGACTAGTTCAACACAAGTTTTCGAACTAGTCTCTATAACTAGCGCAAATTATCAATTATCCATGGTGCTTTAAATATCACCAAGGATTGATTGACTTCACACTCGAAAAGCTGTTTTTATTTTTGTAGAATGGCCGACTTTGTTAGCCTCAGACTCGCCTCAGACACGAAATATGACTCATAAAGCTTTTATTGTTAAATTGCATTTTAAGAATTGAATTCAAAGATTGATTGAATTTGACCTGCCACGACCGGCTACAGGTATCCGCGGCGAATAAAATAATAGCTTAACTCCGATAAGAAGATGAGGGCAAGCTGCTTAAATTCAGTTTTGAAATGTCTGCCTCTGCGCACTTCATGTTTTGATTCTAAGGACAGGAGCCATGTCATTTCAAAACTCGTCAATGACGAGGCGAAGGAGATAAAACAGCAAGGTAAATGACCAAGATGGGACCGAAACTGAAATATCCTAGTCCACATCACGCACGGAAAGCCCTCATATCATGGCGCCATAACCCATAGGTTCGCCCAACAGGTCGGTGAGCTAAAAGAGCTAGTATTCTTTCGATTTAAGCCCTTGACCCACTGCCAGCCAGGCATATGGAATTGAACCATCATGTCATTGGTTCAATCAGGACGTGACCAGCTCCTAGATAGACAAGGGTTGTATCAGTATTCTTTCGAAACCAGTTATCAGGACACTCGATCTCCATCGAGGAAAATCAAACGCCACAGGAAAATATTTCCACCAGTGTTTGCTTTGTGGCGTCAGCTGAAGTAGGTAGAGATGGGTGTTCTGCTAGCAGATAAAGGTTAGAGTGATGCTCGGAACAATCCGACTGGGCGCTGGATATTGCTCACAATCGGCCCACACCAGATCAGGTGTTTTGTTTGCTTCTTGGACGTGTGGCACATCCAATCATGCTGATACACGTCGTCATTCCTACGCCGACCTGTGCAAATATTGCAGATTGTAGAGCGGCTGATTCAGCTTACAGCATGGATCCGTCGTGCGGGGATTACAAGCAAACATTCTTAACACGGCTACGCCATGTGACCACTTAAGCTTGACAAAGCTACATGTTGCGCTTAAATGCCGTAGCAAACATTGATGATCGCTCGCAAGTACGCACTTGCAACTTCTTTGGGCTGAACATAGCCGAGTACTACTTTCCACTACATTAATAAGTACTTAATATATTATAACATATATCAAAACTTCATATTAAAAAGTAAATTAAAAATTTTAACGAAATAGCGAATACTAACTTAAATTCCTCTATAATTTTATATTATATATTTAATATAGTAACATATATCAAAGAATAATACTTAATAAGTATTTTAAATAACAATAAAAGAATCGATTTTAATTTAGTATATTCGATTTATAGATCCATAGTGAACGTAATACTATTAGTGTAAAAGGGGTAGCGAAAGGGTGGGGGCGAAAAGTGGGTTCTCTGACTTTGTTAGAAATTGCCGGTTCCCAGTTCTGCAAGATAGCACAGGATACGAGAGGGTAAAATAGGATATTGTCAGACCTCAGAAATAGGCTTCGCAACCTCTTTTGGATCACGATCCAAGGAATTTATCTCCAGAACAACCGTTAGCTTCTTCTTCGACGATGGCATTGCTCCACTTGAGTTGGAGTTTCCCCTCGCCGAGGTTTCTTCTTCTGTCCGTTTTTTTCTATCTCATCGGGATTGCGCTCTACAGGCTCTTCTTCCACCCGCTTCGAAAAATTCCTGGTCCTTGGTATGCTTCAGTGACGTATTGGTACGAATTCTATCAGGATGTAATTCTCGATGGCCACTACATCAGAGAGTACCCTGGCCTTCATGCCAAGTATGGTAAGCACAATATCCGACGCACATATGCTGATTCATGACTGTATTTAGGATAGTGCAAGCAAACTGACGTGCTCATTAGGGTCAGTCGTTCGAGTATCTCCAAGTCGTGTGCATATCAGTGACCCAGATTACTTCAAGGAGTAAGTAGATCTTAGTGTTTAGCTCAGACATTCAAGACCGTCTTGCTGACGCGACCTGAAAGGGTTTATGGAAATGGGACGAAATACACAAAGGATCCCGACTTCTTCCAGAGTGCGGGCGGCATCAAGTACTCCATCATCATGTTGATTGATCCCGAGGTACACAAGCAGCGAAAAAGCACGGTTCAGTCGCTCTTCTCGACCAAACATGTTGAACAACTGGCTCCCGTCGTCCTGGATGTTGTGCAGAGAGCGATCGCAAAAGCGCAGCGCGCGTATGAGAACGACAAACCTTTGGACACGCAAAAATTTTACCAATGCATTACTGTAGGCAAATAATCATTGTCACCACGCTATTACAAAATCGCACTGCCGTTTGACTGCAATTTCAGGAACTAATTGTTTTTGTCAGGTTGACACTATAATGCCCGTTTTGTTCGATAGGCAGTTGAACTTTGTTGATTCCGACGAAGAAGAGCCACCATTCTTAGGCATGCTAGCCAAGTTCGTTCAGAAATTCTTCCTTACCAAGCATTTCCCCATCATCAGCCACGTTGCAATGAGTCTGCCGCTGAGCGTGGCAAAGATAATATTGCCAGATTACGTCCATTTTCGAGAGGTAAGCACATTCATGGTTGTATGATTTTCACGTTCAATATGGGTCGGAGCTAAATTCAGGATAGCAATGCACCAAATGGATCAAAGAAGACGAGGAGAAACAACGAAACGGAAAAATGGCTGCGACTGACGGGCGTAACACTTATTTTCGTCTTCTTCTGGACTCGGAAAACACCAAAGTATCTCATAAGCTTAGCCAAGACGCCCTCGTTGACGAAGCACTGTCTGTGTGTTTTGCCGGCACTGATACGAATAGTCTCGCTCTCAGCTTCGGTACATACTTCCTGCTGAAGAACCCGGATAAACTTCAGAAGATGCTCGAGGAGTTGAAAGATGCCCCTACTAACAATCATGGCCTCTATGAGTACCATACCCTTTGCAAACTGCCATACCTGGTTAGTAAGAGACGAGTCAAGAAGGTGGTTCAACTCGGCATACTGATTCTTTATGTTTCTAGACTGCAGTCATCAAAGAAATCCTTCGTCTCGGATCTCCCGTCCCTGGCATCATTCCCCGCCGAGTCCCTGCTGGTGGCGCTTCCGTCGCAGGACACTATCTTCCAGAAGGCGTAAGTGACGGGTTGATCTTGGTGAACTTCGTGCTATGTCACTGATTGTATGCTTCTCCAAGACTACCGTTTCGCAGGCCGTTCGAACGGTTCATGACAACCCGGAACTGTACTCGGAACCCGAAAAGTTCATCCCGGAGAGATGGCTCGGTAAAGCCGGCTGGGAGTTGGAAAAGTACTTTGTCCCTTTCAGCAAGGGTCCGCGGGGTTGCATAGGCTTGAAGTAAGTTTGCATAAACCCCTCGTGATACATTTGGGAACAGGAGACTAAATCATTCAAGTATTGCCTACCTTGAACTTTACCTTTGCTTTGCAAACATACTCAGCCGCTTCGAGATGACACTTTACGAGACGGACGATAGCACCGTTTTGTGGGTAGACAATGGCGTCATGAGGCTTTTGAATCCAATCAGAGTCAAGGTCAAGTCGATTCGGGAAGTTGGGAAATGATCTATGGTCAACAACACCGAACCCCCAGGCATTTGAATCAAGTTTAGTTTGGTAGTAGACTCTAGACGCATTCCCAGCCATCTGGCTTCGTGGGATCTCCCTGCCCCTTGAACACGTTTCGGGTGGGATATTTACAATGTTTTCTCTGCAAATCGATCTCTCCGGAAGCCGACAAGCGGCTACCAAGAATGAATTCGGGTGCAATGTCCTCCTCAACCCAGCGAACAATCGCAGCCAGTACATTAGCGTCCGGGTCGTACGATGCGAACGTCTGTGGGTTACTGCCAATTAAGCTAGCTCCAGTCCCACCACTACAGTGTGCCAGGCCAGAGATCCGGAAATAGCGATAGAAATCATCCAACTCTGTCGAAGGCAGGTTCATGGTGCGTGACACATAATCATAGTACCTTTCTGAATTGTCGCTGCTAATCGCATTGTCTTGCAAGCCGTGGTAATGCAGGACCTTCACTCCACGTTCTTGTGCCGCGGACAGGTCGCCTTCCCAAGTTGATACCTTCCATGGATCTTGGTGCGAAGCCGCGACGTAGTCTTGCGGGTTTAGTGTAGATAGATCCCATTCCGTATCGTTGTATACGACATAGCGAAACCAGTCTAAGGGATATGGATGGGGTTGGCCATTGAGAAGTTGAGCAGTCGCGTTCGAGCCTGGCTGAAGTCGAGGATAAATGTATTGCCCATCCAAACCATAAACGGGAGAGAAAATGGCCCGCACAGTAGCTGCTTGCTCTCCGCTCAGACAGGCATCTGAATGGCCGTCAGCGCAGATGAGACCTTCGGGTCGGTATTGACACAAGCTAGGGTCTTCGAGTATGCCGTCTTCAAGGCCATCTAGTCCATCGCATTGCTTCAGGATATCTGCGTTCACCAGTTCCCACTCCACGGGAGAAAGAAACCGCGAAGTCTGATTGGTACCGGTCTTGACGAAAAGTTGACCTGTCCAGTACATGAGTCCAATCAGGTCGAAAGCAGGTGCGCCGGCGACGATGCCGTCAAAGTCTTCCGGGAAGCTCTGGGCCTCCTTGAACCCTTGCCTACCACCCGTAGAGCAGCCGAGATAGTAAGACTTTTTGTGCTCTTTGCCATAGTATTCTTGCACGATCATCTTGCCCAACTCAGCTTCGAGATGGACGGCGCGGTACACATAATCCTCGATTACACCGGGGTTGTTGAGGAACGGAGCGCCAGATGTTCCGTCGTGACCGTTGTTGGTACCAATCGTGGCAAACTGATACGAGGCTCCATAGTTGAGGTCGCCATATCTGATGCATCCGTTCATACCACCATTGCCGGTACCCAAGAAACGTCCGCTCCAGTTTGATGGAAGCCACGCTTCAAGGGAGATATTACTTGTCGGGCCTGTAGTAGTGACAAAGACAACGCGGCAGATATCCACGCTGGAAACTTGGAAAGGGATAGCGCATGACGGGGGGTTGTAGGGAAGCGAAATGTTCGTCCCTGCTGAGATGAACGTTGTGTCGTGGATCGTTGTATTTGGGAGACTAAGACGGCTTGCCAATGATGTACACTCCTTAACAGTGACAGCTTGGGCTGACCCAACGGCCAAAAGAAATTGGCCCACTGAAGAGCGAGAACCTCTCATGGCTATGAATTGATTCAATAATGCTTCTGAATTGTTCTCACAAAGGGCAGCTTCAGGTATTATTTATTTGCCGTCTACCTAAGGTAGGTGCTGGAATCGGGCTCACTCATACCGCCATGTTGAACTACCGTGAACAGCTACCGTGCTTATCCCTAGGCCTTGATGGAATCCGCTATCGTGCTTGTAGGCTGTGTTATGGGACAGATCCCCCGCAGAAGGATAAAGAAATTGGTTGGTTGTGTAGTGTTTGCCGACCTGATAGATTGATGTCCCATGGGTTGACGGCGCAATAGAGTCGATCACCTGCCATACCAGGCGAAGGATTGTCTGGGGTAGCTTGGCAGCTTGTGGAGAAAAGTTGCTTCTTCAGTGGGGCTTTCCAATGTCATAGCGCGGGGTAAACAGCCAGTTCCCTGCAAAATGATAACCGGGATTTCCGGCCTCTGGTCGGGAGCTCCGCGCTGTTGACCGGTTGTTGCTGTGAGCTCGGTCTCTCTTCTTGGTGACTTTTCGAGGCAGAATGTGCTGTTCATCTATGCCATACATTCCTGTCTGTTCTCAGAGTACGAGCTTTGGATTGTCGACCTAGCGGCGGGCTTTCTCTCCTCCGTCCAAAATCAACGGCCGAGGTAAGCGGTACAATCATGCAGGCAATAGATGAACTATCCAACCGGAAAGACGGCGGAATCCCACGTCAATTCCCTTGCTCTTGATGTTTCCAGGCTTTCCATTCTACTGTAAACCGCGACTCTTGATTTTATCGTAGACTTTCATGAAAATTATAATTCGGAAACAGTTCTGATACTTCCAAGGAGACAACTCTTGATGCCACCCCGTCTTTTCAGTTTCGCATTCCAATTCTCTTTCCTCCCCGTCCCTTACATACCCTTTTCAGACACCTCCTCACCCCTTGCCGGTAGGACTCTGCAGCTCCCTTTTTAAGTTCCCACTATCCCCTTGGAATTCCATATCACCATCATCCTCAGAGGAGCCAGACTTGTCATCAGAGTCAGAGTTCTTCTCAGAATTACCATCTATGTAGTCTTTGTCGTTTGGATCATCACTGTAGTAGTCCACTTCATTGGCGTCCACCAAGAACGCGACCTTTCTCCATGGAGTTTCCAGAGATGTGCAGTTTTGGCATCTGAAGTTCGGCTGGTTAGCTCTTATATACGTTTTGTCGCAAGCAAGTCGTAAACCCCATGCGTTGATGTCTTTGCATCTAGTCAGCCTGCGGTCGAAATAGAGTCCGCAATCGGAACATTCGTTGTCATACCATATGAAATGACACATTATGGTCAGTACTTGGAGGGTGAGTGACTGTAAAATGCCTCGAAAGGGGTGATTGATGACGGGTGTAAGTTAGAGACGTTTGAGGATTGCAGTGCGTAGATGAGTCGGCAAAAGTTAAGGATTAAGAGATGGGAGGGAAGTTTTCTATTTACTATTTTATCTTTTAGGTGATTCCACTGATTCACGATTAGATGGTCAACCCGGTGGTGCCTCTTTGGGCCCACACATATCGAAGACTGATCAAATTGACGTGATTGTGTCTTTTTTCATCTAAGGTGTGCCACAAAGCAGCCCGGGTCCCATTCACACTTCCCAATAGGAGCAGAGCTGTGTCAGTATAAATAGAATCTTTTGTTCGATTCTCAGCCCCGTCCGAGAATGCCATGATTCTATAAGCTTTTCAAAGACCGAAGAATAATTCATTGTTTTGCGCCATTGAAAGGCGGCATCCATACCAAAACCAAACACCGCAAGGACAACGAGCAACCCTTTTACTCGAAATTACACGAGATACCTCGGAACTAGTGGAAAAAAGACTTGATAGACACTTGAAAATCGACAGACATGTGTCGCCGCCCACAATACGACCTCTTGTGCACCATTTGCGGCATCGCGTACAAAACCATCTTTGGCACACTTGAGCAATGCCGGTGGTACCACCGTCAACGCTGTGTAACAACGGGGAGGCCTGCGGGTTCATACAGAAGTGGTTTTTGTTCCCGATATTTGCTTCTAGTACGTGAAAGTGCTAATCTTCAGTGCAACGATGTTTGCTGCTCTGGTTCTGGACGGAGAGGTGGGCTGTTGTAGAGAGCGGAGCTACAAAGTTTAATGAAATTGGACTAGCCTTATTTCTCAAGGTTTTTTGGAAATTGAGGACTAAACTTAATCATCTTTACAGTCAAGTAGAATGAATACAAATGCGGCGTACGAGGCGACGCCGTGGAACGGGTCCTTCGGTGGCAAGCAGTCTCCTACGGCAGTATACTGCATGTGGGCAGCACCTCATATGGCGCTGCGAAAAACTTCTCTGAGCCTCGGACCACTTAGTTGATCGTATATGTGTCTGCCGGCTGGTGTTATGTCATTGAGAGCAAATAGTATAAGACCGTAACTCGTAACCTAAGTAATGATAAACGTCCTATCCAGCTCTAGATATCATGGCTTCATTATTCATAACTCTGTTTCAATCTCGTTGATGTCCTAATTTGGCATACAGTCCACCTTGCCATTCTCTTCACAGCATTTCCACATCGCTACCATGCTAGTCGACAACTTCAAAGTCTGAACCACCACCATCTGGAACCTCGCGTTGCGGATATAGCCGCCCGACATCGCTCAGAATCTGCTCCAGCCTCGTCAACTTTTCATCTTTGTATGCCATCCTCCTCCCAGACTCAAGAAAGTAGTTCAACTCGCTCTGCAACCTGAAAGGCAGCGTCTCAAGATCCCATATCCACTCCTCAAAGGCTCGCCTCGGTTCCGTGAACATCGGCTCCCAACGCTGTATTCGCTTGTACATCACAGGAGCTAGAGGCAAGTACGGACTCCAAGCCCGGCGTCTGAACTCTAGATATCCAAACGCGTGGAGTGAAGCGAGCAAAAGAGTTGTATCTTCCGACTCTGGGTCCACCTGGAAAGACGAAATGAGAGATGTCTCTGCGGCTCGGGTTTTCTCAGTGACGAGAAAATCGTTTTTCAAAAGGTCCAGGACCTCGTTGATGGGTTCAGAATTTAGGTCGATGACGTTGCGGTCTTTGATGATGGGGACATTGACCAGCTCGTGCTGTAACCTCGCCTTATCGACGCAATTTTTGCCGACTCCTAGGCCGCAGAGCCGGCAAAATGAAATCTGCTCCTGCTCATCTTCATCGCAGAGATCACAGCTGAGCATGCAGAACACTGTCTCAACGCACTGCCCGTCTTCTCTCGTGACCCACAGATCAACGATCAACGTCTGTAGCAAACGCACAGCTTCTTCGTCATATTTCCGTCTCTTCAGGAGGAAAACGGAGAGATCTCTCATAAGACTTTTGTGCTGGGAAACCGTCCGATGATCAACCGATGTCAGATCGGAAACATACCGCCTAATGATACTGTCAATATTTGCAGTCGCCTCACAGCTCAAGCCCTTGTGTGGCAGATCGAGAGCCATATCCAGAGGCGTATGCAAATCGCAGTTCCTTACCACGAGCATCCGTTGGAAATGGTCGACTCCAGTCTCTTCTCTCAACTTCTCGCACGCAAAGTAGATTTGCGTGGCCATTTCGGAAGCTTTCTCACGTTGACATACTGCGTCAATGTGCAGCACATTATGGCCGTAGTAGTCAACGTTCTCGATAAAAGACGCCAATTGAGGATGTTCAAGTAGCACCTCGAGCACGTTGACATACTCACTCAGCACGGTAACCCGCAGCGCAGACATCCAAGTGGTGGAGGAGTCTCCGGGCCACTTCTGCCCCTTTGCCGGATCCGCACCCTTGTCGAGCAAGAACCGAACGGTCGGGACGTCTCCGCTTCTGCAAGCTTCGCCAAGCACCGTGAAGCCGGCTGAGCCGACGACATCGTCAATGCCGAGCCCGTGTTGAATCAGCAGGTCAATGATCTTGTACGCCGCGCCGTTGTCTTCAGAAACCGTGCCCCCGACGCATGATGTTCCCATTGAGCATCGTGCTGTAATATCCGCGCCCTTTTCGAGGAGGAATTGGACCAGCTGGAGGTTTCCATCTTCGCAGGCTACCATGAGGGGGGTTTTGCCGTCGTAGGACGGTGTGTGGAGTGTCTCTGGCGACACCTCATATAGCAGTTGCGCGGCTTCTAGCCTGCCTGTCTCGCAGGCTGCCCAGAGCGGCGTTTCCTGCCAATGATACGAAGCTCGGCCTGGCTGGGCCCCGGCGTCGAGGAGACATCGCACGATATCAATGAGCCCGTCTCTAGCAGCGACATGAAGAGGCGTCTCGTAAACGAGCCCTTGTTCGGATTGGTAGTTCACCAGGGCTGGCTCGTGCTCGATGAAGACTTTACAAGTTTCAATGTTGACTTCTTCCACGGCCCGATAAAGGGGGGTTGTGGAGCATCCCGGAATATAGGATAAGAAACGCTTCGTGTCGGCGCCGTGGTCGAGCAGCAGCCGGACGACCTCTGGCTTCATATCGCTCGCTTGGATGAGAATGTGCTGATAGTCAGTGTTGTCTGGTACGTAGTTGATGGTCGGGGGCAAGCGATTGCCTAGTAAGACTTTGATCATCCTGATGGCGATTTCTTCTTCATCTAGCATGGCGGCATCAAGCGGACCCGGTAGGCCGTAGGCTTCTTCGAGCGTCGGGTCCGCTCCGTGTCGCAAAAGAAGTTCCACCATGTTTATATCCTTGTAATCTACGGCCACCATCAACGGGGACTTGGCGTACTTCTTCGACTTGCGATTCAACGTATTAATGGGAGATTGGTAAGCGAGGAGCAGCTCGACTATATCGGTGTTGCCCGTGCTGATGTCAATCTCACTCTCTTCAGGACTGGAGCTGGCCCAGTTAGATTCGTGTTAAAAGAGTATCGAAGGCACAGCAAACTAAGCTTGTGCAGACTAGCCAGGAAAATAAGAGCTGAACGTACCTGTCCTTATTTGTTGTTGTTCTTGCCCGCGCGACTGCGATAAAAAGGGGCGTCTCATCAAGTGATCCCGCGTGATGGCAAGGGCTTGCACCCGCTTCCAACAGTAGCTCCACCGCCTTGAAGTTATCGTCAATGATGGCAAAACTTAGCGGAGTCCGACGGATGAACTTCGTTCCATCAAATGAAATGCCATTCGAGAGAAGCTCCAGATCGACATCAGGCCTTTTCAAGAGATGCGGTAGCCAATCAATACACAACGGGCTTGTCAACATGTGAATCGCAGCGTACCCCATTCCGTCAAGCTGGTTGACATCTTCAACTCTGTCGAGGAGGAGCATAAACACCTCAAGGTTCTGTACCGTGATGGCCGCTGTTAACGGTAACTGCAGATTCGGCCATGGGAAATGCAAGCTCAGGTCGACTCCATATTCAATCAAGAGCTTGGCGACTTGGTTGTGGTGCTTCATAATCGCCTCGTGGAGGGGATGCATGCCGCGGAGGCTCAACATGTCAGGCCTGGCTCCCGCTCGGAGAAGCATCTCGACCATCGTGGCGTTTCCTCTGCAGCAAGGCACGAGCAAGGGAGTTTCGCCCACGGTATCCGAGATGTTTGGATTGGCGCCGGCATCAAGGAGCGATTTGACCAAGCGTTTCATGAGTTCTTCATCTCGCGTTTCCAGTTGTGTGCACAGAATCATCAAGGCAGTTCCCCCGTTTACCGAGCCTCGCTCGTTGACGTCTTTTGACCGCTTGAGGAAGTATTCGAGCATCTCAGGTTGCCCTTCTGACGAACCTGCTGCGTGCATGAGAGGGGTATGGCCATAGGAATTGTGTACCAAAAAGCAGGACTCGGGCCGCCAATATTCAATAATCCTGGAGATGGTGGGACTTGCTTTTCGTTTGTACAAGTAACGCCACGCCTGCCTCAGAAGCTCATTCTTCCAGGACCATGCCTCTTCCTTCCCTGCCCATTGGATTTCGTGAGTAAGATGACCAATATCAGCATGGATGAACGTGAAAACGGGAGGGACGAAGGTGTCGTCTATCGGGTCGGTACGACTGTGTGTCATTGCTATGTTCCAGGAGTAATGCGCTGACCAGGTTCTATAGTTGACAGAGTTGGTGAAATCGCCCAGCAGAGGGAGCAGTTTCACCATCTCGTCCCCCGCGCGGCTGAGGTGTTCTCCCCAGTTTTTTGCCGCATACGTATAGAACGGATCATTTGTCGAAAGATGAGGAGACATGATCGATTCGATGCATCCAAAGTCGGGTTTCGAGAGGTACTTGACACACAAGAAGGCCATGTTTGCATGCTGTCTTCGCTCGCTAATGTGGCGTCTGAAGTGGTACTTCAATGACGGATGGCTGACTTGAAATTCATCCTCATTTGCGATGTGAATCAGCCGGGGACACTTTTGCCTTAGTACGTTATGGAGGTCGAGGAAACTAGAGTCCGGGTCCTCATGAAGACAGGTAAGCGCGTTGCAAATTTCCCCGCTGCTGAGAACATCGAGAGAGCCGAGGATAATTTGCACGGCTGACAAGGCATATTTCCCATCGTCGATACTCTGGAACAGTGGAAATATATCGCGGTCGTAGTACGCCCCTAATCTGGGAGGGCACTGAAGCAGTCTCTCATTGAAGCAGTACCCGTATTCCTGGAGACTTTTGACCGTAGCCATTGCGTCTTCGATGGAATACTTTGCAAACACAAAGAACGACTCCGACTTGGTCTTGATCAACAATTGAAGTCCACTTGGAAATCCTTTGAGAGACCGCAGCTTAGACATGGTGTGTATCTCTCTGTCCACGTACGTGCTGATGTCTTTGCGGATGGCGGCGTCGCTCATCAGAATCCCAGAAGAAGTCGGTGCGAAGGAGGCCATGTTCAACGTCTCGCAAGGGCTGTAAGTGAAGAAGAATTTGAGCCTCACGACCTCGCGGGGGAAGCCCTGTCCTGGGATGGCTGGACCGGGAACTGGTGTGGACCGAGCCGCTGGATGGTCGTGTAGGCTTCCTACGAGGCGGAGGAACTCCCAGGCATAGGAAACATCACAATCATCCAGACCATCCACAATCAGGAAAACGACCGTTGTCTTTGGTGGGCCCATGGTGTACTGCATCTTGCTCATAAAGTCGCGGAGGATATCAAACAGCGACGGCAGATCGAGATGGCTTTTTAGCTGCTGCCATCGATAGTATGGCGCTATCGATTCGGACCATCGTGGCCGAAGCTCGAGGAGCGATCGGACAAAGTACTGGGCGATCGGCGGCTTACTGTTCCCCAACGTACTGACGTTACAGAAGAAAGATAGCACGATGCTGTTATCTGGGGGAGAGCGAGGGCGGTCCCAAGAAAGATGGTTGGCGACGGACTTGGCCAGGTGGGTTTTGCCACAGCCTGTGGCTCCCTGCACGAAGAAGCTTTCCGTCTTATTGGACTTGAGCCAACGTTTGAAGAAGGAATGTGATTGAATCCAGGTGCATGTGTCTACCGTTGGGTGTATGTCGTGTCCGAGGTGATGCTCATCCCAACCGCCGAGTTTGTTGACCAGCATGTCTCGATGCTCTTTTGTATCGGCTATGTATGAGTTAGTTTGATGGTTTCAAAGTGAGGGAGCCACTAGGACTATCCCTAGGAAGACTGAAGGTAATGCTAACCGGCGTCTTTCTTCCTTGCCCATAAATTGAAGGACTCATTGCTTTGATCTCGCGGCGGTGGGCCAATGGGGATCCCATTTCGAGGTGGCGGCGGCAGTGACACGGGTGGTCCTATAGAATGTGCCTTAGTTTCCTGTGCTCAAGCGAGGTTTATATGTCACTGTTACCTGGCGGACCGGGCGGGCCAGGCGGACCAGGAGGCCCTGGAGGACCGGGCGGTGGTGACGGTGGCCGGGGAGTAGCTGTTGTCGGCACCACAGGGGGTGGCGGCGCGAAGAACATCCGTTGGGTTTTGGAAGAAGATATCTTCGTCATCATCTCGGCAACGTGATCTGCCAAGAGACTGTATGTCTTGTCTGACGGGGACGGGAACTGCGTCAGTTGGAAATGATGGCAGCCTACCGTCAGATTCTGGCCCTGGGTAGGGTCCATATCGGCCCGTTGTTTGGGTACCACCTAGTCCACAGATGAGTCCCTAAGATAGATCAAGGGAATGAGACACAGTTCCTTACCAAAGTCTTGTAGGTTGTTCCATCCTCGGAGGTGATTTCTATTCGGTGTGTCGCAACAAAGTTGAGAATGGTTAGGTCTGGCGGCGCATGCGTGACAAAAGTCTTGTTCACTTCTCTAACAGCCTCTGCAAATTGTCTGATATCATCAACAGACGGCCTTGTGGAGTGTTTGAGTAGGCTGGCTGCTACCGTCGTTTTCACGGCAGCCAGAACTCCCTCGGAGTCTGTCGAATGGTGAACAGTATCTAAGAAGACGATGCCAACTGGAGAGCTTTTGATAGAGAAATACTCTGAATAGTTAAAGCAGAGCTCAATCGCCTTGAGTTGATCTTATTTCAGCTTGGGAAGTTGGTAAAGGAAGACGGTCACTAAAAACGTACCTTCTTGACAATCGTCCCTCCAAGTCCGTGAGCTATAAAAACAGTAGAGCCACCCTGGGGGATATCATTTCAGTTTTCATCCATATAACAAGAGTCATCCATCAATTCAACCTACAGGGTATTTGCTGTAGTTGGATATCATCAACATCAAGAGGTCGTCGGCATGAAGTGCGATGCTCGCAGGCGTCATGTTTGCCGCCGGGTCCGAGTTGTATCCATATGTCCATACTCGAACTGAATCTTTGAAGCTGCCGAGAAATTCCGGGTCTGAGATCCAGGTTTTGCCAGATTCATCGTGGTACCAGCTTGACTTGGGAGACCCGCCCAGATCGTGAACACATATGAGACTATGATCTGTAAGTTCAACCAAGACCCACTGGGAGGTCCTGAGAAATGCTTACTTCGCAAGTGGCCGCCATCCTGGCGGCATATGGTTCATGTGAACTGGGTAAACAACATCGAGACTCGGGATAATCATTGTGATGGCCTCAAAGATGGGAGAGCCACGCGTGACGCGATCACAATAGCACCTCACCTGCTCTCGATCGGTAGACGGCTGATCACAGGTGAAGTTGACGCGCAAATTCCTTTGAGAGCAGTGTTTTCCTACACAGACGCATGGCAGAAACCATTACACCGCCCCATATCAGGCTGCGACAATTCCCATGAATCCATGATGATGACGGCAGACCGTTATGGTCTCTAGGCGGCAACTTCATGTGAGGAGTCGTCGCTGCTAGGGCTGGACGATTGGATACGACGCTAGCGGGCTGCAGGCCTAGCGGGGGTGAATTCGCGTCTGGCCCCCAACTTGGAATAAGGCTTCCTAATGGCTGACATGCATTGCATTGCCAGCGCAGCCTCTGCTGACTTTTTTTTTCGTGTGCGGCTGAGGCCTGTTCGTCCTACTCTAGGATTGTTGTGAGAGGCTTTCATCGGCTAGTGTAGCTGGTCTGGTTTCTGGCCGAGCGGCGTTGTCTGGTGACACTGGCGCATCTTGCCGTGCTACCATGAAAACATTTGCAAAAACAGTTGTTCTGGCTTCTGCTTCTAGACTGGAGACTTGTGTATTGGTGATGTGCTTGTTGGTCTGGTTCAGCTCGTACCTTAGTTGCCCTCTTGTACTTTCAAGTTGCAGTCTCGTTGTTGTATCCAAACGAAGTTTGGAACACTGGGGTCATCTCTGGGAATGGGGTCAAAGACGTGGGTGGTTCGTGCCTCTCATCAATTACCTAGTAGTTACCTTATCCGTGTGTCAAGGACTAGGTATCGATGCTGTATAATGATTTGGTCGTTTTACAGTTAGAAATAATACTTCGAACGGCACCTCCCGGGTCAGTCAGATGCGTGGCTGAAGTGAGTCGAACTTCAAAACCTTGAAGTGTAGCAAGCTTTCGCTACATTCCCTCGCCAGGGTACATGTTTGCATGTTCCACGTGAATTTCTATCGATAAAAGCTCAGTAATTAACGACCTTAGTCTTCGGAAAGTAGCAATTTAGAATCGTGACCTGATTTTACGGCACGAAATGTGCAGCTTCTGCAGCGAGGCACTTTCCAAGTTTCGGTCATTCAGAAACAATGCACTTGCCACAGGCTGCTTGATTATACCTTTCCGCCTGAATCACGAAGAATATAGGACCAAAAGCTGAATCTCAATAGTGAGTTGAGTCAACTTTTGCAAAACCTCAAAGCAAGGTTCAACAGTGTTTTGCCTATATTCCGTAAAGAGAACTGTGATGTCTGCAGAATTCTTACGGGAGAATTGGCTACCTCTATACTTTCTTCGACAACTTACCGTGAGGTGTGAAAGGTTTATGATAGTCATCATTCATGGCCAGATATTAAGCCGGTCCGTCCGTAGATGGCTGTGGTCTCTTGTCCCCTGCCCGTGCCGGAGGAAGGGCGGCCCGGCGGAGATGCTCCGGCGGATTGAGGGGAATCCAGCTCAGCTGGGGCCAGCTGGCAGCATTGCCCATCAATTAATCAATTAAACGCGTGGTGGGGCAGCGCGAGGAAAGGCGCGTCATGACCTTAGCAGAGAAAGTGCAGCGCGTCGAGGGCGTGCTCGGCCAGGCCTTTCCTGCCACCCCCATCGTCATCCCCCACCAATTCGTAGTTGCTGCCTTTGCATCCTTTCTTCAGACTCCACATAACGAACAATCTGCTGTCGCTGTCACTCGAATGGTAGAATTCTCCATCTCACGGTCAAACAAATCTTCACTCTGAATAGACCCAAGTGCCCATTGGCAGCTCTACAACATGGGTATTAAGCACCTCTTCCAGATCATCAAGGAGGAGGCCCCCGATGCGATCAAGGAGGGAGAGATCAAGGCGCACTTCGGTCGCAAAGTTGCCATTGTGAGTTCGCTCTATTTTCCCGGTCGTAATGACGCCTACTGACAGAGAACAGGATGCGTAGGCCAACCGTTGAACCCTATTGTTCACGCCAGCTAACGAAAGCCCAGGTCCATGAGCATCTACTCCTTCCTCATCGCTGTACGATCCGATGGCCAACAGCTCATGAACGAGAGCGGAGAGACGACATCACATCTGATGGGTCTCTTTTACCGCACACTCCGAATGGTCGACAACGGAATCAAACCCCTCTACGTCTTCGACGGCGCCCCGCCCAAGCTCAAGTCTGGCGAGCTGGCCAAGCGATTCCAGAGAAAGCAGGAGGCCACCGAGGGCTTGGAGGAGGCAAAGGAGACGGGTACCGCTGAGGAGGTTGAGAAGTTCTCCCGAAGAACGGTGCGGGTCACTCGCGAGCACAATGAGGACTGCCGGAAGCTTCTGAAGCTCATGGGCATCCCCTTCATCATCGCCCCGACGGAGGCTGAGGCCCAGTGCGCTGTCCTCGCCCGTGCAGGCAAAGTGTATGCCGCCGCCAGTGAGGATATGGACACTCTCACCTTTGATACCCCCATCCTGCTCCGTCATTTGACGTTCAGCGAGCAACGCAAGGAGCCCATTCAGGAGGTTCACATTCAGAAGGTGCTGGAAGGTCTCGGCATGGAGAGGAAGCAGGTATGTTTGCCCCCCCCGATGTAAATTCACGCGATCGTATCGTAACTTGGGAACTGGACAGTTTGTCGACTTATGCATTCTCCTCGGCTGCGATTATCTCGATCCCATCCCCAAGGTTGGCCCTTCGACAGCTCTGAAGCTGATCCGCGAGCACGGCGATCTGGAGACGCTCGTCGAGGCGTTCAAGAACGACCCGAAGCAAAAGTATGTCATTCCAGATGACTGGCCGTACCAAGATGCCCGCGAACTCTTCCTCAACCCCGACGTGCGAAAGGCGGACGATCCGCTTTGCGACTTCAAGTGGGAGAAGCCCGATATGGAGGGACTGGTGCAGTACTTGGTCACGGAGAAGGGTTTCTCTGAAGACCGTGTGCGCTCAGCAGGCGCCCGGCTGGAGAAGAATCTGAAGAGCAACCAGCAGGTCCGTCTCGACGGGTTCTTCAAGGTGATTCCCAAGACGGAGGAGGAGAAGGCGGCGCACAAGCGAAAACTGGACGCAAAGAATGACGAGAAAAAGAAGAAGCAGAAGCTGGACAAGAAGGAAAAGGCAGCTGCCAAGGCTAAGCCTCGCGGGGCCTAGATCTACATCGTGGTTCGTGCTTGGCGGTTGAACAGGGGTGGCTGGATTACTGCGTGGGGATTTTTCTGGTGAGGCTGGTCGTCTGTCAAAGGCAGGACGGAATGGTGCCTTTCACGAATTACTTTGGCGTGCGTGGGATTTGGCGTTTGGGGGTCAAAAAGTAGACCCATTGCTCTCGGGTGGCATTTAGCATTCTAGGCTTAGTTGGTATTGCGACGAATTAAGGACCAATCTCGATAGCTTGATACCTTTTCAAATTACAGGCAATCTGGAGACAAACCCATCCATGGTAAACTTGAAAATACACAGACTAGACTGTCAATTGGAATATCTACATCTGCAGGCGTGGATAACCAGCCTCCCCGGATGAACCTCAATCGTGGTGGGACTGCGCAGACTAACCCACGTGCTAAATGATGGGGAATAGTATGCCGAAGTCGAGCCGTGGGTCAGACATCTCTGGTGCGGCATGTACCGTGTGTCCCACGGGGTAGTCTTCGTCGTCGTCCAGGTTCTCCGCGCCCTCCTGGGCTGTGTCGGTTGTCGGGAGGTCATGCGGTTAACTCGAGGCGGAGTGCATTTGATGCTTACCTTTTGCGCCCCTGAGGTGGTTGGTCGTCACACGGGTGAAGTACGTGCCTCACTGGCAAATGGGAAACAGAAAACGGACAGAGAGACCCACCTCACATGACCATCGACAGGAATCCCATTGGCCAGTCATGGCCCAAAAAGAAGCCGAGGTTGACCCACACTTGCCGAACCGGAAACGGGCAACCCCTCGATGACATCAGCCGAAAAAGAAGCAGAAGGTGCGGCGCTCGAAACCCAATTTAGGGAATCACATGTGCGCAAGAGAGTCGCACCAAACACACACTGGAGGGCTTCAGTGGACCAACCTTTTTTTTTTTTTTCCTCCCAGGCCAGAGGCACATATAGGCCAGGCAAGAAAAAGACAATGGACGGCGCAAAGCTGGGGGAGAAGCACTGGAGTCTGGAGGCTGCACGAGGGCACATGACACGGATTAGCGCATCTCAATGTCGCTAATGTGGACTAGTGCGACGGCTCCCCAAGCGCTCGCTCTGGAGTCCGGTCCCGTTTGCCAGCCTCCGAGCCAATCCAATGGCACTTGATAGCGTTGATTTGGGAGACGGCCAGTCGCGTCCGCCGCAATTCAGTGACTGGTGCTATAGATTTCCCCACACAATGGCCAACCCCGAATATCCGCATGCTCCTTGTGTTTGCTTGGTTTGTATCTCTGTCCACAGTCCACGGCCTCGATAGCGTGGGGGGTCCTGGGGAGTCTCCAAAGATGTATGATGGCATTGAACAGGTCTTTGGAGCCTGTGAACCGCTGCACGAGACACAATGTGCCTGTAATCGACTGTTATCCAAGTAGACCTGCTGCAATGCCTCGGTGCAAAGGTACCTTGGTTTGGCATTCCGCGGTGCTGCACTGGGCCTGCGGCTGTGTCCACATACGCATCCTTGGGCCCATGGGGTTTGGGTCAGACTTGACGGGCGATGAGAGGTACCCTTCCTAGCCATCTGCACCCCATCTTCACCCCGAGTCTGGAAAGGGTACTTTCCCCAGCCAACCTGGATGTACCTTAACCCAAGCAGGTCCAAGGTATCCGTACCTAGCCCTCTCCCAATGCAAGGGCAGGTGCCTCCCAGTTTACCTTGGGCTTACCGCAGCCGCAAGCATGTGATTGTCTGGCTTGGCTTGCGCTGTCCCATTTGCCGACATTGGCCGTCGCGGCTCGTTCTTTGACAGCACTTCCTCAGACGCATCCTCTTCCGGCAACATTTCTTTAAACACTATTATTCCCATCTCAACCTCGCTCGCATCCACCTCCCCTTGTTCACCTCTACAGCCGTCCCAGTCAATCATAAACACCCACTGACGAGAGTCTGCCGTACCACTCAACCACTCCACATCATCATACGACAGAGAATCACCAGTCACAATGTCCAAGACCTTCACCACCAGCGACGTTTCGTCGCACAACAAGCCTGATGACTTGTTCATCATCGTCGACGGCGACGTCTACGACCTCACAAAGTTCCAGGATGACCACCCTGGTACGTCCCGCCATCCCATCCTCTCTTCCTCTGCTCACCAAAACCACCCGAATCACGCCTCTAATTGACTTTCCCAGGTGGCAAGAAGATCCTTCAGCGCGTCGCCGGCAAGGACGCCTCCAAGCAGTTCTGGAAGTACCACAATGAGGGCATCCTGAAGAAGTACAAGGCCAAGTTGCACGTCGGCTCCCTCGACTCCAAGCCCAAGCCCGTCGAAGCCGCACCCGCTGCCGCTGCCCCCGTCCCCAAGAAGGCGGCCCCCAAGAAGGTCGTTGCCAGCAGTACCGAGGAGTCCGAGCCTATGGACCCCTTCGGCGACTTGGTTCCCTACGCCGACCCCAACTGGTACCAGGCCGTAAGTTCAATTGCCAGTGATCCCCCCATCCTCAGCATTCTCTAACCCGTTGCCTGCAGTACCATACCCCCTACTACAATGAGACGCACGCTGCCCTCCGCACCGAGATCCGCGAATGGGTCGAGACAAACGTCGAGCCTTTCGTCGGCGAATGGGACGAGAAGAAGGAGGTCGACCCCGCGATCTACAAGCAGATGGGTGAGCGCGGTTACCTGGCCGGTCTGCTCGGCGTCCACTACCCTACACAGTACACCAACAACACTGTCGCATCCGTGGCTCCCGAGAACTGGGATCTCTTCCACGAGATGCTTCTGACCGACGAGCTGTCCCGCGCCGCGTCAGGTGGCTTTGTCTGGAACGTCATTGGCGGGTTCGGTATCGGTTGCCCGCCCCTCGTCAAGTTCGGCCAGAAAGCTCTGGTTGACCGTATCCTGCCCGGTATTCTCAACGGTGACAAGCGTATTTGCTTGGCCATCACCGAGCCGGACGCCGGCTCTGATGTTGCTAACCTGACTTGCGAGGCCAAGCTGAGCGAGGATGGAAAACACTTCATCGTCAACGGCGAGAAGAAGTGGATTACCAACGGTATCTGGTGTGATTACTTCACGACCGCCGTCCGGACTGGCGGAGAGGGCATGAACGGTGTCAGCTTGTTGCTCATTGAGAGAGGGCCTGGTGTCACGACAAGGCGCATGGACTGCCAGGGTGTCTGGTCCAGCGGTACCACCTACATCACCTTTGAGGATGTCAAGGTACCCGTTGAGAACTTGCTTGGCAAGAAGAACCAGGGTTTCAGAGGTATGTCAATCCACAACAGGCAGGTGCTCACCTTTCCTATGCTAATATGCTCCAGTCATCATGACCAACTTCAACCACGAGCGTATCGGCATCATCATCCAGTGCCTACGCTTCTCTCGCGTGTGCTACGAGGAGTCGGTCAAGTACGCCAACAAGCGTCGCACCTTTGGCAAGAAGCTCTACGAGCATCCCGTCATCCGCCTCAAGCTGGCGCATATGGCCCGCCAGATTGAGGCTTCGTACGCGTGGCTCGAGAACCTCATCTTCCAGTGCCAGAAGATGGGCGAGACTGAGGCCATGCTGAAGCTTGGTGGCGCCATTGCGGGCCTCAAGGCCCAGAGCACCGTCACCTTTGAGTTCTGTGCTCGCGAGGCCTCGCAGATTTTTGGTGGTCTGTCATACTCTCGCGGCGGTCAGGGCGGCAAGGTCGAGAGACTGTACCGTGACGTGCGCGCGTACGCCATCCCGGGCGGCAGCGAGGAGATTATGCTCGACCTGAGCATCCGGCAGAGCATGCGCGTGCACAAGGCACTGGGCATGAAGTTGTAAACGGTAATGTCGGGACGAGCAGAGGATGATCAAGACTATTACGTCATGTATGAATAGATCAGGTTGGATATCTTTTCATTTGTCAGGGCGTTTTGCATGGAGGCAGAACTGGGTCTAGCAATCTAGATGAATACATGGCTCACACATCACTTCATATCTATACCGTCCGTCATACCGTTTCTTTGCATAGTTGCTCAATACTGGCTAGTCGTCTGCCAACGACGCCGGACAGGACGCAGCAAGCCAACCGAACTACACATAGCTTTATCAATCTAACTACTTCCAAAATTATCCCACGGCAATTAATTCACTAGCAGCGCACCTCATCGGGTACCCGGCGACAACAACAAGATTCGGAGGCAGTTGAATAACACCTTGCTCCATAACTCGGCCGGCAGCATAGTACCTTCCAATCAAAGATCCACGATTGCAATCGACAACATTCCAACAACACGAGCTGCTGTTTCAGTCGCCTCGTTTATGGTTTAACAGTCCACACGACCGATCACGGCGCAAGCCACTGTCCTCTCAGCTGGGTCCAACTCGCTGCCCCCTATGGTTCCGCCACAAGATTCAATGACACGTTCTGTGGCTTCTCTCGAGATCGCGCGACTATTGGATTTTCCGATTGTTAGTGGGGAGGTGATTGGATGGGCTTATATTCCAATAGCGATCAAGTCAACTCCCGTTTCCACCCACACGTGGGGACTGTGGTGAAGGAGAACACGAGAGTGGATGCGGCGTCAATGGACTGAAAGCGCGTTTACCTCAGTACAGGCAAGCTCCGGAAAAGCTTTGATGATTTTCATCGACGACTTTCCGTTTGCGGTTGTGGGCAAGACATTTTCACCTCGTATTCACGCAACAGACGAGAGCTTCTTTTTGAATTGAGTTCGGAGCCGGTTATTGAGGGGCAACAAGTTCAGGTTGTAGTCATTGAGCAAGATTCTTACCAAGTCTTTGCGATGTGAGCTCATGGCCTATGACATGGACGAAGAGGTGTCAATTGGAACCCACACTTGTTATCTATTGGACAATACGAGCGGCAATTGATGAATAGGCTGCCCTGCTCGTCAGCCATCGACAGTCATCCCGCGACCAGGCCGGAATGCCGGATCCCCCCCTTACTCTGGGAACCGACTGTCTCGTTGGCAAGACAGCATCGATAACGACCTCATCGGGCTTGGAAACGAGCAAGGCTGTCTTCGGCGCCGAGGATACATGATCCGAGCCATACGGATACGCTGTCTTGGGTCCTTCGCCCTGAAATGCGGTAGACTTCCGCTTTCCCTTCGCAATCACTGTCTCACTCTGAATCGCCAAACCACAATTCTTGGATGGGTTCGCAGCGATCACCAACATTCCTCACACCCGAGGATATCCACACGCGCTATCGCGCAATGTCTCACTCTAAAAACTACCTCACCACGCTTGCCTCTGATCTATCCGAATCCGACGAAATCCTGCTCTATCCACCGGTCCCGTACCTCGCCCGGCCAAACTCTCTTCCCTTGACCACTCGCGTGTTAGCCATGCTCACTTACGGGATTTTCCCAAAAATACCTCTTCGTCTTACTACATCCGTCCAACTGTCAGGCCCAACAGTCCACGATGGCGTACGCCCAAACGGTCCGAAGTGGCAGAACGCACGCGGGGCTCACGCCAGCTTTTGCCGCATGCAGCCATTTTCGACATCTCAGAATTTTCACGATGCTCTTGACCGATGATGTTCACTCTGGATGGAGCCCATTGACTGTTCCTGTATGTTCTCCCCGCCGTTCTCGGTGATGGGTCACTCGGAGATGGGCAGGCTTCACCACACCATTAACGGCTATATCATGCTTCCTTGGGCCCGGGCAGTATCAGGCCTTCCTTCTCATCCTCATCACAGCAATCACACTTCCGACAATCCGCTTGTCTCTCTTATCCGAGCTCCTGCTTCGACATTCGCTTTCGTCTCTCGTTTCTTCTAGCTTAAGAGTCTACTCAAGCAACCGCTCTCGCTTACATCACGAACCATCAACATGGTTTCCCCCGCCATGCTCCGCTTCGCCGCGGGCGCCGCCTTGTTGGCCGGTGTCAACGGCCAGTCGACCACCTCGACCACCGTCGTCGCTCCGACTACGACCGTGACGCCTAGCACCACGGTCACCGTCGCTCAGCCCACGACCACTGTCACCAGCGGCGGAACCACCACCACTCTGACATCGACCGCCGGCTCTTCCAGCAGCAGCTCGGATTCCTCTGGCACCTCCATCGTGACCAGTGTTGGCAGCTCCACCGTCACCGTCATTGCTCCCACGAGCACCTCGCTGACTACCGACTCCACCCTCAGCAGCGGAGCCAGCACCGTCCCGAGCACCACCGAGACCTCCGTCTCCACCTCCTCCGCCTCGGTCTCCTCCGACCCGGGCAGCGGCACCGCCATCACCTCGACCACCACCACCGTCCTCACCACCTCGGCCCTCAACACCACCGGTCCCGTCGTCGTCCTCCCCACCTTTTCCAGCTCGACCGTGACCCTCCCCAACAACAGCACCATCGTCGTCCCTATTCCGGTCGACCCCACCACCACCACCACCACCGGCCCCATCGTCACCACCCCTCCCGTCTTCCCCAACGGCACCGCCCCCATTACCATTCCTCCCCCGGTGACAACCACTACCTGCAACTACAACGGCACCTGCAACGTCGTCACCCTTCCCCCCTGCGTAACAATCACCTCCTGCTACAACGGCCTATGCCGCCCCGTCACGACAATCACCTACCCCCTCCCGCCCGTCATCACGGCGCCCACGGTGACAACAATCACCCGCTGCAATTACAATGGTACCTGCTCAACCTGGACTCGCACAAAGTACGTCCCCGCCACGAGCACGAACCCCCTCGTCTACACCGACTGCTCGACCTTGACATCGACCTATACCACCTGCAACAATGCCGTCTGCAGCACCGTCACGACGACGACCACCTCGTCTTTTACTCGGCAGGGAACCCCTACCCCCACTGGCCCCGGCGGTTCGACCCTGGTTACGAAGCCCTCGGTCCCGGCCTCGCCTCCGTCCAACCCTCCTTCCAACCCTCCTTCCAATCCTCCGTCCAACCCTCCTTCCAATCCTCCTTCCAACCCTCCTTCCAACCCTCCCTCCAACCCTCCCTCCAACCCTCCCTCGCAGCCCCCGGCGAACCCTCCGGCGAACCCTCCGGCAAACCCCCCGTCGAACCCCACCAACCCACCGGGCAAACCGCCCTCTGGCAACCCTCCGGCCACCACCCCTGCCGTCCCTACTACTGTCAGCGGCACCCGTCCCGTCGCCACGTCTTCCACCGCCGTGGTGACCGCCGGCGAGCCCGCTCTGATGGCCGTCAATGCGGTGCCGTTGATGAGCCTTCTTGGTGCGGTTGCTGTTGGTGCGGTTGTCTTTTTGTAGTCGGCCTTGTGGTTGAGACATGGGTTTGGTATCAAATACGGTTGTCCAAACGTTCAACATCAGACAGTCAAATTACTGACGCAACACACAAATATCAAATTATCATTCTTTATGTATCACGAGCTCTTAGATGGTGAGCTAAAATAGAACTGCAGTAATTGTGTAGGTGAAAAAGCCGGAGAGAGAGACTGTAGGTGTCTGGGTTTGTAATG